CCCAAAACCCCAAACCCTCAACCCAAAACTTCCCCGTAACTTTGGGGAGAGGCTGAAGGCCTCCGGGTGCTATCCCTAAACCCTAAACCCTAAACCCTAAACCCTAAACCCTAAACCCTAAACCCTAAACCCTAAACCCCAAACCCCAAACCCTAAACCCTAAACCCTAAACCCTCAACTCTCAACCCTCAGCCCTAAACCCTCAACCCTCAGCCCTCAACCCTCAACCCCTGAGCAGGCCGAAGGCCTCCGGGTGCTGGATGGCGCCGTGGCCTCCGCCTTCGATCGGCTTCGCGAGGGCGCCGAGCCCGGCGTGCGGGGTGAGGCCGGAACCTTTCAGAGGGTTTCGGGTTTTTTGGTTGAGTTTTTTTTAAAGGGGTTTGTTAAGTTCTAGTTTTTGGGTTGTTTGAGGGTTTAGGGTTTTAGGGTTTTAGTCACAGCAGGCCAGATGCAAAAAGGGTTTTAGGGTTTTAATGTTTTAGGCTTTCGGCCTTTAGGGTTTCAGGGCCAAAGTGCTTAGGGCCAAGAGGTTCTGGCTTAGGGTTTCCTTTCGGGCTTGGGGCAACTCAGCCATCTGGGCGGCGTCCTGAAGCCTTGTGCTTAAAGGGCGTTTAGGGTTTTTGGCTTTAGGGTTTAGGGTTTAGGGTTTGTGGCCACACTCCCGCGGGCCACCGGACCTCCGTCAGATCCCAAAAACCAAAGCCATGGAAGGCTTAGGGTTTAGGGTTTAGGATTTTCACCTCCACACTTTGTGTTGAGACTTGGCGCAAGGCTTCGATGAAGGGAGGGGCTTGCTTGGCCTGTCGGCCCTGTGGCAGGAGCCAGGGAAGTCACGGTTTGTTCTAAACGTTTAAGCTAATCAGAACTCCCATTCTGCTTTTAAAAAGGCCTCGATATTATGTTCTTTTCTGGTTTGGGCAAAGCGGAAACCCTAAAGCCTAAGCCCTAAACCATAAACCCTAAACCATAAAACCCTAAACAACGCCAGGTGGCCACGCTCGCTTCGGAGCTATTCCGTGTCTGCGGATCGGAGACGTCCGTGTTGGAAGGGGCGTGGCTGGACTAGAGACACCGTTTTAATGTGGTCTACAACTCGATGTGAACCCCAAGCCTAAGCCCGAAGCACTTGTGGGGGCTAAGGCGGCTAAGGGGTGTGGCTGGATTGGTGGTTTCGTTGAGGTATGGGGTTTATGGCTTGGGCCTTTCGCTCATGGTTTAAAGATGCACGCCTTTTGGACCCTAACCCTGTCAAGCTAACCCCCTTAAACTCGCCCCCCCCCCCCCCCCTCCGGCTCCTCCTCCAACGCAAAAAAGCCTCACACCCTAAACCCTAAACCCTAAACCCTAGGACCCTAAACCCTAAGACCCTAAACCCTAAACCCTAAACTGCCCTAAACCCTGAGCCCTAAACTCACTGTCCAAAAAGACGCCTGGAACGCCCCCGAGGCAGTCCTCCCTTCAGGGCCTCTGGGAGCAGCTGCAGGCGTGGGCCACTTATGGCCAAGAGCCCTAAACCCTAAGCCCTAAGCCCTAAACCCTAAACCCTAAGCCCTAAACCCTAAACCCTAAACCCGAAACCCTAAACCCTAAACCCTAAGCCCTAAGCCCTAAGCCCTAAGCCCTAACCCTAGACCCGAAATCCTAAACCCTGAACCCTTAACCCTAAAAGGATTGGACAAATTAATCATTGTTTAGGCCCCGATCCCCCCCCCCCCCCCCCCCCCCCCCCCCAAAAAAAAAACAAACAACTCAAGAACTATGGGGCATAAGGAAAGATCTCTACAAGGGACCCTTGCTCTTCTTCCCTTACATAGTCCCTTTATACCTACGTAGCTCCTAAATAGCCCCCAACTGACCCCTAAGGGTCCTTCCTTTAGTCCTTTGAAAAAGTAACGCAAGATCCAAAGAGAGGCGGGCGCCGCCAGCAGCTTGGGGCTCTCGTCTCCGCGAGCTTTGCAGCAGTGGCACAGCAGCCTGGCCCTACAGTTGGACCTTGATTTTTTTTGTTTTTTTGTCTGGGCTTTAGTGCTCAGAGCTTTAGGGTCCAGAGTTCAGGGTTTAGTGTTCAGGGCTTTAGGGTTAAGGATTCAGGGTTCGGGGTTTAGGGTTTAGGGACTCGGGTTAGACGGGAATTGGCGCCTGCTCCACACACCTGGGCCCTTAAGGTTGTACCCTTAGGTGTTGGGGGCCCCTTGTTAAGGATCCCTAAGGGAATATAGGGGCCATATCAGAAGTACATTAAGGGGAACCAGGAGGGCTGCAGCCTTAGGAGTACGAGCCTTCATCCCCTTGAAACCCCAAACCCTAAAAACCCTAATCAGGGTTTTTTGGGTTTAGACTCATAGTAAGTGCCCCTTATTGAGTATATGATTATATTATTAAAGGGAACCTTTAGGGCTACAACCTTAGGGGGTACGTGCCTTCATCTCTTGACCAGGCAGCCTTCGGCTGGAGAGTCCGGCGCCCACGGTGCCGAGGCAGCTCCCCGGCGCGCTGACGCCTCGGCTGCACCTCGGGCGCACGTACTGGTGGGGGGGTCGTTTGTTTGGATTGATTTGTTTCATTGATTGATTTGTTTGTTTGATTGATTTGTTTCATTGATTGATTTGTTTGTTTGATTGATTTGTTTCATTGATTGATTTGTTTGTTTGATTGATTTGTTTGTTTGATTGATTTGTTTGTTTGATTGATTTGTTTGTTTGATTGATTTGTTTGTTTGATTGATTTGTTTGTTTGATTGGTTTGTTTGTTTGATTGATTGATTTGTTTGTTGTGCTTTTTTTGTTTGAATGGGTTTAGGGTTTAGGGTTTGCGGTTTAGGAGGGTGGAGAGGGGTTTGCTTGAAGGGGGTTGAGGTTCGTTTGGGGCTGTAGGGTCTTGGATTGGTGTGGGGTTTGGGGTTTCGGGGTGAGAATTTAGGCCGGCAGTCGCATAGGCCTGGCTGAAAAAGGATGCAATAGGGTTTAAGATTCAGGCCAAACCAAAGAACAAGGACAGCCCAGGAGCGCTACAGCGCTACAAATCTACCCCCCCCCCCCCCCCCCCCCCCCATGCACAAGCCTAACAAGCCCATGAACCAAACCCTAAACCCTAAACCCTAAACCCGAAACCCTAAACCCTAAACCCTAAACCCTAAACCCTAAACCCTAAACCCTACAAGCCTACAAGCCTATGAACCCTTGAATCCGAGGAATCCCTACTTTCTGGGCCAACTCCACCAGCACACCTGCGAGCTGTGCCCAGACGACCCGAAGTGCCTCGGTTCAAGACCACCGAAACATACTTAGAGGTTCATGGGTACTTTTAGGACTGGGTTTAGGGTTTAGGGTTTAGGGTTTAGACTTCGGGGGCTTCTAGGTGCAGTTATAATTGTGGTTACAAGTACCTTGAACCTCCGAGTAGCCGAAGGAGGCCGAAGGCTGGAGCCCGAACCCTAAACCCTAAACCCTAAACCCTAAACCCTAAACCCTAAACCCTAAACCCTAAACCCTAAACCCTAAACCCTAAACCCTAAACCCTAATACCCTAAACCCTAAACCCTAAACCCTAAACCCTAAACCCTAAACCCTAAACCCTAAACCCTAAACCCTAAACCCTAAACCCTAAACCCTAAACCCTAAACCCTAAACCCTAAACCCTAAACCCTAAACCCTAAACCCTACACCCTAAACCCTAAACCTTAAACCCTAAACCCTAAACCCTAAACCCTAACCCTGCAGCGCGGGCCAAGAGGCCCTGAACGTTGAGGGGCGGGTGGCCACAAAGCTCTACCACCCCCAAAGCTTTGGGGAGCTGTCTTTGATCAGAGAATGTGTGCGTATATCAAAACATATGCAGGTACAAAAGCAACCAGCTTAAGGGTTTAGGGTTTAGGGTTTAGGGTTTAGGGCTTGCCCTAAACCTAGTCCACGAGACTTTGTGGTATTTCTGGGCTTCCTGAAGTCGTTCTCGAACTGTCCCCAAACAAAAGTCCATCCCAAGCCGTCAGCAACCATCAGCCCCAGGCTTAAGTAGGTCTTTCCCCCACACACGCCACGGCAAACTTGTGAAAAGAGAAGGCCCCTCAGCTGCCTCAAGGCTTTGGGAGCAGTTTGGGGACTGGCTTTTTGCGCAGTCCCGGCACCTTGGGCCTGATAGAGATGTCCCAGTTTAGGGTTTAGGGTTTAGGGTTTAGGGTTTAGGGTTTAGGGGGCTTCGTAGTTACATGGCCCCTTACTATGGGCCCGCGAGGGGACCCCTTATCTTCCCTATACAACCCAAGAGCCCATACATCAGAATCCTTTGAAGGAGGTAAGGGACCTGGTTAAGGGCCCATATAGCTACCCTTAGAGAGCTATTGTGAAGGGTCACCAATGCGTGTGGATTTCAGGTTGCCTGGACTAACTCCGAAACCCCCAAACTCAAGATCCTGAGCCGTGTTGGCCTCAAAGCAGTGGACAGTTAGCCTGGAAATTGTTTTTGCGACGCACCGCATTATGCCGTCCAACCGCCAGCGCAACACTGTCCTGGCTGCAGCTGCCACCGCGTCTGCCGGCGCTCTCACCTTCGTGGCACCCCCGAGCACGCCCAGTGCCGCGCGCATCGAGCCAGGTGTCGCGGCTGGCCATGCTGCGCAGGCCCAGCCCCAGACCTCCATGGGTGCCGCCACCGTGGGCGCGGCGGTGCTCGCGGCGGGCTGCGCCGCTCGGGTGACAGCGAAGGGCAAGGGGCAGCGCAAGGCCGTGAAGGTGGCAGCGGTCAGCACCGACACGGAGGTGGAGACCGACTGCATCAACTCAATCCGCTTCCTGGCGGTTGATGCCGTGAACAAGGCCAACTCTGGCCACCCGGGCGCACCTATGGGTCAAGCTCCGATCGGTTACCTCCTCTTTGCGGAGGAGATGGCCTACAACCCCAAGGACAGCAGCTGGTGCAACCGTGATCGTTTCGTGCTGTCCTCTGGCCATGGCTGCATGCTTCAGTACTCCCTGCTGCACTTGGCCGGCTATGACAGTGTCGCCATGGATGACCTGAAGCAGTTCAGGCAGTGGGGCTCGAAGACTCCTGGCCACCCGGAGAACTTCGAGACTGACGGCATCGAGGTCACCACCGGCCCGCTAGGAATGGGCATCTCCAACGCCGTTGGCCTGGCTGCAGCGGAGGCGCATCTCGCGGCCGCCTACAACAAGCCGGACTTCACCCTCATCGACCACTACACCTACACCATTGCCGGTGATGGCTGCATGCAGGAAGGCATCTCTCACGAGGCCTGCGCTTATGCCGGCCATCTGGGCCTCGGGAAGCTCATTGCCTTCTATGATGACAACGGCATCACCATCGATGGCCACACCGACCTCTCCTTCACGGAGGATGTCGGCAAGCGCTTTGAGGCCTACGGCTGGCAGGTGCTGGTCGTTGACAAGGGCGATGAGGACGTCGACGCCATCCGCAAGGCCATTGCTGAGGCCAAAGCCTGCACCGACAAGCCCACGCTCATCAAGGTGAAGACCACCATTGGCTTCGGCTCGCCCAACAAGGCCGACAGCCATGATGCGCATGGTGCCCCCCTGGGCGCAGACGAGGCCGAGGCGACGCGCAAGCAGCTGTCTTGGAACTACGGCGAGTTCGAGGTCCCCGAGCATGTCTACGCAGCCTTCAAGAAGCAGGCCGATGCTGGCGCTGCCAAGCAGGCTGAGTGGGACAAGCTCTTCGCCGCCTACAAAGAGAAGGAGCCCGAGTTGGCCGCGCAGTTCGAGCGTGCGGTGCTCAACAGGAAGCTGCCAGAGAACTGGGATGAGTGCCTTCCCAAGCTGACCGAGAAGGACAACGGCAAGGCCACACGCTTGCACTCTCAGGACTGCCTCAACGCCATTGCGCCGGTGCTGCCGGAGTTCATGGGTGGCTCCGCCGACCTTGCGCCTTCCAACATGACCCTGATGAAGTGCACGGGCGACTTCCTGAAGGACAGCTACTCAGAGAGGAACTTCCGCTTCGGCATTCGCGAGTTCGGCATGGGCGCCGTCTGCAACGCCTTGTCGTTGGACAAGACAGGCATCATCCCCTACTGCGCCACCTTCACCATCTTCACGGACTACATGCGCTCCGCCATCCGTATTGCCGCCCTGTCCCAGGCAGGCACCATCTTCGTGACCACGCACGACTCCATTGCCGTCGGTGAGGATGGCCCCACGCACCAGCCCATTGAGACCATCCCTTCCCTGCGACTGATCCCTGACCTGACCGTGATGCGACCGGCCGATGGCAACGAGACCGCTGGGGCCTACAAGTACGCGGTGGAGCGCTCCAAGAATGAGTCCCGGCCGACCATGATGGCTTTCTCCCGCCAGGCGCTGCCGAACCTCCCCAACTCCTCCATCGAGAACACCCTGAAGGGCGCGTACGCGGTGGTGGAGTGCTCGGACCCAGAGGTGATCATCGTTGGCACGGGCTCTGAGGTCCACGTCTGTGTCGATGCCGCCAAGTCAATGGATCAGAAGGTCCGTGTCGTGTCCATGCCTTCCGTGGAAGTCTTCCGTGCTCAGTCTGATAGCTACAAGGAGTCCCTGCTTCCAAAGGGTGTCCCCACCCTGAGCGTGGAGGCCGCCTGCACCTCCGGCTGGGACGAGTTTTCCACCGCGCAGGTGGGTATCAACGTCTTTGGCGCTTCCGCGCCGGGTGGCACCTGCCTGGAGAAGTTCGGCTTCACTGCGGAGAACGTCAAGGAGTGCGCAGAGAAGTGCCTCAAGGGCGAGACGGGCGTCCTTTCCGATGGCACCCAGGGCAAGCACTGAGCCTACAAGCTTCCACACTCTTCCGCCAGCGAGGCGCCTCGATGATTTCTGTTGGAGACCTCTCAGTCACACACACGCTCGCAAGTGCAAGACTTGATTCTTTGATTTAGGAAAGCACAAGTCAAATTTCATCACATCATACAGCGAGTTTGACTTTGAGGCTTCTTTTTTACGCTTTGAACTCATGCGACATTCAGGCTCGGACTGGATGTTGGAATCTGGTGGCATTTCACCATCCAGCCTCTAGTAAGGTGAAGACTGAAGCAAAGAGCCCATATGGACACCGAGAGACTGAAACGGGCTTTAGCAGTTGTGCGCAACTTGCTTTCGACAACCAACTTTCCTGAGATCAGGCAGATTCAGTCTCGAGGAGTAGGCGCTTCAGAACGCACCGAAATCTTCTAGACGGGTTTCTGATTTTACAAGGTTTTCCAAGTCTAGTGCTGAACGCAAGCCAGCCCAAAGAAAAAGCATCTCCACATGGGCTTGGGAAGGGGAAGGTCTTTGTTATTGGGATGTGTATTCGAGTTGGTAGATGATTGGTGGAGCCTTCCTTGGTCTTGTCAGGAGTCGGCCAACGTGCCGCCAACAAGAGTTGCGATTGAATCCCAAGCCCAAAACTTAGTATTATGTGAGGTTTATGGGGTTTAGGGTTTACATGGCTTACCTCGCCCTCCGAAACCCCCAAACCCAAGGTCATGAGCCGTGTTGACCTCAAAGCAGTCGACAGTTAGCCTGGAAATTGTGTTTGCGACGCACCGCATTATGCCGTCCACTCGCCAGCGCAACACTGTCCTGGCTGCAGCTGCCACCGCGTCTGCCGGCGCTCTCACCTTCGTGGCACCCCCGAGCACGCCCAGTGCCGCGCGCATCGAGCCAGGTGTCGCGGCTGGCCATGCTGCGCAGGCCCAGCCCCAGACCTCCATGGGCGCCGCCACCGTGGGCGCGGCGGTGCTCGCGGCGGGCTGCGCTGCTCGGGTGACAGCGAAGGGCAAGGGGCAGCGCAAGGCCGTGAAGGTGGCAGCGGTCAGCACCGACACGGAGGTGGAGACCGACTGCATCAACTCAATCCGCTTCCTGGCAGTTGATGCCGTGAACAAGGCCAACTCTGGCCACCCGGGCGCACCTATGGGTCAAGCTCCGATCGGTTACCTCCTCTTTGCGGAGGAGATGGCCTACAACCCCAAGGACAGCAGCTGGTGCAACCGTGATCGTTTCGTGCTGTCCTCTGGCCATGGCTGCATGCTTCAGTACTCCCTGCTGCACTTGGCCGGCTATGACAGTGTCGCCATGGATGACCTGAAGCAGTTCAGGCAGTGGGGCTCGAAGACTCCTGGCCACCCGGAGAACTTCGAGACTGACGGCATCGAGGTCACCACCGGCCCGCTAGGAATGGGCATCTCCAACGCCGTTGGCCTGGCTGCAGCGGAGGCGCATCTCGCGGCCGCCTACAACAAGCCGGACTTCACCCTCATCGACCACTACACCTACACCATTGCCGGTGATGGCTGCATGCAGGAAGGCATCTCTCACGAGGCCTGCGCTTATGCCGGCCATCTGGGCCTCGGGAAGCTCATTGCCTTCTATGATGACAACGGCATCACCATCGATGGCCACACCGACCTCTCCTTCACGGAGGATGTCGGCAAGCGCTTTGAGGCCTACGGCTGGCAGGTGCTGGTCGTTGACAAGGGCGATGAGGACGTCGACGCCATCCGCAAGGCCATTGCTGAGGCCAAAGCCTGCACCGACAAGCCCACGCTCATCAAGGTGAAGACCACCATTGGCTTCGGCTCGCCCAACAAGGCCGACAGCCATGATGCGCACGGTGCCCCCCTGGGTGCAGACGAGGCCGAGGCGACGCGCAAGCAGCTGTCTTGGAACTACGGCGAGTTCGAGGTCCCCGAGCATGTCTACGCAGCCTTCAAGAAGCAGGCCGATGCTGGCGCTGCCAAGCAGGCTGAGTGGGACAAGCTCTTCGCCGCCTACAAAGAGAAGGAGCCCGAGTTGGCCGCGCAGTTCGAGCGTGCGGTGCTCAACAGGAAGCTGCCAGAGAACTGGGATGAGTGCCTTCCCAAGCTGACCGAGGAGGACAACGGCAAGGCCACGCGCTTGCACTCTCAGGACTGCCTCAACGCCATTGCGCCGGTGCTGCCGGAGTTCATGGGTGGCTCCGCCGACCTTGCGCCTTCCAACATGACCCTGATGAAGTGCACGGGCGATTTCCTGAAGGACAGCTACTCAGAGAGGAACTTCCGCTTCGGCATTCGCGAGTTCGGCATGGGCGCCGTCTGCAACGCCTTGTCGTTGGACAAGACAGGCATCATCCCCTACTGCGCCACCTTCACCATCTTCACGGACTACATGCGCTCCGCCATCCGTATTGCCGCCCTGTCCCAGGCAGGCACCATCTTCGTGACCACGCACGACTCCATTGCCGTCGGTGAGGATGGCCCCACGCACCAGCCCATTGAGACCATCCCTTCCCTGCGACTGATCCCTGACCTGACCGTGATGCGACCGGCCGATGGCAACGAGACCGCTGGGGCCTACAAGTACGCGGTGGAGCGCTCCAAGAATGAGTCCCGGCCGACCATGATGGCTTTCTCCCGCCAGGCGCTGCCGAACCTCCCCAACTCCTCCATCGAGAACACCCTGAAGGGCGCGTACGCGGTGGTGGAGTGCTCGGACCCAGAGGTCATCATCGTTGGCACGGGCTCTGAGGTCCACGTCTGTGTCGATGCCGCCAAGTCAATGGACCAGAAGGTCCGTGTCGTGTCCATGCCTTCCGTGGAAGTCTTCCGTGCTCAGTCTGATAGCTACAAGGAGTCCCTGCTTCCAAAGGGTGTCCCCACCCTGAGCGTGGAGGCCGCCTGCACCTCCGGCTGGGACGAGTTTTCCACCGCGCAGGTGGGTATCAACGTCTTTGGCGCTTCCGCGCCAGGCGGCACCTGCCTGGAGAAGTTCGGCTTCACTGCGGAGAACGTCAAGGAGTGCGCAGAGAAGTGCCTCAAGGGCGAGACGGGCGTCCTTTCCGATGGCACCCAGGGCAAGCACTGAGCCTACAAGCTTCCACACTCTTCCGCCAGCGAGGCGCCTCGATGATTTCTGTTGGAGACCTCTCAGTCATACTCACGCTCGCAAGTGCAAGACTTGATTCTTTTCATTTAGGAACTCTTGAGGACCAGCACAACTCAAATTTCATCACATCATGCAGCGAGTTTGACTTTGAGGCTTCTTTTTTACGCTTTGAACTCATGCGACATACAGGCTCGGACTGGATGTTGAAATCTGGTGGCATTTCGCCATCCAGCCTCTAGTAAGGTGAAGACTGAAGCAGAGAGCCCATATGGACACCGAGAGACTGAAACGGGCTTTTGCAGTTTTGCGCAACTTGCTTTCGACAACCAACTTTCCTGAGATCAGGCAGATTCAGTCTCGAGGAGTAGGCGCTTCAGAACGCACCGAAATCTTCTAGACGGGTTTCTGATTTTACAAGGTTTTCCAAGTCTAGTGCTGAACGCAAGCCAGCCCAAAGAAAAAGCATCTCCACATGGGCTTGGGAAGGGGAAGGTCTTTGTTATTGGGATGTGTATTCGAGTTGGTAGATGATTGGTGGAGCCTTCCTTGGTCTTGTCAGGAGTCGGCCAACGTGCCGCCAACAAGAGTTGCGATTGAATCCCAAGCCCAAAACTTAGTATTATGTGAGGTTTATGGGGTTTAGGGTTTACATGGTTTACCTCGCCCTCCGAAACCCCCAAACCCAAGGTCATGAGCCGTGTTGGCCTCAAAGCAGTCGACAGTTAGCCTGGAAATTGTGTTTGCGACGCACCGCATTATGCCGTCCACTCGCCAGCGCAACACTGTCCTGGCTGCAGCTGCCACCGCGTCTGCCGGCGCTCTCACCTTCGTGGCACCCCCGAGCACGCCCAGTGCCGCGCGCATCGAGCCAGGTGTCGCGGCTGGCCATGCTGCGCAGGCCCAGCCCCAGACCTCCATGGGTGCCGCCACCGTGGGCGCGGCGGTGCTCGCGGCGGGCTGCGCCGCTCGGGTGACAGCGAAGGGCAAGGGGCAGCGCAAGGCCGTGAAGGTGGCAGCGGTCAGCACCGACACGGAGGTGGAGACCGACTGCATCAACTCAATCCGCTTCCTGGCAGTTGATGCCGTGAACAAGGCCAACTCTGGCCACCCGGGCGCACCTATGGGTCAAGCTCCGATCGGTTACCTCCTCTTTGCGGAGGAGATGGCCTACAACCCCAAGGACAGCAGCTGGTGCAACCGTGATCGTTTCGTGCTGTCCTCTGGCCATGGCTGCATGCTTCAGTACTCCCTGCTGCACTTGGCCGGCTATGACAGTGTCGCCATGGATGACCTGAAGCAGTTCAGGCAGTGGGGCTCGAAGACTCCTGGCCACCCGGAGAACTTCGAGACTGACGGCATCGAGGTCACCACCGGCCCGCTAGGAATGGGCATCTCCAACGCCGTTGGCCTGGCTGCAGCGGAGGCGCATCTCGCGGCCGCCTACAACAAGCCGGACTTCACCCTCATCGACCACTACACCTACACCATTGCCGGTGATGGCTGCATGCAGGAAGGCATCTCTCACGAGGCCTGCGCTTATGCCGGCCATCTGGGCCTCGGGAAGCTCATTGCCTTCTATGATGACAACGGCATCACCATCGATGGCCACACCGACCTCTCCTTCACGGAGGATGTCGGCAAGCGCTTTGAGGCCTACGGCTGGCAGGTGCTGGTCGTCGACAAGGGCGATGAGGACGTCGACGCCATCCGCAAGGCCATTGCTGAGGCCAAAGCCTGCACCGACAAGCCCACGCTCATCAAGGTGAAGACCACCATTGGCTTCGGCTCGCCCAACAAGGCCGACAGCCATGATGCGCATGGTGCCCCCCTGGGCGCAGACGAGGCCGAGGCGACGCGCAAGCAGCTGTCTTGGAACTACGGCGAGTTCGAGGTCCCCGAGCATGTCTACGCAGCCTTCAAGAAGCAGGCCGATGCTGGCGCTGCCAAGCAGGCTGAGTGGGACAAGCTCTTCGCCGCCTACAAAGAGAAGGAGCCCGAGTTGGCCGCGCAGTTCGAGCGTGCGGTGCTCAACAGGAAGCTGCCAGAGAACTGGGATGAGTGCCTTCCCAAGCTGACCGAGAAGGACAACGGCAAGGCCACGCGCTTGCACTCTCAGGACTGCCTCAACGCCATTGCGCCGGTGCTGCCGGAGTTCATGGGTGGCTCCGCCGACCTTGCGCCTTCCAACATGACCCTGATGAAGTGCACGGGCGATTTCCTGAAGGACAGCTACTCAGAGAGGAACTTCCGCTTCGGCATTCGCGAGTTCGGCATGGGCGCCGTCTGCAACGCCTTGTCGTTGGACAAGACAGGCATCATCCCCTACTGCGCCACCTTCACCATCTTCACGGACTACATGCGCTCCGCCATCCGTATTGCCGCCCTGTCCCAGGCAGGCACCATCTTCGTGACCACGCACGACTCCATTGCCGTCGGTGAGGATGGCCCCACGCACCAGCCCATTGAGACCATCCCTTCCCTGCGACTGATCCCTGACCTGACCGTGATGCGACCGGCCGATGGCAACGAGACCGCTGGGGCCTACAAGTACGCGGTGGAGCGCTCCAAGAATGAGTCCCGGCCGACCATGATGGCTTTCTCCCGCCAGGCGCTGCCGAACCTCCCCAACTCCTCCATCGAGAACACCCTGAAGGGCGCGTACGCGGTGGTGGAGTGCTCGGACCCAGAGGTCATCATCGTTGGCACGGGCTCTGAGGTCCACGTCTGTGTCGATGCCGCCAAGTCAATGGACCAGAAGGTCCGTGTCGTGTCCATGCCTTCCGTGGAAGTCTTCCGTGCTCAGTCTGATAGCTACAAGGAGTCCCTGCTTCCAAAGGGTGTCCCCACCCTGAGCGTGGAGGCCGCCTGCACCTCCGGCTGGGACGAGTTTTCCACCGCGCAGGTGGGCATCAACGTCTTTGGCGCTTCCGCGCCAGGTGGCACCTGCCTGGAGAAGTTCGGCTTCACTGCGGAGAACGTCAAGGAGTGCGCAGAGAAGTGCCTCAAGGGCGAGACGGGCGTCCTTTCCGATGGCACCCAGGGCAAGCACTGAGCCTACAAGCTTCCACACTCTTCCGCCAGCGAGGCGCCTCGATGATTTCTGTTGGAGACCTCTCAGTCATACTCACGCTCGCAAGTGCAAGACTTGATTCGTTGATTTAGGTAAGCACAAGTCAAATTTCACCACATCATGCAGCGAGTTTGACTTTGAGGCTTCGTTTTTGCGCTTTGAACTCACGCGGCATTCAGGCTCAGACTGGATGTTGAAATCTGGTGGCATTTCGCCATCCAGCCTCTTGTAAGGTGAAGGCTGAAGCAAAGAGCCCATATGGTTTTAGCAGTTTTGTGCAACTTGCTTTCGACAACCAACTCTCCTGAGATTAGTCAGATTCAGTCCGGAGGAGTAGGCGCTTCAGAACGCACCGAAATCTTCTAGGTTTCTTATTTTACAAGTTTTTCCAAGTCTAGTGCGGCACGCAAGCCAGCTCAACGAAAAAGCAACTCCACGTGCCACGTGGGCTTGGAGGGGGAAGTGCTTCGTTATTGAGATGTTTACATGAGTTGCGTAGACGATTGGTGGAGCCTTCTTTGGTCTTGGGACGAATGGGCATGAATGGGCAAGTCGGGCATCGGCCAACGTGCCGCCACAAGAGATTTGCGATTGAATGCCAAGCCCAAAAACTTAGTATTATCTGAGGATTGTGGGGTTCTCGATTGTGGGGTTCTCCTTCCTCTCCCCTCCCCCCCCAGCCTAAGGCTCTTTTTGCAAAGGTCAGCTCGCCTTAAACTCCGAAACCCCCAAACCCAAGGTCATGAGCCGTGTTGGCCTCAAAGCAGTCGACAGTTAGCCTGGAAATTGTGTTTGCGACGCACCGCATTATGCCGTCCACTCGCCAGCGCAACACTGTCCTGGCTGCAGCTGCCACCGCGTCTGCCGGCGCTCTCACCTTCGTGGCACCCCCGAGCACGCCCAGTGCCGCGCGCATCGAGCCAGGTGTCGCGGCTGGCCATGCTGCGCAGGCCCAGCCCCAGACCTCCATGGGTGCCGCCACCGTGGGCGCGGCGGTGCTCGCGGCGGGCTGCGCCGCTCGGGTGACAGCGAAGGGCAAGGGGCAGCGCAAGGCCGTGAAGGTGGCAGCGGTCAGCACCGACACGGAGGTGGAGACCGACTGCATCAACTCAATCCGCTTCCTGGCAGTTGATGCCGTGAACAAGGCCAACTCTGGCCACCCGGGCGCACCTATGGGTCAAGCTCCGATCGGTTACCTCCTCTTTGCGGAGGAGATGGCCTACAACCCCAAGGACAGCAGCTGGTGCAACCGTGATCGTTTCGTGCTGTCCTCTGGCCATGGCTGCATGCTTCAGTACTCCCTGCTGCACTTGGCCGGCTATGACAGTGTCGCCATGGATGACCTGAAGCAGTTCAGGCAGTGGGGCTCGAAGACTCCTGGCCACCCGGAGAACTTCGAGACTGACGGCATCGAGGTCACCACCGGCCCGCTAGGAATGGGCATCTCCAACGCCGTTGGCCTGGCTGCAGCGGAGGCGCATCTCGCGGCCGCCTACAACAAGCCGGACTTCACCCTCATCGACCACTACACCTACACCATTGCCGGTGATGGCTGCATGCAGGAAGGCATCTCTCACGAGGCCTGCGCCTATGCCGGCCATCTGGGCCTCGGGAAGCTCATTGCCTTCTATGATGACAACGGCATCACCATCGATGGCCACACCGACCTCTCCTTCACGGAGGATGTCGGCAAGCGCTTTGAGGCCTACGGCTGGCAGGTGCTGGTCGTTGACAAGGGCGATGAGGACGTCGACGCCATCCGCAAGGCCATTGCTGAGGCCAAAGCCTGCACCGACAAGCCCACGCTCATCAAGGTGAAGACCACCATTGGCTTCGGCTCGCCCAACAAGGCCGACAGCCATGATGCGCATGGTGCCCCCCTGGGCGCAGACGAGGCCGAGGCGACGCGCAAGCAGCTGTCTTGGAACTACGGCGAGTTCGAGGTCCCCGAGCATGTCTACGCAGCCTTCAAGAAGCAGGCCGATGCTGGCGCTGCCAAGCAGGCTGAGTGGGACAAGCTCTTCGCCGCCTACAAAGAGAAGGAGCCCGAGTTGGCCGCGCAGTTCGAGCGTGCGGTGCTCAACAGGAAGCTGCCAGAGAACTGGGATGAGTGCCTTCCCAAGCTGACCGAGAAGGACAACGGCAAGGCCACGCGCTTGCACTCTCAGGACTGCCTCAACGCCATTGCGCCGGTGCTGCCGGAGTTCATGGGTGGCTCCGCCGACCTTGCGCCTTCCAACATGACCCTGATGAAGTGCACGGGCGATTTCCTGAAGGACAGCTACTCAGAGAGGAACTTCCGCTTCGGCATTCGCGAGTTCGGCATGGGCGCCGTCTGCAACGCCTTGTCGTTGGACAAGACAGGCATCATCCCCTACTGCGCCACCTTCACCATCTTCACGGACTACATGCGCTCCGCCATCCGTATTGCCGCCCTGTCCCAGGCAGGCACCATCTTCGTGACCACGCACGACTCCATTGCCGTCGGTGAGGATGGCCCCACGCACCAGCCCATTGAGACCATCCCTTCCCTGCGACTGATCCCTGACCTGACCGTGATGCGACCGGCCGATGGCAACGAGACCGCTGGGGCCTACAAGTACGCGGTGGAGCGCTCCAAGAATGAGTCCCGGCCGACCATGATGGCTTTCTCCCGCCAGGCGCTGCCGAACCTCCCCAACTCCTCCATCGAGAACACCCTGAAGGGCGCGTACGCGGTGGTGGAGTGCTCGGACCCAGAGGTCATCATCGTTGGCACGGGCTCTGAGGTCCACGTCTGTGTCGATGCCGCCAAGTCAATGGACCAGAAGGTCCGTGTCGTGTCCATGCCTTCCGTCGAAGTCTTCCGTGCTCAGTCTGACAGCTACAAGGAGTCGCTGCTTCCAAAGGGTGTCCCCACCCTGAGCGTGGAGGCCGCCTGCACCTCCGGCTGGGGCGAGTTTTCCACCGCGCAGGTGGGTATCAACGTCTTTGGCGCTTCCGCGCCGGGTGGCACCTGCCTGGAGAAGTTCGGCTTCACTGCGGAGAACGTCAAGGAGTGCGCAGAGAAGTGCCTCAAGGGCGAGACGGGCGTCCTTTCCGATGGCACCCAGGGCAAGCACTGAGCCTACAAGCTCACTCTTCCGCCAGCGAGGCGCCCCAATGATTTATACTGGAGACCTCTCAGTCATCCACATTCGCAGATACCCTAAACTCTAAAACCCTAAACCTTAAAGTGCAAGACTTGATGCTTTCATTTAGGGGTTTTTCATCATGCAGCGAGGTTGACTTTGAGGTTCCTGGATTTTACGCTTTCAACTCGCTCGGCATTCAGGCTCAGACTGGATGTTGAGCCTCTTGTAAGGTGAAGGCTGAAGCAGAGAGAGCCCATATGGACTCCGAGAGACTGAAAGGGGTTTAGGGTTTAGGGTTAAGGTTTGGGTTTCGAGTTAAACCCCAAGAGTTTAGGGTTTAGGGTTTAAGACAACCAACTCTCTTGCCCAGCGGATCAGGGATTAGATTGGTCAGATTTCGGTCTCGAGGAGTAGGCGCTTCAGAGCGCACCGAAATCTTCTAGACGGGTTTCTTATTCTACACGTTTTTTTTCCAAGCCGAGTGCTGAACGCCAGCCAGCCCAAAGAAAAAACAATTCCGCGCAGGCTCGGGAAGTGAAAGCGCTTTCGGGTTTCCACAAGCCCACTTTAAGATGGCCTACAGGGTTTAGGGCTTTTGGTTTTTTGGGTTTAGGGTTTAAGGTTTAGGGTTTATCGGCTCGTGCTGTGATCGGGCTTCAGCTACCCGAGTCAACAAGCGAGCCCAAAAGCTGCACCAATTTGCAGCTTCTGCTAGGTTCGGGTTTGGAGCAGAGCTGATCAAGTCGCGCATGCCGCTTCTTCTGGTATCCCCTCCCAATCCAGATGCAAAGACAGGGTTTAATCAACTAAGGGAACGGAGTGGGTTGGGTCTTTAGTTCCGGTAGATCTCGCGTAGAGCCCGGATGCAAACAAGAAGGAGTTCAGAGAATAGGGTAGCCCGGATGCAAACAAGGTTGAGGGCTTCAGGGTTTAGAGTTTAGGGTTTAGGGTTTAGGGCAAAACTGACCCTCCCGAGCTCTGCTTGCCAAAGGGCTTTGGACCCCGTCTACGTGGAGTCCGTGGTGTCTCGCGCAGTGGAGCACATGGTGGAGCGCCGAACCCTACAACCCACAAGAAAAGCTTGTCAAGCCCCCTCCCCCCCCCAGTTTTGTTTGTACTCTTATGTAGTCCCCCTTCTTGAGGATTAAACCCTAAACACTAAACCCTAAACCCTAAACCCTAAGCCGTAAACCCTAAACCCTAAACCCTAAACCCTAAACCCTAAACCCTCCTTTCGTCCCCTCTCGCAGGAGCCGGGGAGCAAGAACGCAGACCTCCAAGAGCTGTGCCGAAGCTCCCGACAAGCCCTCCGCCGATGGGCCACCTGGGCTTGGCATAAGAGGTCTAGGGTTTAGAGGATTTAGGGTTTAGGGTTTAGGGTTTAGGGTTTAGGGTTTAGGGTTTAGGGTTTAGGGTTTAGGGTTTAGCGTTTAGGCGTTTAGGCGTTTAGGCGTTTGCACAAGTCCTGATGCAAAAAAGGGTTTATAAGGTTTAGGGTTCCAAGTCCCAGTTGCAAAAGGGTTTAGGGTTGAGGGTTTAGTCCAAGCGCTAGTAAGCCCCTAAACCTTCAAACCCTAAATCCCTAAATCCCTGAACACTTGCCTGCCTCCTGCGAGCGTGGGAGCCGAAATCCCTGAGTCCCTACATCCCTATGAACCCTAAACCCTAAACCCTAAATTCCCCAAATCTCCAAACCCCACCAGGCTCCAGACACAACGGCTCAAAGCCCTCCCAAGCCCGCCCTCAGCCTTAAGCCCCAAGGCCGAAGCCCATTGATGTTAGATCAAAGGAACTCCATCTAGGAGAATTCTAAACTTCTTTGTGGCAGAAATAATATGATCAGATTCTTCGTAAAGAACAGGGTTGATATCTGGGAGCGAAGACATGTCAATGAAGAGAATGCAGATGAAATTGACTTATCATTCCGTTTGATAGTAGATGAATGGTCATGATTGAACCAAGCAACATGTATGTTTGTGACAATTTCCTTACCCCTGCCAGCAAATATCATAGGCAACAAATCGTACTCCTTGCCATGGCTCACACAGATATTCAGCAAATCAGTGAGGCATTTTTTCGCACTTTTTTTTTGTGGTCGGTTTCTCCTAGCTTCCAGAGACCCTTGACTTCGCAGGGGGGGTGCCTCAAAATGCATCAGAATGCTAGGGGTTTGTAAGGCTTCACCTTTCAACTAGTGTCCAGAGAGATCTCAGCGTCCATGCTCGCTCTGCAGTAGTGAGTGTGATGCTGGAACCGGGCTGCTGTGAACCGAGGCCTGCCGTAAAAAAAGGGTTTAGGGTTGAGGGTTTCGGGTTTAGGGTTGAGGGTTTAGGGTTTAGGTTTAGGGTGTAGCACAAGGTGAAGCAACAGCAGCGTGCTGGCGAGGCAGGCAAGCAGCCGCAGATGACCGCACCGCGGCAGTTTTTAAGAGCCAATACCCCTTAGTTAAGGAATACGCCTTACAAAGTTTTCTAGGGGTCCTTAATATGGCTTCTGGTATATTCCCTGTTCAGGGTAACGGCTATAGCTGTGTACCTGTGCACGCGTTGTTGGGACATGTGCTCTTGTCAAACGCCCAGGCCGAAACTGGACCCTGGGCCCTTAACCGTAAACCTGTTAGGTGAACTTCCCGATTAGGGTTTAGGGTTTAGGGTTTTGGGTATTTCTGCGCGGTTTAGAGGTACCCAAAACCGACAGAGCCTGCTCACCTAAAATGGCCAAGCTAAGCCTTGCCGACCACATGAACCTCCAAATTGGGGTCATAGATCCTACACTACTCGAATCCCTCTATGAACCACTAGCCTTTGTTCATTTCGTCCCCAAGGACAAGCAGTTTAGGGTCGTTGAAGACCAAAGGGTTGGTCACCCGCCCGTCCCGACCTAAACCCTTGGCTTGGAGCCTTTGTTATTGATGTCCTTTGTCCGAGGCAACTTGGAGAGAGAGAGAGAGAGAGAGAGAGAGAGAGACAGAGAGATGGAGGGAGAGTGATGGGGAAAAAGCGAGAGAGAGAGAGAGAGAGAGAGAGAGAGCCTAGTCAAAGTACCGAGGGCGACACACGCAAAGAACCCGAACACTGCGATTTTACGGACACGGACAAAGGCCCACTTCGCCGTCACGGCCGGGTCTCCTCCTCTGCGGCGGGGGGGGGGGGCCTCAAGTGCGCAGAAGAAGAAGAAAAAGAAGAAGAGAGATGGAGAGATGGAGTGATGGAGAGATGGAGAAGATTGGAGAGATTGGACAGATGGAGACATGGAGACATGGAGAGACAGAGAGAGAGAGAGGGAGAGAGAGGTCCTTATCCTTGCTTACATAACGGCGAGGGAAACCACATCCTGACAAGTGTTATCTTTTGGAGTACCGCGAAAAACGTGGCCCTCCTATCAGACGGACCTTCGGACTCGCGCACCCCTTGGGGCAGCCTTCCCTTCGGGGGGGGGGGCTACTCGTGCAGGAGAGAGAGGGAGAGAGAGGGAGAGAGAGAGCCCTGCTCCATGCCCCAAAGAAAGAAAGAAAAGCGGGGATGAGATTGTTTCGACAGAAAGGTGGATTCGGCTGGATGGGACCCTACGATTAGGGGTCACTTCCGTCAGAGCCTAGCAGCCACTATGCTACAGGGACGCCCCAAACCCTAAACCCTAACCCACAAATCGTGTTGCCCTTAACCCCAAACCCTAAACGATTAAACCCTAAACCCTAAACCCTACACCCTAAACCCTAAACCCTAAGCCCTAAGCCCTAAGCCCTAAGCCCTAAGCCCTAAGCCCTAAGCCCTAAGCCCTAAGCCCTAAGCCCTAAACCCTAAACCCTAAACCCTAAACCCTAAACCCTAAACCCTAATCCCTAAACCCTAAACCCTAAACCCTAAACCCTACCTAAACATCCTAAAGCCGAAGCTCTTCGAGTCGAAGAGCCCCTCGAGCCGCCCCCAGGTGCAGTGGCTGCAGAGGCACTCCAAGGTGTCCCAGTGCAAGCTCTGGAAGGAGTAGAAATGCGGTTGAGGGTTTAGGGTTTAGGGTTTAGGGTTCAGGGTTTAGGGTTCAGGGTTTTGGGTTTAGGGTTCAAGGGTTTAGAAATCAGGGGATGATGCTTTTTTCTTGTTTTGGGGGGTTAAGCAAATAGTGGAAATGCGGTTCAGGGTTCAGGGTTCAGGGTTTAGGGTTTAGGAAACCCTAAGCCCTAAGCCATAAACCCTAAACCCTAAACGCTAAACCCTAAACCCTAAACCTAAACCCTGAACCCTGAACCCTGAACCCTAAACCCTAATCCCTAAACCCTAAACCCGGAGCCTCGCCAGCGTGTGCGCCAGTGTGAGAGTCGAAACCCTAAACCCTAAACCCTAAACCCTAAACCCTAAACCCTAAACCCTAAACCCTAAACCCTAAACCCTCAACCCTCAACCCTAAACCCTAAACCCTAAACCCTAAACCGCAGGACCTCGCCGGTACGGAGGCCTCCGCGCAGCTCGCAGCCGCCCTCAAAGGCATTGCAGCATGGTTTCAGGACCAAGGGTTTAGAGGGAATAGGGGGTCTAGGGTTTAGGGTGTAGGGGTGCGGGTTTAGAGGGCATAAGGGTTCAGGGAGGCTCAGAGGAGCGTCTTGTGGGGGGGGCGAGGGCTTGGGGTTCGGTGTTCGGGGTGGGTTTGAGGCAGTTCGCAACCCTAAAGGGGGTGGGGTTTGGGAGACCAAGCTACGATTTCCTGCGAAGAGGCAGGAAAGTGTCATTTTCAGAAAGCCAGCCTGTGCGTGCTTGGGTCCTTGAGCTCCGCCACAGCGATCTTCTTGGCACACAGGGACAACCTTAGCCTGAAGCCCCAAACCTTTGCATTCTAAGCCAGATCAAGTCCAGTTGCGCAGAATTTGCTGAACCTTAAACCCTAAACCCTAAACCCTAAACCCTAAACCCTAAACCCTAAACCATGTAAAAAAAAAAAACCATGTAGGCGACCTGGGCTGGGTTTGGCGGACAAGGGGGGGTGTTTAGGGGACCTGAGAAGCGACGCCAGGAGTGGCAGCAGTCAGCCACCCACGACACCCTGACCCCTTGGCGGGTTTAGGGTTTAGGGTTTAGGGATTAGGGTTTAGGGTTTAGGGTTTAGGCATGTTTAGGGTTTAGGGTTTAGGATTTAGGGATCAGGCGAGGACTCACGCAAGCCTGCTGCAAAAGGGTTTAGGGTTTAGGGCACTCCTTTTTATCGGGGTTCATGGATTGGGGGTTCGGGCGAGCCCTTAGGCAAACTCACCCAGAGAGTCGGTTATTTTACTAAGTTATTGGGGGTTTGGGAGCCCAACAAAGGTAAGAGAAGTGTCTTCGCATCATAGTTGTAAGGAGTCCATGTCGTCTCTTGGGCAGAGCACTTCGATGGTACAAAAGGTCGCGAGGAAACTGCGACAAGCGAGGCCCCCCTCCCCCCCGCCCCCAAGCGGGCTTATTGGGTTTTGCAGCCTGGCCAATGTCTTCAACCCTGCGAAGGGAAAAACAAGACCCTAAACCCTAAACCCTAACCCCAAACCCCAAACCCTAAACCCTAAACCCTAAACCCTAAACACTAAACCCTAAACCCTAAACCCCAAGCCCTGAACCCACTTGGAGCAAGGAATGCCTACGTGCGCCACCTTTCCCTTGCCTCGGAGCCGGCGACGCATCCCCGGGTGTGGCTGGGCGCGTGCTTGCCGGGTTTAAGCATCCCCTAAACCCTAAACCCTAAACCCTAGGGTTTAGGGTTTAGGGTCTTTTTGCCACCCGTCTAGCCAAGCTCCACGGGGCAACTGCGGAGAGAATGCTTTGAACACTACACTTCAGAAGCCCAACTTTAGGACATGGTTTCGGGTTTGGGTTTAGGGTTTAGGGTTTAGGGTTTAGGGTTTCGGGTATAGGGTTTAGGGTTTACTCTTTACGACATGCTCAGAAGCTCAACGCGCTTAGGGATGTTCCTTCCAAGTTCCCCAACTGGCAACTATGCCGACAAAGTTTGGGGTTTAGGGTTCAGGGTAAAATCAGGTTTTAGAAAAAGAGAGAGAGAGAGAGAGAGAGAGAGTGAGAGACAGAGAGAGAGAGAGAGAGAGAGTGAGAGTGAGAGCGAGAGTGAGAGTGAGAGTGAGAGTGAGAGTGAGAGTGAGAGAGGGAGTGGGAGTGAGAGTGAGAGAGAGAGAGCGCTCAAGATATAAACTCCATCGTTCATCTCTCTTTTTCTTGTTCCGCCGCCTTGTTCATCCATCTCGCCCAAATAAGTGAGGAGTCAACGCTAGGTTCACAGGGAGGGGGCTACAAACTCCACTCAGTGAGTCGTGGATTTCCAGTTGTTTGGCAATGAATGATGGTCTTCTGAGCTAGTTGCAAACTCCTCTAGACCCTTGTTCGCTCATGAGAGTAAGTTTCAGAGATGAAGTCCATGAAAATCATGAATAATTTTAAGAGCCCATAACGCTTCTTTTTTGCTCACAGTCCCCCATCGTTAAGAATAGCCCATGTGCTTGAGAGCTACGAATACACGCGAGCTGTGTGAATGCATTGCGTGGCCAAGGGCAAGAAGATGGAGAAGAGAGAGTGTGGGGCAAGTACCTAAGACGACCCCTAAACCCTAAACCCTCCGAGGCAGCGGATGGTGCTCCGTGTCCTGCGCCTCGCGGCCAAGCGCCGTGGGCTGGCGCCTGAAGCCCTCGCGGACGCGTTGGCACAGCCCCTGTGCCTGGGGTGTTTCGGGTTGAGGGTTTAGGGTTTAGGGTTGATTGTGGGTTCTTAGGGTAGGGTCGGATGCAGGCAAAGGTGTTTGTGAGGGTTTGGCCCGGGGCCTGCTGAAGCGGAAATTCCAACTGAGGCTGGACACCCGGTTGCTCGAGCCAGTGTTGCCACAGATCCTGGCTTACATGAACAGCCCCTTGGGGCCTTCCTCAGCCTGAAGCCCCAAACCCAAAGCCCCCGGGTTGCTTTTGAGGATTCCACGGCTTCAAGCTAAGTTGCCATAGTAGGAATGTCGATATGGTCAGTTCTCTAAATTTTGGTCAGAAAGGGGTACCCGAAACAAGAGGGGCCGCCGTATAATAAGGACCCCCCAAAAAAGCCCTAGTTTCGAGAATTCGCCCGTATAGATGTTGGATGTATTTTCCTGAGGTGTAAGCCAGGTGGCCATCTTGTTCACGTCCACTGCTTCTTCTTAGTAGGGATCTAAGGAACTAGGGTTCCTGGCTAACATCTCAATTCCCTTTGAGCAAAAACTAGTAGCCTTGAGCTTGGAGGTTCATGGGTACTTATCTGTAGGGTTGTAAGTAGGGTAACTATGGCTATCACCTTGTTCAGGGTACTTGTAACTCTACCTCTAAGTACCCATAAACCTTCAAGTACGCCCACCCTAACGCCTAAACCCTAAACCCTAAAACCCAAAACCCAAAACCCAAAACCCTAAACCCTAAACCCTGAACCCTAAAGGATCATCAGCTCTGAGCGACCAGGTCCGCCAGACGACTCCGGCATGAGCCTTGCGGCGGCAGGCGAGCGTCCCTGCTGTCCGAGCGAGTTTAGGGTTTAGGGTTTAGGGTTTAGGGTTTAGGGTTTAGGGTGTTTAGGGTTTAGTAGGGCTTCGTTCACACGGTAGCTGAAATGACTGCACACCCTTCCACAACTTTCGCTGCAAACATACATGCCAAAAAGCCCTGCTAAACCCTAAACCCTAAACCCTAAACCCTAAACCCTAAGCCCTAAGCCCTAAGCCCTAAGCCCTAAGCCCTAAGCCCTGAGCCCTGAGCCCTGAGCCCTGAGCCCTAAGCCCTCAGCCCTAAGCCCTAAGCCCTAAGCCCTAAGCCCTAAGCCCTGAGCCCTGAGCCCTAAGCCCTAAGCCCTAAGCCCTAAGCCCTAAGCCCTAAGCCCTAAAGCCTAAACCCTAAACCCTAAACCCTAAACCCTAAACCCTAAACCCTAAACCCTAAACCCTAAACCCTAAACCCTACTATGATTTTTCCGTGCCTGAAGTGCGAGGGGTGCCCTCCGGAGCTCGCAGAACCGGGCCATGCTTTGCCACAGTGGTGCTCAAGAGCAACACCCAGTTAAGACCCTTTCCCCTGAAACCCTAAACCCTAAACCCTAAGCCCTATAAACCCTAACCCTAAACCCTAAACCCTAAACTCCAAACTCTTTTCGCCTAAGCCCTAAACCCTAAACCCTAATGCCTCCCAGCACGAACAGCACCGCCAGGCTTGTACTCTCGGGTGGCCACCGCGTCTCCTCACGCAGCACTCTTTCCTGCGCCTTGGACCAAACCATCACGCCCGCAGCCTTGCACCCTAAAGCGCTTTTCGCCTAGATGAAAGTCGTCACCTTTAGTCAGTTCAGGTTTAGGGTTTAGGGTTTAGGGTTTAGGGTTTAGGGTCACCTTTAATTACTGATGGTGTGAGCTGACAGTCTCTCGGATACCATGCAAAGGCGCCTATTCTACCTTTCAATTTTCGATGATGGACTTTGACCGTAATGAGTCCCTGCAATGTGGCCTGAGTGTCAGCTAGGCGGGTGGCAATAAAAAAACCTAAACCCTAAACCCTAAACCCTAAACCCTAAACCCTAAACCCTAAACCCTAAACCCTAAACCCAAAGCCCTAGACCCCGGAAACCCCTGAGGCTTCGGCTTGAGACATCCCCGCGTCTTCTGGGCGCTTCGGGTCATCATTCCTGAACCTGCCCCCCGAAACCTTGTGTTGAGGCTGGTGTCCAAGGGTTTCCTGTTTCCTAAACCCTAAACCCTAAACCCTAAACCCTAAACCCTAAACCCTAAACCCTAAACCCTAAACCCTAAACCCTAAACCCTAAACCCTAAACCCTAAACCCTAAGCCCTAAACCCTAAACCCTAAACCCTAAACCCTAAACCCTAAACCCTAAACCCTCTCTACCATATATATTTACACCTTAATTGTATTTTCAAAATTTGGCCGCTTTATTTTCAGAATTTGGCCGCTTTATTTTCAGAATTTGGCCGCTTTATTTCAGAATTTGGCCGCTTAATTTTCAGAATTTGGCCGCTTTATTTTCAGAATTTGGCCGCTTTATTTTCAGAATTTGGCCGCTTTATTTTCAGAATTTGGCCGCTTATTTTCAGAATTTGGCCGTTTTTGGCTTTCTCAATGTAGTGGGATTCTCTGGGTGGGTGGGTGTTGTATCCGAGCCGTAAATAAAGCTTAACCATAAAGCTGCTCGACCCGGAGTGCTGAACCCTAAACCCTAAACCCTAAACCCTAAACCCTAAACCCTAAACCCTAAACCCTAAACCCTAAACCCTAAACCCTAAACCCTAAACCCTAAACCCTAAACCCTTAACCCTTAAACCCTAAACCCTGAAGCAAGGCCTTGGCCGCACAGCCGCCCCGGGGACGTGGTGCTGAGGCATCTGGCGCGGCCAAGGCCTTCCTGAGATGGGAGGGTTTAGGGTTTAGGGTTTAGGGTTTAGGGTTTAGGGTTTAGGGTTTAGGGTTTAGGGTTTAGGGTTTAGGATTCCAATGTTTGTGAACCTCTGCCCCATCATGAAGCAGCTTCGAGGTCAAGGGAGCTTCCAAAGGGGGGAAATAAGCAATTTGTGACGAGCCCCACCACATGAACCCTAGAAGGGTTTATGGCTCATCTACCTGAAGAGGAGTTCCCCAATTTTGCGGTTCATTTGGTCCCCAGAAATTCTTGCACACTGCAAGGCCAAGGAGATCGTCGCCAAGCTGCATCCAGAGCTGCTGCCCACGGCCGAACTCTTCGCCACGTCGCTGACGCTGTGCTTGAAGTTCTCTCGTGGGTGTAGGGTTTAGGGCTTACGAACTGCAACTATTCGCAACCCCCCCCCCCTCTCCCCGGCCCCAAACAGTAGAAGATCATCGGAGATACGTTTGGCACGGAATAGTCACCCCGTGCAAAAGTTGTTCGGTGGATCCAGGCAGGCCACATGCTTCCTAAACCCTAGCAACACCACAAACCCAACGAACCGAAACCCTGTAAACCCTATAAGCCCTATGAACCCTGCAAACCTATATACCCTATAAACACAACAAACCCCAAAGCACCTTAAACCCTATGCACCATATTGAACCCTACAAACCCGATGAACCCTTTAGAAGCCAACAAACCCTCATAAACCCTACAAGCCCTCTAAACCCTACAAACTCTAAGCCCTGACCCCCAAAGCCACCCTTAAAACCCTCCAAACGCTTTGAACCCTACAACCTCTAAACCCTCAACCCTTGTCGGCTTTGTCCCTCCGCGTCCTCCGTGCGTGCCTGGGGGCCCCCCTAGGAATGCCATGGCCATCCCGATCGATGAGGTGCGCTCGGATGCAAACTGCAGCTCTTCGCAAGCCCACCCCTAAGGCCGTGGAACCGTGAACCTTCATTGCATCAGTCTATGGTGCTTTGGGTTTAGGGTTTAGCGTTTAGGGTTGAGTCTTAAAGGCGGCCGTGCTATTCATGTCGGCATCAAGAGCCTGTACCTGCAAAGGCAGCCCAAACGCAGAGGCACCGCGAGCCCTAAACCCCAAACCCTAAGCCCTCAGCCCTAAACCCTAAGCCCTAATCCCTAAACCCTAAACCCTAAACCCTGGACCCTAAACCCTAAAGGTCGCCCTGCGCCTGCTACACCTGGCCGAGAGCTTCCTGGCCAGTCGGCCGCCCGAGCAGGCGACTTGAGGAATTTTAATATAGGGGTCGGCATAAAATAGTAGTATGCCCTTATGGTCCCTGTAAAAGTCTTAGTAGCTGATTGAGCACACTTTACACTTTTTGGGATACTGTAACCCCCTAGAGAACTGAAAGCGTACACTTTTTGGGGGCTTATGAACTCAGCAACAAGTCGACTGTACTGATCCCCAAAACCCTACCCATGAAACCTCCAAGTCGGACCGCATCGGTGTTCACCACGGCCGATGCAAGCCGCAAGTTGATGAGGGGCGTGGGCATACAGGCTAGCGTATCGCAAGTAACCCTAGCCCTAAACCCCAAAACCCTAAACTCTAAACCCCAAGCCCTATTCCCAAGGCCCTAAGCCCTAAGGCCTGTACCCTAGACCCTAAAGCCCTAAACCCTAAATCCGCGTTTTGCCACCGGCATGCGAGGTGGTGGAAGCGGCAGGGATGATCTTGAGGCCCCTGGCCAGCTTCTGGCGAGTTGATTTTGGCGGATTCTGGTGGGGGGGGGGGGGAATTGTAAGCCCAGCCTTGTTTCTGATGAACCCCTAAACCCTAACACCCTACGCCCTACGCCCGAATTCCGAATTCAGAAGTTCCCAGGCACTTCGCGTCGCTTCTGGACCTCCTCGACTCTGGTGTGGGGGAGGCCGCGGCTTTCAGGGCTTTCGTGGGGCAAGGGTTAAGGGGCCCTGCTGCGTTGGGGATTGCACGTGTGGCCACACCTTCACACCTTCACACACTTCACGACCCAAAGCCCTCAACCCTCAACCCCAAACCCTAAGCCCCAAACCCCAAACCCTAAACCTTCGCGGCTTTGCTGCAGACCCTGTAACAGCCTTCCCGAGAGGGGTTTAGGGCTTTTAGGGTTTAAGGGGCAGGGTTTAGGATTTCGGGACCCGGGACCATAAACCCTAAACCCTAAACCCTAAACCCTAAACCCTAAACCCTAAACCCTAGACCCTAAACCCTAAACCCTAAACCCTAAACCCTAAACCCTAAACCCTAAACCCTAAACCCTAAACCCTAAACCCTAAACCCTAAACCCTAAACCCTAAACCCTAAACCCTACACCTAAACCCTAAACCCTAAACCCTAAACCCTAAACCCTAAACCCTAAACCCTAAACCCTAAACCCTAAACCCTAAACCCTAAACCCTAAACCCTAAACCCTAAACCCTAAACCCTAAACCTAACCCTAAACCCTAAACCCTAAACCCTAAACCCTAAACCCTAAACCCTAAACCCTAAACCCTAAACCCTAAACCCTAAACCCTAAACCCTAAACCCTAAACCCTAAACCCTAAACCCTAAACCCTAAACCCTAAACCCTAAAACCTAAACCCTAAACCCTAAACCCTAAAACCAAAAACCTAAACCCTAAACCCTAAACCCTAAACCCTAAACCCTAAACCCTAAACCCTAAACCCTAAACCCTAAACCCTAAACCCTAAACCCTAAACCCTAAACCCTAAACCCTAAACCCTAAACCCTAAACCCTAAACCCCAAACCCTAAACCCTAAACCCTAACCCCTAACCCCAAACCCCTAAACCCCTAAACCCTAAACCCTAAACCCCAAACCCCAAACCCTAAACCCTAAACCCTAAACCCTAAACCCTAAACCCTTGACAAGAGCTCCGTCCGAAGATCCCAGGAGTGCTGCTTCCGAAGTGTGCTCCCCGCCAGCGAAGACGACGAAGTCCTGGCCCCTCGTTTAGGGTTTAGGGTTTTGGGCTTAGGGTTTGGGGCTTAGGGTTTTGGGGTTAGGTACAGGGTTTGGGGCTTAGGGTTTGGGGCTTAGGGTTTGGGGTTAGGTACAGGGTTTGGGGCTTAGGGTTTGGGGCTTAGGGTTTTGGGGTTAGGTACAGGGTTTAGGGTTTAGGGTTTAGGCCCCTTAGCCCTTGGTTTTGCGCCTTGGGGGTTGAAGGTTTAGGGTTCTTTAGGGCTACATGGGCGGTGGGGCGTTGCTCGGAGATCATTGCCTGTCGGGCTGCAGACGGCAGCTGACGGATTCCCGAGTCTGCGAGAGAGAGAGAGAGAGGGTTAGGGTGTTTGGCTTTAGGGTTTTTCGCGTTTTAGGGTTTAGGGCTTTTAGGGTTTAGGGCTTTGAAGGCTTTTAGGGGTTAGGGCTTTCGAGCTACTGAGGGTGTAGATCCCCAACTCCACAGGGCAGCCAGAACCTGAGTGAAGCTCGAGAAGCTCCGGGCTCTGAGAGTGGTCGAAGATACCTGCTCCTAGGGTTTAGGGTTTAGGGTTTAGGGTTTAGGGTTTAGGGTATCGCGCACTTGCGAGGCTCAAAAGCGCTTTTCAAGGCAGACTTGTCAGGAGTCGGGCTGAAATGTGCCAGGCAGTGGCAAGAAAGGACTCAAAGCCCTGTGAAGCCCAAGAAGCCCTCCTCGTGGTAGCCGGGTCCTGAACCCTAAGACAAAAAACCCTAAACCCCCCTGAACCCTAAACCCTAAACCCTGAACCCGCCCTTCTCCTACGAAGTTGCCTTTTTCAATGAGGCGTTCATGGGCTGCATGCCGAGTTTGACCACGACCTACGCACGAAGGCCTGGAAATGTCCAGCAGGAACTCTCTAGCACCTGTGAATGGGTGCCTTTGATCCCCCACCCAACCCCAAACCCTAAACCCTAAACACAAAACCCTAAACCCTAACCCTAAACCCTACAGCCTAAACCCTAAACCCAATACCAGCTTCTCAGGTAAAGGCCTTACTGCCTTACACGGCCACCTGAATCCTGAAGCTCAACGCTGTGTCAGCTAGGCAGGTGGTAACAGCAAACGCGGGCCTCCAGGTCCGTCACAAAACCCTAAACCCTAAACCCTAAACCCTGGTAGCTCACTATCAGGAGCCCCAAAATTTTCAAGGTATGGGTTCTACTGCTACTGCCGATTGTCCGCCACGGGTCTGAGAGCTGAGAAGGCTGAGAAGAAGGTGAGTCCACGCAAATACCAGTTGGGGGGTTCATTTGTGCAAGTTGCAGAGCCCCTAAAATATGTCAAGAACCCAAAGCCTACATGTTTGTAGGTCATCGAAGAATCCGATCGGGGGGTTGTAGAATTTGTGCCAACAAACAGCAGTAGGCTTTGGGTTCTTAAGCTATAGGTTATAAAGGCGGGACCTTGCTTGGAGGTGCATAGGGTTTATGGAATCTGCGGTTATAACCTATTTGGGGTACGTGATAGCCCTGCCTAGAAGTACCCGAATGAACCTTCAAGCAGCCCTAAACCCTAAACCCTAAGCCCTAAACCCTAAACCCTAAACCCTAAACCCTAAACCCTAAACCCACCTTGGAAGGTTCCTCTCCATGTTCTTGCCGCCGCTCCGGCGGCTTCTGTTCCTTCACCGCCCGCCGCGCGGATCGCAAGATGCCATGCGCCACCAGAGAGCGGTTTAGGGTTTAGGATTTAGGGTTTAGGGTTTAGGGTTTAGGTGTTGCCGGCAGCCTCCTCAGTCCGTGCTTACAAAAAAGGTTTGCGGGTACCGTGATGAAGGAAAGGTAGCCTAACACTTATGTAGACAATCATACGATCGTTTACGGCATATTCCTTCCCTTACCTCCTATGCTGCGCAATGCCCCCACCCCACCAACTCTGAGTAGGATCCCTAGAACCAGAACAATCTTCAGGCGTATTCCTACTCAAACCCTAAACCCTAAACCCTATGCCCTAAATCCGCTGTGCGGGTTGGTGTCCCCGTGTGGCGGCCTTGTGCGAGAGTGAGGGACTCAACCCTAAAGCCCTAAATTTTCGGGCACCCTGAACCCTAAACCCTAAACCCTAAACCCCAACCCTAAACCCAAAAGCTCAAACCGTTTCGGGAGATTTTACTTTGAGGGGGCCTTGGGGAGGTCCAACTTGCAACCCAACTTCAGAGGGCCTCCGACCCTAAACCACGAAGCAAAGCCCAAACCCTGGCGTGGTATTTCGGCAGCAGCGGCGGATTTAAATCAAAGTTTAGGGTTTGGGGTTCGTTTGGGGTTTGGGCTTTGGGCTTTGGGCCTTGGGCTTTGGGCTTTGGGCTTTGGGGTAGCAACAGAAGTCCTGAACATACACCAAGGCACCTGGCAAGAATGTCGCAGTCCAACTCCGCCAAGACCGAGCTGGCGAGGACCGCTTCGCGTGTTTCTTTCGTGCACGCCGAAAGGTTTTGGGGTTCAGGGCTTGGGGTTTAGGGTTTAGGGTTTGGGGTTTAGGGTTAAGCCCGGACAGTTTTGGGGCTTAGGGTTTAGGGTTACTTGGTCAGGCTGTAAGAGATGACGCGGGTTACTTGGCCGGCGGAGGCTTCTCACTTTCGCAGGAGTCTCCTCTCGCACCTCCGGCTCCTCCAGCGTACCTGCAGAAGCTCGGACTTGAGAATTAGGGTTTAGGGTTTAGGGTTTAGGGTTTAGGGCTTAGGGCTTAGGGTTTAGGAGTTTTGGTTGAGCCGTCTTGGCAACTTTTGGGTAGTTTTAGAGGTTGAAGAGTTTTGAGGAGTTGCGGCTGAAGAAGCAGTGTCAGACATCTGCCTAGGTCTCCTGGGCAAACCCCCTGCCAAAAAGCCCTAAACCCTTAAACCCCAAAATTTCGTGTTTTGGGAGCCTCGGCTTGGCTTCAGGAAGCCCTATCCGAATCATGGTTCCTCTTCGCGTCCCTACTGTAATCTTGGCCCCTTTGTCTAGCGCTGGCTATTGGGACTTCGGGATTTTACCGGGACCCTTCAAGGGACCTCGCAAGCAGAGAACACGCCCGTAAAGGCTGTCAAGGTCGAGGTTGTTGGGGTCGTGAGTTTCACGGTCGCACGTTGAAGGATGTATACTCACTTATACCGCTACTTATAAGTACGCGTGAACCTTCAAGCAAGGTGTGCAGTAGGATCTAAGGGGCTTTGAGCTTACCTCAGCCATTCCCTTCCCACCTCCAACGGAGGTGGCTTCAGGCCTGACCCCCAAACCGAATCCCAACAAAGGGGGCCCCAAACCCCAAGCCCTAAGCCCTAAACCCTAAACCCTAAACCCCAAACCCTAAACCCCAAGCCCGAAACCCAAAACCCGAAACCCTGCAAAAGATGGTGCTGCAGAATCCGCAGCTCTCCAAGGCCACTTCGCCCGAGCCAGCGCCGTCCCCCTGGCGGAGCTTGCGCCCGCCTTGCTGGGAATGCTCCTGGGCCTCTGGCTTCGGACTTGGGAAAGCCTAAAACCCTAAGAACCCTAAGAACCCTAAGAACCCTAAGAACCCTAAGAACCCTAAGAACCCTAAGAACCCGAAGAACCCCAAGAACCCTAAGAACCCTAAGCACCCTAAGAACCCTAAGAACCCTAAGAACCCTAAGAACCCTAAACCCTAAACCCCAAACCCTAAACTCTAAACCAAAACCTGAGAGCACCGAGTGGACCCCAAACCCTCCCGAAAAAAGGACGCCGAACAGGCGTAGGCCCTAGGAGTCTGGTGGTAAGTATGAGCCCCTATGTAAGCATACGGCCATAGTTACCCTACCCTACTTATAAGTACACCCTAAACCCTAAACCCTAAACTACCCTAGCAACCCAGGCATCAGGGCTCTGTGTGGAAGAGTTTAGGGATTGGGGTTGAGCGTGGGGTTTAGGGTTGCGGGGGTTGAGGGTTCAGGGTTTAGGGATTAGGGGCGTACCCTAAACCCTAAACCCTAAACCCTAAACCCTAAACCCTGAACCCTAAACCCTAAACCCTAAACCCTAAACCCTAAACCCTAAACCCTTGCCAAAAAGGGTTTAGGGATTAGGGGGGTTGAGAGGGGGAGTGTGGGTTTTGGGGCTTCTCATGGCTTGTTGGGTTGACGCAGGGTGTGGGCTCCGGCACCCGCAGGATCCATGCGCCTCCATAGAATATACTTGGGCCCTAAAGCTACTATGCAGGATCCCCTTTAACGCTCAAGCATCTGGGAGTTTGCGAAAATACGGGGCCCCTATGATAGAACCCCCAAATAGTCGGATTCCCTTATACTGAGGACCCCAAACAGGTGCGGGAAACCCCTCTATATTACATGGATCCGTATCTATTATTTGCTTAAGAACCCCTCCCCAAACGAACCAAAAGAACAAGGTCATAACTCTTATAAGGAAGAGTCTTTTTCATTTTTTGGGGGTTCTTAAGCAATTGGTAGTTATAATAAACCCTACACCCTAAGCCCTAAGCCCTAAACCCTAAACCCTAAACCCTAAGCTCTAAACCCTCAACCCTAAACCCTAAGCCCTAAACCCGAAACCCTATTATAAGGTAAGCCCATCAGTCCGCAGGTTCCAGGATGAATCCGGGGCATTGCGCGCATCCGACGTGGTGCTTCCCATTCCGACGCACGCAGCTGGGGCCGCGCAAGGGCGCCGGGTTCGGGTTTAGGGTTTAGGGTTTAGGGTTTAGGGTTTAGGGTTTAGGGTTTAGGGCTTAGGGTGTAGGGTTTAGGGTTCAGGGTTCAGGGTTTAGGGTTTAGGGTTTAGGGTTAGGCAAGGTTCATGGGCTGCTAGTATAAGTAGGGTACTTGAAGGTTCATATGGGTACTTATAAGTAGGGTTCGAAGTACCCTAAGTAAGGTGATAGCCATACTTGCCCCACTGAGCCGAAGCCCCAAACTCTAAACCTTGGGCTGGCTAAACCCTAAACCCTAAACCCTAAACCCTAAACCCTAAACCCTAAACCCTAAACCCTAAACCCTAAACCCTAAACTGCCATGCGAGAGAGATCTCAGGTGGATGCTGACCGCAGCGCTGACCATGGTGCCCAGAGCAGGAATGGTAATTGAAACGCCCTATACTTGGATCATTTAGGTACTTAGAAGTAGGGTGTAGGTTTAGTTTAGGGTTTTGGGGTTTGGGTTCTGGGTTTAGGGTTAGGCGTTACGTGGAGGTCCGTGTGATTAGGGTTTAGGACTATGTACTTGGAGGTTCGTTTGGGTACTTAGAAGTGGGGTTTAGGGTTTAGGGTCTAGGGCATGTAGGATGTTCAGAAGAGGGACCACAAGCTTGAGATAGGGCGACTACCAAAGGGAGGCGGTTGCAATTGGCAGTTCCCCACCTCCATACCCTGAAGCCCTACACATCATAAATTCGGCCCCGAAAGTGGAGAATGAGCCCAGGTGGTTTCATGCGCCTCCGGCGCGCCTCACAGCTGCCCGGCTGGTAGGTTCAGGGTCTGGAGGGTTTTAGTAAGGTGTATAGGGTTGAGGGTTTAGGGTTTATGGGGTTTGGGGTTGGGTTCGGGTTTATGGGGTTAAGGGTTTAAGGTGAGAGAGGGCTCTGTTTTTTTTGTTTTAGGGCTTGCGGGGCGCAAAGGTGCAAGGTTTTTGGAGGGTGTGGGGCTGTAAGGGATTAGGGGCGGCAATGAGTGCAGATGCGAACAGGGGACTAAGGGTTTGGGGTAAAGATGGTTGCGGTTTCGGGTTCTTTGGGGTGAAACCCTAAACCCTAAACCCTAAACCAAACCCAGAACAGGATAGTCCGTGGCCCTAAGAATGCCATGCATGGGCTGCAGCCCTGTATGCAGCCACACGTTGAGCCCGTGGACCCCAGAGGTCTTGCCTTGTCCTTGAAACCTGATTTTAAGGGTTTAGGCTTAAGGGCTTAAGGGCTTAAGGGTTTAAGGGTTTTGGGTTTTGGGTTTAGGACTTGTCCATACTTCGAAAAGGGCTTAGGAATTCGGGTAAGTTCCCCTGTGACCCCTCGACCTGGCTCGTGAGGACGGTGCACCTTCTGTCGACGAAGACGAAGCCGAAGAAGCTGGATTTCGATGCTTGGCCTGGGGTTTGGGGGGACCCTTGTTCAAGATCCTACATGGGTCAAGTTAGGAGTATATCAAGGGAACCCCCTTAAGTGTACACCCCTAGGGCTCCCCTTGATTTCGATGCCTGGTCTGGGCTCAGGGGCTTAGCAAAAAAGGGGGGGTACAGGTCATGGGACTCTACCTCGGACCCCTAAGGTTGTACCCTTGGGTTTGGAGACCCTTGTTCAAGATCCTCTAAGGGAATAAGGGCCAAATTCGGAGTACACTGTACATCCTGAGGGGTTCGAGTATGACTCCCTTCATTTCGGGGGTCCCAACATGTATCTAGAAGTCACAGCTCGTTTCGGCAGATATGCCGCACCCGAATTGGGCTGAGTGCACTTTGCAGCTCGCTTGGGGCAAGGTGGGCTGCAAGAGCAATGCTTTAGAGCTCGATCTGTAGAATCCGCCGTGTTGCGACACGCTGGGCTCTTCAGAGTACTTTAGAGCACTCAGCCAGTAGGCGTTGGTTCTGGGCCCGTGACTGTCTCCGCATGGTGTGTATCGTAGCGTGGTTCCACAGACTTGACAGTTTTGCGTGCGACGCGATAAACCGGGCGGGTAAAACCCTGAACCCCAAACCCTAGGCCCCAAACCCTGAACAACCCCAAGCCCTGAACCCCAAACCATGAACCCTCAACCCTAAACCCCAAACTTCTCCCGGCTTTGAGGAAGCTCATGACGGAAGCTGGCACAGCTTCCTCCTCAAAGGCCACATGCGGCATTGTTTGCCTGTGGGGGCATTTGGGGGGTATTAGGGTTTGGGGTTTGGGGTTTGGGGTTGGGGTTTGCCTGTGGCGGCATTCTGGGTTTAGACTTTCGAGCTTCAAGGTTTCTTGAAATGAGCTGAAATTATTCAGGGTTCAAGTTCGGGAAAAGCTTCGAGGAACGTTTCGAGGAGTTTAGTTTTTGTCTTGAATCATTACAACTGAGAGTTTAGGGTCTAGGTGTATCTCGGGGCTGGATGCGAATCACAGTGTATGCCTAGAACCCCCGTTAATTCCCTGTTTGCGACGTAGATACCCCATCCCTAAAATCCAAAGCCTAAACCCCAAACCCCAAACCCTAAACCCTAAAACCCCAAGCCACCCTCAGAACACGAAGCGGAACGACCCGAGGCCCCCCACGACAAGCCCCGCCGCCGAGGGCTTGGGGTTTAGGGTTTAGGGTTTAGGGTTTGGGGTTTAGGGTTATCAGAGGCTTTTGTAGTTATAACTGGCGTTCTGCGAAGGGTAGCTATCGTTAGAACTGGCGATAACCTTGGGAATTCAGCCTTGTAGCTACTATTGAACCTCCTTACGTAGTGTGCTGAACCCAAAGACTGCACGAGTTGCGGTCTGATGGTCTAGGGTTTGCAGCCCCAAACCCCAAACCCCAAACCCCAAACCCCAAACCCCCAATTGTGAGAGCTCGTTTTATCTCTTTTCGCAAACAGTTTGAGCTTTACCGCGCCAACATTACTGAAAGATTGCACCTGCAGGATGTGCGGCCTTATGACTCTCCGCACATTTGTAGCCCTCTGTGGCTCCGGCGTCATCGCTGCTACTTTTGTGATCTTAAATTTGATTTCTCTTCTAAGTCCGAACGTTTTCTTAGACGCTGCCCTGACAGAAACTTACTTGATTCGCAGTTGGCCCAGCATTGGCTGGATCAAATCACTGCTGCTCTCACAATGCTTGATGACATAATTTCCAGATTGGCCAGAAATGAGGATGTGGTTTGACCCGCACTTACATGCCAAAATTAACAGTATCACCTGAAGCGCGTTCCTGCGCAAGTAGCATTCTTGAGAGTGTACAAACCACTCCTGTATCACCTTCGACGTAACAGACTTCGGTCCGATTCAACCCCAAACCCCAAACCCCAAACCCCAAACCCCAAACCCTAAACCCTAAACCCTAAACCCTAAACCCTAAACCCTAAACCCTAAACCCTAAACCCTAACCCCAAACCCTAAACCCTAAACCCTAAACCTTAAAGCCCAAAAACTCAGAGGCCACGACGACCTGCGCCTAGATGGGTCCCTGATGCAGCTTCTGCGCGCGGAAGCTTCGGTGGCAATCCTGGGTTGCTTAGGGTTTAGGGTTTAGGGTTTAGGGTTTAGGGTTTAGGGTTTAGGGTTTAGGGTTTAGGGTTTAGGTGTAAAGGAACGTAAGTTCAGGTTACCATGATGAGAAGTAAACAGCGTAAGCTCCCGTAAACGAAAGGAAGCCCTTGCATTTGACCACGTACTTAGTTTTTCCTTAGCAGCAACCCCAGATACAGGGCACGAAGCTCTGTTAACGCCCTCTCATACCAGCTGCTCTTTCATTCCCAGGAAAGTCTGCTGAAAGACTCTGAACTAAACTATCCGACTGGCACCCGCCCTGATTCCACACGACAACTGTCGTCCCAACCGCCCCACCAGCACAAAATGACTGTTTTGTTCACACTTCACGGCTGGATCTGGGTAGGAGTTCGGCGGGGAGGGGGTGTGCATTTTTCGACAGGGGGTTGGTTTAGGAGACAAGCCTTAGGGAGTAGTCGGGAGTATTAGGGAACCTTGGGTTACATACCCCCCTTGAACCCCCCCCCCCCTAAACCCTAAACCCTAAACCCTAAACCCTAAACCCTAAACCCTAAACCCTAAACCCTAAACCCTCAACCCTCAACCCTCAACCCTCAACCCTAAACCCTAAACCCTAGCCCTATAAGCAGGGCCTTGAGTCCTTCCACCAACGCACTTCCGAAGGCCAATGCCGTGATCGACTCCGGTGAGTGCCTGGGCGGCATGGCACCTTGGGGCTTAGGGTTTAGGGCTTAGGGTTTGGGGTTTGGGGGTTTGGGGGTTTGGGGGTTTGGGGGCTTGGGGGCTTGGGGGTTTGGGGGTTTGGGGGTTTGGGGGTTTCCGGAGCTTTTCTGGAGCCGAACTTGGGATGTTCCCCCTGACACTGACAGTCCCTTATAGGGATATAAATAGGGGGCATTATAATCCCCGTTAAGAACTCTTAGTATAATCGGGAACATCCCAAAACATAACCCTGAAGCCTGAAGTTTCTTCCGTTGTTTTGGGGCCTTCGGGGGCGAGTAGAGGGGGCTGCCAGTTGCTTTGATCTCCGCACCCCGGGGGCGTCCTCAGCCTTCGCCCGTCCCCCCCCCCGGACAATGAAAGAGGGACCTGGGAGAACGTTTATAGTCTTGGACACTTAGCTGTAGCCCTAAACCCTAAACCCGAAACCCTTTCTTTGCAAACCCGAAACCCTAAACCCTAAACCCTAAACCAGCTGTACTGGTCTTCCTTGTCATGAGGCTTGAGATCCCTGATGGGCTCAGCTAAACCAGAAATTTGGCGCCTGCTATCCTCCTAGGCTCTATATAGAGTGTAGTCGGTGCTATGTTGGAAGATTTTCGGTCAGGAAAGGATTATGGTTATAACCCTAGTTAGAGTTCATAGGGACACGCCCTATATTCCCTTAGAATAAGGAATCCAATAATAAGGTACACCTCTTTTCGGAATCCACCATACCCATACAACCTCACTTAGAAGTACCCAAAAATTAACCTCCACGTAGCGCAGCGCGCCCTGGATCCTGCATCCTTCAATGGCGGCCCCGGTGAGCCGTTTTCCTGGCTCGTCCGAGCGCCCTCACTCACCGAAACGCCTGTGCTCCGCAAAGGTCTGGGGGTGGCCCTAGACCCTGAACCCCTTTGTAATGTGCCAGCCATGAGAGTCTGAACCCTAAACGCCCTGTTCAATGGGAAACCTATATGTACGTGTCTCAAGGGAGAAGCTGAGAATAAGAATGCAGGTTGTTTCCAGTTGAATCCCAGCCGACAGCCTCAAACATACAAAACCCCTAAACCCCAAACCCTAAACCCCAAACCCTAAACCCTAAACCCTAAACCCTAAAGCCACCAGCCCCAAGTCTCCTAGTGCGCTCCCCCGATGGTCGGTCCTCCATGGGCCAGGCGCCCGCGTCCCTAGGCCGGGGGGCTTTGAAGAGCGTTTAGGGTTTAGGGTGGTTCAGGGTTTAGGGTTTAGGGTTTAGGGTTTAGGGTTTACGTAGGGCTGAGGGCAGAGGGCTGAGGGCTTGGGGGTGCGTTTAGGGTTTAGAGGTTTGGGGACCCAGAACTTCGAAACCCGAAGCAGGTGGGTGACAAATCTCAATTCAGCCTCAAGCACCTGAACCCTAAACCTCTCAATGCCCAAACCCTCAAGTCAAAATCTATGTACCTGAACCCTGTCCAAAGAAGGGTTCGGGGTTATCTAGGGCTTAAACAAATGCGCGCTTCGGGGATGAAGGGTGTGTAGAGTTTGGGGTTGTTGGAGGTTTAGGGGGGTTTTGAGCAGGGCAACTCTAGTAGGGTTTTCTGAGGCCGGGTTAGAAAGGGGGCTTAAGGGGTTGGGATTTGGGGCTGAGGGTTTAGGGCAAAAAGGGCTCCTTTGCTCGAGCGCCATGCATTGAGATCCGCAACTTACATCCCCGGCCGGCTGCCCCAAGCCCGGATGCAAAAGGGCTGCTTGCGCAGCATCTGCAGAGCACAAAGTTGAGCCCTTGTTCTTCCGGGGCTTCTCTGTTTGGACGACAGGCGAGAAAACGCCCAGACCAAAACAGAGCTCCCAACACCCCTAAAGCCAAACCGCGCGCCCCAAAACCTCAACCCTAAAAGCTTTGTCATAGTTGGATAACATCTTACATTTTTGACGGTACTTAAACCCAATAAGGAATTAACGTTTAACATTCTAATGCTATCCCAACCATGAATCAGTAAGCCCCAAACCCTGAAGCTTGAAAACCTTGGGCCCCCCCCCCGCCCCCCGACCCCAGAACGCTGAAAGCCCAAAACAAGCCCTGAACTCTTGAAGTAAATGTTGCACCTGGCCCGGGCGCCGCAAATTGTCTACAGAGAGACAAAGTTCGGGACTCCAGGGGCTTTTGGGCCTGATGAACACGGTTTAGGGTTTAGGGTTTAGGGTTTAGGGTTGAGGATGAACAACCACACTCACTCATAACTTTGTGGTGCTTTACTGCAACCTTAGATCCTGAGCCTTTTTGGGTTTATTGGGTTTCTGAATAAAAACCCCCCGCCCAAACCCCCAACACCCCCCAACCGTCAAAAAACCCCCAACACCACCCCAACACCCCCCAAAACCCCCCCAAAAACCCCCCCAAAACCCCCCCAAAACCCCCCCAAAACCCCCCCAAAACCCCCCCCCCAACCCCCCCCAAACCCCAAAACACCCCCAACCCCCCCCCAACCCCCCCCAAAACCCCCCCAAAAGCGTGGCGAAGGATGCCAGGGCTGCTCGGGCCCAGGCAGCGCCGCGACCCAGAGCCTTGGGTGTCGGAGGGTTAAGGGTTTAGGGTTTAGGGTTTAGGGTTCCGGGTTTAGGGTTTAGGGTTTAGGGTTTAGGCCGGTTTGGGGCTAAATGTTTTCCTACAATCAAGCCGAAGTTAGTTTTTAAGGATTTGTTTTTTTTTTTTTGGGGGGGGGGGTTGTCGGGGGTTTAGGGGGTTGTGGGGCGTTTAGGGTTTTAGGGGGTTTGGGTGGTTCCACGAGCGTGCATGCCAGTGTGGCGAGAACTTGGAGGGGAGAGAAGGAGAGAGAGGAAGAGAGACAGCGACAGATCGAGAGCACGTTCGGACTCATGCTCCTGTCCATGCCATCATAGCTGCCATGTCCTTCCTGATCACCAAATAGGGCCAGGAGAGGACCGATTTTAGGGGTTTGGGGTTAAGGGTTTAGGGTTTAGAGAGGCCAAGGCTGCAAACGGTTTCTTTGTGGGTCCATGTCGTTTTTGAGCTTCGAAGGGCCCCGCTTGAATCCCCAAATAGTTTGGGTTTGGGACTTAGGGTTTAGGGTTAGGGTATGGGGTGTAGTATGTTAGGGTTGAGGGTTTAGGGACAACAGTCTCATTCGCCTTTTGTAGGCTTCAAGGGGCTATGCAGTGCCGTTCCTTCCTGACGTGATTCGGGGCATAGTCACGAGTGAGTGGTCTTGGATCCCAGACACGATGTTGCAGCTTGTACGAGTGCTCATGAGGGCTGCTTGGACGGCTGTGAAACCTGGCAGAGCGCCCGGGGGTCAAAAAGGGTTGAGGGTTTATCCTCTCCGCCCCTAGCACCTTTGAACCCTAAGCTCCAAACTCTGCATTGCTCAAGGTGGAATTCCTTCGTGCAGGATTATTCGTGCAAGGGCTTTTTCAGGATTCTTAACTTGCTATTACAATTCTCGTTTTACGGTGATGATGATGACTGTTGTGATCAATCTTGCTACTCTTTCCAGAATCATTGCTGGGATTATTCATGTTGATATATTTTTTGTTACTATCATAATTGTATTACAGTTGTCATTTTTTATTGTTACTATTGTTCTTGTGATGATTAGTATAATTTTTGAGTGTTGCTTCTATTTTCATTCTCACAATCAAGACCATTCTTGTTATTAGCATTCTTATGTTCTCGTATTCGTATTATGAGTTCTAGAGCCTGGGTTATTGGGGGGAAGGGTTTAGGGTTTAGGGTTTAGGGTTTAGGGTTTAGGGTTTAGGGTTTAGGGTTCAGGGTTCAGGGTTTAGGGTTTAGGGTTTAGGGGGGGGGCTCCCGAGGACCTTGGGCTGCTGCGAGTCCGTGGTCGCTCGCGAGGCCGCGGTGGACGGCTAAAGACTGCAAGCCCTAAACTTGGGATGTTCCCCCGGATACTCACAGTCCGCAGTAGAATCCCTATGGGGGGGGAGCATCCCAACCCGAAGCCCGAAACCCTAGACCCTAAACCCTAAACCGTAAATCTGAGGAGTCGATCTTACCTGGTAGGACCTTTAGGATCTAGGGGAGGGCTTATAGGGCGCAAGTTGACTAAGTTGACGTAGGCCCCACATTGATAGAGTCCCTAAGGGAGGGGGGTTCAAGGGTGTGTTTAGTCATGCGTCCCTGGGTTTAGGTTTAGGGTTTAGGTTTTGGGGTTATCTTGCTAAGACTTTCCGGCCAGGACATCAAGGTTTTAGGAGTAATCCTTAGGTTTTTTCTGGACGCTTGGTTGAGATGCCCGGGAGTTCGGGTAAGGCTTGCTTGGGGGAAGGAGGGCAGGCGGTTTAGGTATGGTATGTAGGGGCGGCATCAGGTAGCTGGAAGGGGTGTAGAGGGTGGTAGTCTGAAGGGTTTCCCGGTATCTTGGAATGATGAGGAGGAGGTTGAAATTTTGAGGGTTCAGGTTTGAGGGTTTCAGTCCCTTTTCAAAAAATGGAATTAAGGTTCAGGGATGTGTGTGCCACTAGTCCCCCAGGCCGAGACTATTGCCGCAGAGGGCAGCGTCACCGGTGAACCTTCGGCCACTTGGCATACATTCTGCACCTAAGTCCGAAATCCTGCCCCCCTCCCCCCCCTGCCCGCCCAAATAAGGCCTAATGGGCTCTCAGGACCCCCTAAGGATTATTCTTCTTTCGGATTGCAGGAGTCAAAGAAAGTTGGGTTGACAGCCGTGAGAGTTTCAATCTGCTCCATGGGCTTGCTTCTCATGAGAACGGTCGCGGGGCCTTAGAGTTTTCTGACTTCTTCTAATTGAATGTTTGGAGCACGCTGGAAGCCCTAACTCCGAAGTGTTTAGGGTTCAGGGTTTAAGGTTTAGGGTTTTGGCTCAGTTGGCAGGATCTAACCCCCCCACAATCCAGCCCCCCCCCCCCCCAAGCTTTGTGCTGGTTGCCCCCTCCCCACCACGTGTGGCCACTGCCGAGACTTCCTACCCGACTCTGACCTCCATTCTCCCGCCTCTGACGTAGTCCACGCAGTGCGCCAGTGCTGGGCGGGTGGCCAAAAAGACCTAACCCCTAAACCCCAAACCCCACACCCGAAACTGGGTTTGAAACACGAAGCCTGAACTCTAAACCCCAACCCTAAACCCCAAACCCTAAACCCTAAACCCTAAACCCTAAACCCTAACCCCTAAACCCTAAACCCTAAACCCTAAACCCTAAACATCCCTAAACCCTAAACCCTAAATCCTAAACCCTAAACCCCAAACCCCAAACCCTAAACCCTAAACCCTAAACCCTAAATCCTAAACTCAAACTCCGAAGCCCTCTGAGCCTCTGAGCCCTCTGAGCCCTCTGAGCCCTCTGAGCCCTGTGGGTCCTCTGAAAGGACATTTTTGGGCCCCTCTCGCCCGCTCTGTCGGCGGCCGGCAGTCCATCGGCCCCTCGCCGGCAGGGCTATGTTTGGGTTTAGGGTTGTTCAGGGTTTAGGGTTTAGGGTTTAGGGTTTAGGGTTTACGGTGAAGGGTTTAACGTTTGGGGTACTTGTCCGTAGGTCTATAAGTGGGGGTAAGTATGGAAGAAGTACCCACAGGGATTTAGGCGGCGAGTTGCGGAACTCTGCAACCCTAAGCCCCAAATGGACGCGCTTATTGCGTCTGTAGCCTAGTCTGCCAGCTGGATGCCTTCATGTGCCGCAGCCCAAACCCCGTTGCAGGGGTACCCTACGCCCCAAAACTCTTAACCCAGCAAACCCCGCAGTCTCAGCATCCTTTGAGCTACTTTTTTTCATGTAGGGTTGAGGGTTTAGGGCCAGGCTTAGGGTTTAGGGTTTAGGGTTTGGGGTTTAGGGTTTAGGGTTTAGGGCTAGGCTTCGGAGTGCTCCTGGGAATCTCTGAGTCCATGCAGCAGTCAAGGATGACTTTGTTGACAAGCTCACGACCTCCGCGCTGGAGGCCGCGGTCCCTCCTAAACCCTCCGGAGCCCACAAGGGGTGGAGGGTTTAGGGTTTATAGGGTTTAGGGTTTAGGGTTTGGGACCTAATCCCAAACCGGACGGTTCTTCGGGACCCAGCCAGCCCAAGAATCCTGACTTTCATAAACCTTGCTGTTATATTTGTGTGCCTCAACCTTAAGCTAGACACGAAGACCTTCCTTGTCGTTTCCTTCCTATCTCTTAGGCAGTGTCCGACCCGGCAACCCACCTCTAACAAGCCCCCGAAGCCCGAACCCATGCTTGCGCTTTGGTGTTTTGCGCAAAGTTCTCCGCCTGATGTTATGATACCCCCCCGGCCCACAAGGCTTGAACCTTGAACCGTCCCGCTGAACCCTACCTGAAACCCTCAACCCTAGCGCGCCTGTATCTTAAACCCGAAAGTGCGGCCTAGTGGCCTTAAGTAGGGAATGAGGGTATGAGGTACCTTATATATCCCCCTTACATGTTCCCTCCCCCTTACATGTACCCTTTTAAAGGATGACACGGAGTACCTAGTTCCATCATTCCTTGCTAAGAGCCCTCAACCCTCGACCCTCTGGAGCTTCGGAGCTGGGGGAATCCCAAAGCGCTTAGACCCGCGCTCTTCAAGGGTCAGGGTTTAGGGTTTAGGGTTTAGGGTTCAGGACATGTGCCATTGCATCTGCGATGCGCGTGTGAGGGTCATGCATTCCCGGTAGAACGATTAGCCCTTCAGGGACCCAAATTTAAGAATTTAAGGCATCGCTTCACCCCCCCCCCGCCAAGATCGCCTCAGCCCGAAGTAGATCCAAGACAGGTGGACCGCACCGTGCTTCGTGGGATTGCGGTGCGAAAGTTGCTGCAGCTGCACATGTGGAGGCGGAGGGCAACCACAGGGCACGAGGAGACCTCGAGCAGAGCGACTGCAGGTGATGCCCCCCCAACACCCCCAAACCTGAACCCCAAACCCTAAACCCTAAACCCTAAACCCTAAACCCTAAACCCTAAACCCCTAAACTACTCGAAACTCTGAACCCTCAACCTACCCTCCGCTCATGCAGCAGAAGCCCCAGCGAAAGGAACCTTAGAATCCCCATTCTTGGGGTGGTCTCCCTGGGCCGGGCTCCCCCTAAACCCAAAGCACGAACCAGGGTTTAGGGTTTAGGGTTTAGGGTTTAGGGTTTAGGGTTTAGGGTTTAGGGTTTAGGGTTTAGGGTTTAGGGTTTAGGGTCTGCCGCAGGAAAGCGAGAGGCTTTATGCTCGGTCAGAGCCTACGGAGGCCTGGTCCATCCTTGCTGGGATTTTAGGGTTTAGGGTTTAGGGTTTAGGGTTTAGGGTTTAGGGTTTAGGGTTTAGGGGTGTGGGGGCAGGGTGCCCATTTGCAAAAGGGTCTTTCTGTGACGACCCAAGGCCGGCTTGTTGCTCAGTTCCGGGTTCAAAAGAAAGGTTTAGGGTTTAGGGTTTAGGGTTTAGGGTTGGGTTGGGGTTTGGGGTTTGGGGTTTGGGTTTTGGGGTTTGGGGTTTGGGGTTTGGGGTTTGGGGTTTGGGGTTTGGGGTTTGGGGTTTGGGGTTTGGGGTTTGGGGTTTGGGGTTTGGGGTTTGGGGTTTGGGGTTTGGGGTTTGGGGTTTGGGGTTTGGGGTTTGGGGTTTGGGGTTTGGGGTTTGGGGTTTGGGGTTTGGGGTTTGGGGTTTGGGGTTTGGGGTTTGGGGTTTGGGGTTTGGGGTTTGGGGTTTGGGGTTCGGCTGGGATGCCAGTCGGTCACCTTCTTCCCTTCTCTACGGGCTCGGTTCCCTAATAAAGCCCCATTCAACAAAGGTGGGCAGCCTTGTTAATCTTGGCAGCCCTCAAACCCTGAACCTCCCACTGCCCTGCAACAGTGTTTTGTAAACCTAACACCTTAAAACCCCTAAAACCCTCAAAACCCCTAAAACCCTCAAAACCCCTAAAACACCCTAAAACCCCTAAAACCTTAAAACCCAAAAAACCCTTAGAAACCCTCAAGGCCCTACAACCCCTAAAACCTTGAAACCCCTAAAGCCCTCAAAACCCTAAAGGCCCTAGAACCCCTAAAACCCCTAAAACCCCTAAAACCCCTAAAACCTTGAAACCCCTAACCGAGAGGCCCTAGGGGCCTTCCTGTCTCACAGCTGGGACTCGGACGGCGCTTTGACACTCTGCTGCCATTCTGGCTTCCTGTCAGGTTTAGGGTTTAGGGTTTAGGGTTTAGGGTTGCGAGGATTCCTGCAGCAAAACAAGGCTCAGGGTTAAGGGTTCAGGGTGTGAGGTTTGGGTGATGGTGATTCCTCTCTCAAGTGGGGCGTGTTCATTGCGTGGTTGCTGTCCGAGGAAAGTTGTCACGCTGATCCTGCAGACATCTTGGCATCTTGGCTGAAGAGAGGAAAAGGGGGGTGGTTGGTCTGTGTGTGTGTGGGGCGATGGGTTGCAGCCTTCCATGAAGTACCTAGAGCTTAAGGCTACTTCGCAACCCTTGACATTTCGGAAAGCAAGCCACCCCTCAAAACACACGTTCGAACTCGACAGACCCCCAGAGATTGCATGTAGTGAATAAGGAGCCTGTAGAGCTCAAACGCTGACCTCTAAACCCTAAACCCCAAACCCTGAACCCCAAACCCTAAACCCTAAACCCTGAACCCCAAACCCTAAACCCTAAACCCTCCGACCGAGTCCTTGCCTGCCTTGTGCGAGAGCCGAGAGCCGAAACCCTAAACCCTAAACCCTAAACCCTAAACCCTAAACCCTAAACCCAAAAACCCTACTTAAGTCGCCCATTGGGTGCAGCTCTCCAATGCCCCAACCGGGGAGGCCCCGGCCCAATTCTGGCTGAGGCCTCTGCTCGTGACCTGCTGGCTGCTCAGCACAGGCTGCTTCGTCTAAGTATTGCTATTATTGCCAGTAGTCGTACTGCTTTTTTTAAAAAACATTGTTGCCATTCTTACAATGGGTATGATTAATTATTGCTACTGCTGTGTTGTCTTTATTCTTCTACAAGAAGAGTAGCAACTGTAACAACTAGTAGAGTGCAAGAACCTGCTATTCTTTTAGGGTTTAGGGTTTAGGGTTTAGGTGTTACTGTTCTAACTGTGACAGCCGCAATCACTACTCTGGTGATTGCTGCTATTCTTACTACTTGGGGGTCCACGACAGTAAGGGACCCTAATATAGACCCCCAAATAGTAGATCCCCTAATAATGAGGACCCCAGTACGGTACCCCTAAACAAGGAAACCCTTGATTGCCATTACTGTGATTTGGGATGTTCCCCCTTAGACTGACATTCCTTAGTGGGGATTATAGTACCCCCGAATATAGTCCCTACTAAGGACTGTTAGTGTAAGGGGTTGAGGGTTTAGGGTTTAGGGTTTAGGGCTTAGGGTTTAGGGTTTAGGGCTTAGGGCTTAGGGTTTAGGGTTTAGGGTTTAAGGCCTTAGGGCCTTAGGGCCTTAGGGCCTTAGAGGCTTGGGGCTTCCGAGCCTGGATTCCAAGGGGCGTTTCAGGAGCTTGCAGGGCCCGCAAGCGACTCAACAGCGCCCTGAAGCAGAAGTTCCAGGTTTCTCTAGGGCTTGAAATGGTTTAGGGTTTAGGGTTTAGGGTGTATGTGTTTAGGGTTTAGGGTCATAGGGTTTAGGGTTTAGGTGTTTTTTGTTTGGCCTGGTGGGGTGCTTCGGCTGGCAGAGCTGATCAGCTGCTACGTGTTCCCAGAACCCGGAAAATCCTTGACCCTGAACCCAAAATCTAGGGTTTAGGGTTTAGGGTTTAGGGTTTAGGGCACATTAGACCCCGAGAATCTTCAGGGGCTGGAAAAAGAAGGGTATTGGGGATCATGTGGCTAGGGTTTAGGGGTTTAGGGGTTTAGGGGTTTAGGGGTTTAGGGGTTTCGGGGTTTAGGGGTTTCGGGGTTTCGGGGTTTAGGGGTTTAGGGGTTTAGGGGTTCAGGGCTTCAGGGTTTCAGGGTTAAAGGGCTTCAGGGTTTTAAGGGTGTAAGGGTTTAAGGGTTTAAGGGGTTCAGGGTTTAGGATGAATCTAGCTTGCCAAGCTCTTGTGACCGGCGGAGGCTTTGTTTTCACTCTCGGCGTTCTCGACCTCCTGCCCATGCCGTTCATTATTGGCCTGGGCCTCAGCTCATATTTTCCTTAAACCCCAAAAGGCCCTAAACCACCCTAAACCCTAAACCCTATAAACCCTAAACCCCAAACCCTAAACCCTAAACCCTAAACCCTAAACCCTAAACCCCAAACCCCAAACCCCAAACCCCAAACTCTAAACCCCAAACCCTAAACCCTAAACCCTAAACCCCAAACCCCAAACTCTAAACCCTAAACCCTAAACCCTGAACCCTAAACCCTGAACCCTGAACCCTGAACCCTAAACCCTAAACCCTTGTCAGAAACCTACGAAGTTGGGGGGGATGACCTTCCAAGGCGCCCGAAGCCCAGGGCTGCGCCGGAAGTACCCCCAAGCCCTCAGCAGCGAACAGCCTCACACCTAGGGTTTCGGGTTTAGGGTTTAGGGTTTAGGGTTGAGGGTTGCCGTTTAGGGGTGTTTTTAACCTTCCATGCCAGTGCTGCTGCTCCCCGAGAAGTAACCCTGCCCCACCATAATATGCGCATCTGCGGAGAGAGGGATAGGGAATAGCAAGGAGAGCACCTGAGAAGCCTGCAAGAGTCCTGCCGAGTACCCGTGGAGTGCCCAGTCCTGTCAACCGGGAGTGCCCATCCCCGGAGTTGCTTGCAGAGAGCCTGCGGCGAAGTGTCCGTCATTACCTGAAAACGGCAGGATGGCTCCCAATCAGGTATCTGGGAAGGTAGCTGTAGGGTGGGGATGATCGAAGTAAGGAAGCTTAGTTTACATAGCGATGTTTTAAGATGCTTTCTGATTGGGTGCTTTTAGTGCTTGTTATCGTGACCATCAGCTTAGATACCGGGTGAACTCGCACGTGTGCCCTGTGCGTGTGTGCAGAGAGGCCCCCGCGAAGGCGGGGACCCCTTCGGCTGCTGGACTCTTGGACTAAGCTGGAGTTTTTCAGGGTTTAGAGTTTAGAGTCACGAAAGATTTTGGGGTAAAACTGGAGTCTTCAGGGTTTAGAGTTTAGAGTTTTCGGGGTCAGGGTAGAGGTTAGGGCTTCGAGAGGGCTTTCGCTGTGAGCCCAGATGCAGGGAGGGTGTCGAGCTCGGGGTAGTCGTTCTATTTGAGGGCAGCCTTCGACCAAGCGCCTACCTAGCAACGGTGCGGGCAGGGACCCTAAACCCTAAACCCTAAACCCTAAACCCTAAACCCTAAACCCTTAAACCCTTAAACCCTTAAACCCTTAAACCCTTAAACCCTTAAACCCTTAAACCCTTAAACCCTTAAACCCTTAAACCCTTAAACCCGTAAACCCTTAAACCCTTAAACCCTTAAACCCTTAAACCCTTAAACCCTTAAACCCTTAAACCCTTAAACCCTTAAACCCTTAAACCCTTAAACCCTAAACCCCTAAACCCTAAAACCCTAAAACCCTAAAACCCTAAAACCCTAAAACCCTAAAACCCTAAGCCCTAAACCCTAAACCCTAACACCCTAAACCCTAAACCCTAAAAAGGGACCTTGGAAGGGCACAGCAACCAGCGCGACCCCTGTGGCAAACCTTACTTGGAGGGTCATGCATACCTACAAGTACGGTTAGGAGTACCCGAAATAAGCTATAACCACAGTTGCCCTACTCATTATCCTACTTCTAAGTACCCATGAACCTCCAAGTGCAAGGTTTCGCTCTTGCAAGGGGCAAAACAAAGTTTTGCTCAGGGGCCTAAATGGGCCGGAAGAGGCGTCCAAACGGTCCCTTGCGTCAGGCAATGATTCGCCAGTCTGTAGCACCCTAAACCCTAAACCCTAAACCCTAAACCCTAAACCCTAAACCCTAAACCCTAAACCCTAAACCCTAAACCCTAAACCCTAAACCCTAAACCCTAAACCCTAAACCCTAAACCCTAAACCCTACACCCTAAACCCTAAACCCTAAACCCTGAAAACCCCAAGCCCTAAACGCCCCTAAGGATTCTGGCGACGTCGATCCTGGGAATCATTCTCGGGATGTTTTTGGCGGCCTACTTTCCAGGCTTTCCGATGCCAAATTGTCTTGGGGTTTGGGTTTAGGTTTGTTCAGTTAGAAGTTCCCATCGAGGGCTTATCCCCAAAAACAGGCCCACTACTTTCCAGGTTTTCCGATGCCAGAGTTTGTGGGGTTTGGGGTCCAACAGGGTTTAGGGGCTTAGGGGTTTGGGTTTAGGATGGTTTCGGGTTTAGGGCTTAGGATGGTTTAGGGTTTAGGTTTGTTCCGTTTGAAGTTCCCACAGGCCCACATGATGCAACCGAACTCCGAATTCAAGGCAGCATGTAGGGTGGAGGCCTTGAAACGTTGCTCCGGATCTTGCGAGCACAAGTGTGCCGGTTTCAGCACAGGGCCTTTGACGCCCCCGCTCCGAATGTGGTCATCTCGGAAAGCCGCAACTTTTGCAGCACCACACCACCCTTCTGGGTTTAAAGGGTATAAGGAGGTCCCAATATACCTAAGCAGCTAGCCCCCCAGTAACCCCCAAATAGCTCCTAAGGTTCCGCATAAGGGTCCCTCCTTTGGTCCCTTGAGAGGTGGTGCCCTGGTTTTCATGGACAAGGCTTGTGTCCACCAGTCCTCGTTGGAACTGATGCTTGGGCAAAATTAGTTTCGCGACGGCTTGAAGTCGAAGACCCTGACCTCATATAACGCAGACCTTATCAGCCCTAACACACCCTGATGTGCCTTAAGCCTGCTAGCCCAGTGGTAACCCTTCACCCTGTTTTTGGGTTATGGGTTCCCTTATCTAATAGCCTAGCCAAACAAGGGTTCCCTGATTATCGTATGGTTTCTGGGCTACCAAGTAAGGCAAACAACCAGACAAGGCAACAGTTTCCTTGCGATGCGAGGAAGCGCCGGGCCATCTACAGTATCGGTGGCTTCCTCCAGGCTAGTGGGACCCTATAGGGTTTAGGGTTTAGGGGTTAGGATCTAGTAACCTAACTGTGAGGTTTCTGGAAGGATAGGGCAATGTAATTAGTCTAGATGCAAAAACGGTTGGGGTCCGCCCGCAACACCCTCGGAGCCGATATAAACCCCCAGATAAAACTCGATCTCCACCCTATTATTCAATCCCATGTAAATAAACCCTTTGAGCGGTGATAAACCTATACACCCTCAGGGCCTAAACCCTCCGACGACACTATATACTTGGTTCATAGGTACGTGAAAGTATGGCTATAAGTAGGCTAAGTATGGTTCTATCCTTCCTTAGGGTAAGTCCCCACGGAACCTTCAAGTACCCTCCCAGCCACACTAAACCGGAAGCCCCAAGCCCCAAGCCCCAAGCCCCAAGCCCCAAACCCTAAACCCTAAACCCTAAACCCTAAACCCTAAACCCTAAACCCTAAACCCTAAACCCTAAACCCTAAGCCTAGATAAGCCCTGCCCTACATCGTCAGGTCTCGAAGGAGCTCTGGGTGCTGTGGAGCCCGCAGTATCTCTCTAGGCGCGTTTCGGGCCGTGAATCCCGCACCCCAAACCCTGAACCCTAAACCCTAAACCCTAAACCCTAAACCCTAAACCCTAAACCCTAAACCCTAAACTAATACTCAAGTTAAGCGTGGCGTCTCGAAGACAAAGGCAGGGTTTAGAGTTTAGGGTTTAGGGTTTAGGGTTTTGGGGTTTTGGGGTTTATAGGGTTTGGGGTTTCTGGGTTTAGGGCTTTGGGTGGAAATCTCTCCTTGATCGAAGTGAGAACGAATCATGCCACACCAAGAACCCCCCCCCCACACCTTCCTTCCGCTCTCGCTCGGGCGATCTTCTCCCCAAGCCTGCAACAAGCGGCTTTTCTAAACCCCCCCCCCCCCCGCCCCAAAACCAGTCTCCCCTAAGACCCAAACCCCAAACCCCAAACCCCAAACCCCAAACCCCAAACCCCAAACCCCAAACCCTAAACCCTAAACCCTAAACCCTAAACCCTAAACAACCCCAAGACACCGGAGGCTGTGGTGCGTCTTTGAGATCGCGGCCTTCCGCATCGGCAACCCCCAGGGTCGCATTCGCATCCTGCCCTTGCGCCCTGACTCGACAGGTTGCTCTTTCTTGGGCCGAAACCCTAAACCCTAAACCTGAACCCTAAACCCTAAACCCTAAACCCTAAACCCTAAACCTGAACCCTAAACCCTAAACCCTAAACCCTAAACCCTAAACCCTAAACCCTAAACCCTAACCACTAAACCCTAAACCCTAAACCCTAAACCCTAAACCCTAAACCCTAAACCCTAAACCCTAAACCCTAAACCCTAAACCCTAAACCCTAAACCCTAAACCCTAAACCCTAAACCGTAAACCCTAAACCCTAAACCCTAAACCCTAAACCCTAAACCCTAAACCCTAAACCCTACCAAGTTAAACCCTAGACCCTACCCTAAACCCTAAACCCTAAACCCTAAACCCTAGACCCTAAACCCTAAACCCTAAACCCTGAACCCTAAACCCTAAACCCTAAGCCCTAAACCCTAAACCCTAAACCCTAAACCCTAAACCCTAAACCCTAAACCCTAAACCCTAAACTTACTTTGTGGTGGATCCTGAGAGGGCTGCTGCTTACAAATGAGCGCTGAACTTCAATAACCGACTCCGGTGCACTGGTCTTTGGGGTTTTCTAGCCGAGCCGAAATCTTCTTTGTGGTGCCTTTTTTTTAGGGATGTAATTGGTTATCCTGACAATACTGGTGGTACGGCGGTAGCAACGATGGTGGTAGCAGCAATGGTGGTAGCAACGATGGTGGTGGAGCAAACAACCAAAGTTTAATTGGTTTTGACAATTTAGGAGATCGAACGAATACTTCTGCTAATCGTAGAGCTATGCCTGTGGGTAATGCCAGAAGATGGGACTACTACAAGTATTGCCATGCACCATGAGGCGGGACAAGGAGACATGCATGAGATTAGCTGTTTATACTGGGAGTGGAATAAACCCGAATCATAGAATTGCTGCAACAGATGTTACTCCTGTAAGCTCTCAAGCAGGGAGACAAACTATTCAATTACAGCAACCAGTACAGATAAATGCTACTGAAAGTTTATTTTTGGCTTGGGTATGTCTTGGAAAAATACACCCCCTGCACGAGTCACAAGGCTACTGTGACGCGTAGGTTCTGTTCTGGTACCTTTGAAACCTCAAAGCTGGCACGCCCCGAATCCTTCAGGCATGCTGGCCATCAAAAACATGCAAGTGACATGACATCCCACATGAACTCTTTACAAGACGGACTTTGCACTACGCAATGACCTGCCCCGGAGGTCCACTTTGAAAACAATCCAGGTATACGATATAGACAGGGAAGCCGAGGTAGAATAGATGCTGGTAGCAGTTGGTCTAATGGTATGCCTAGTAACTGGGGAAACACTGCCAACCAATCTAACTGGGTCTACAACATCTACGCAGTTTTGAACGCCCTCCTTGCTCAAGAACTTCCCGCCCCCAAAACCATCTAACCCTAAACCCTAAACCCTAAACCCTAAACCCTAAACCCTAAACCCTAAACCCTAAACCCTAAACCCTAAACCCTAAACCCTAAACCCTAAACCCTAACATTACGAAGGTTCATGAGCAAGACCATGGTCCTCATGTACATCGGGCTCTACCTCGCCAGCTGCACTATGTGGCTCTTTATTGCGTGCCGCGGTGTTTTGTTAAAGGGTAGGTCCACCTTTTTCATACCGGGGAAAGGGACGGATGCTACTTAGCTCCGAAACCCCAAACTCTGCAAAGTATTGGGACGTAGGGTTAACCCGAAACCCTAAACCCCAAACCCTAAACCCTACACCCCAAATCCTACACCCCAAACCCTAAACCCTACCAAAGGGGTTCAGGGATGCGACGACCCCGCGATCTGGCGCAAGGCTGGGCGTGAACAACTTCTTCATGGTCGTCCCCTGCCTCCTTCCCTTGACGCCACTTCTGCACAGCCTGCGCAGGCACTTCGCCAAGAGCTCCCAAGCGCCCGAAACCCTAAACCCTAAGCCCTAAGCCCTAAGCCCTAAGCCCTGAAGGGTTTGGGTTTTAGGGTTCAGGGTAGTCCCGGGTTAAAAAGGGTTCCGGTCCTTGAACCTATCCTTTCCTTTCCCCCCTTACCACTTCATGTGACTAGGCGAACTGGTGCTGGAGGCTGGAGGTCCTCAAGTTAGTCTGGAGAGTCGCTAGACGGGTGGCAACCAAAAACCCTTGCTAGGACCCAGAGTAGGCCCTTCTTCCCTTTTTTTGTGAGGGGGGGGGTTTAGGTTCCCTTATGAGCCCCTTTAAACCAAAAGGGCACCCTTTTTTATGACTAGGTTATTGGGCTCAGTTACATTGGGTGGGCCGAGGGTTTGGAGAAAAACCTCCACGTTCTAGTAGGGTTCTTCGCACTGTTATACCCTGAGTGAGAGTGTGGTCGGAAAGTTCTTCACTTGAAGAAGGTTCCTTAAGCCATAGCAAGCGTATTCCTGCGGGAATCTCTTGTCCCAAGAGGGCCACTGAAATGCATCTTACTGTTCCGATAGGTATGTTAACGCCTATAGCCAAATAGGCAGCTTAGGCTTGGGCCCTAAGCCCTAAACCCCAAACCTTAAACCCTAAGCCCTAAGCCCTAAGCCCCAAACTGCAGGAACTGCTGTACCAAAGACCAGCTGCTGGATGAGCTGCGAACTTTCCACCTCGCGTCGTTGAGGCACGTTGCCGGAAACATTAGGCTGCCTTCTAACACCCCAAAATATTGCAATCGCGTCTGAGGGTGCCCCCCCCCCCCCCCCTTCCCCCCCCATATCTAACTCTTAGCAAACTGCTACCCTAAACCCTAAACCCTAAACCCTAAACCCTAAACCCTAAACCCTAAACCCTGAACCCTAAACCCTAAACCCTAAACCCCTTGCAGTGTGTTGGAGGTGGCACACCAGGGTGGTCCCCAACCCCTAAACCCTAATCCCTATCATCGTGTGAGCCCTAAACCAGAGATCTGGGTGTTTAGCCTCCGGTTCCCGCTCCGAGCCTGCAAGGACACTGAGTTCCCCGTAGGTGGCAGAAACTTCAGGCTTTAGGGTTTAGGGTTAAGGCTCCACCAAACCAAGGAAGCAGAAAGTTCCCGATCAAAGCTTGGGGGCAACCTGCGATGCACCAGCAGGAATGCAGTCAAAGGGACGACAGTGTTGCCCTGTCCTTGCAGGGACCTCATGGTTAGGTTACTAGAGCCCCTAAGGACCCCTTAAGCCCCCCCTTAAGCCGCCCCCTTTAAGGCCCCTTTAAAGGGTCCTCTCCCCCAAGGACCCTAGAATTAGGTCCCTGGAAGGACAGGGCCAAGGTTTCCTTTCTTGAAACGAGGAGCTCATGCCCAAATATCTCTGAGAGATGGGCTCTTGTTACTACTTGTTGTGCTCTAACATTCCCCTATGGTCCCTGGAGAAATATACTGCAATACCCCCAAAACCCTGTTCTAAGTATTCGGGCTCCTACATCTGATAGGTGCAGCACAGACAGCGACCGCGCCCAGATCGTGCCCACCATCGTGAGGCAGGGGGACGGTTTGAGATTTAGGGCTTAAGGTCTTGAAGGTTTAGGGTGCCCCTGGCAGCAGAATAGAAGTGTGACTCCCGCGCAAATAGCTTGACCCTGCGGAAGTTTGCCGAATGTGCCTTTAAATGCAAGAGCGCGCACACGCTGTGGGTGGGTGGGCGGGCGGGAGGGCGGGTGGGTGGGTGGGCTGCGGGTGGATGGGTGGATGTCTCTGTCTCTGTCTGTGTGTGTGAGTGAGCAGGTGCATGACTGAGTGAGTCCCTAAACCCTAAACCCTAAACCCCAAACCCTGAACCCTAAACCCTGAAGCCTAGAGTGCATGTCCGTCTGCGTGTGCGCGGGAGTGCGTTGGCCCAGCTCTTCCTGCGGAGGTGGTATGGCAGCGAGGAGGTCTTCGAGTACTTCGTGCGCACGACGCTCTATGAGGACCTCTTGGCCAGAGAGGAAAACCTTTCCTGGGTTTTGGAGTACCAGACTCTAATACTTGTTTTTTTGGTTTTGGGTTCCTTTTGTAGCTACTTATACCTTAAAAGTATATACTTTTTTTTGCACCCTAAACCCTAAACCCCTAAACCCTAAACCCCTAAACCCTAAACCCTGAAGCCTTTACTCCAAAGCAGGGTTTCAAAGTCTTCACAAAGCTGGCGCGGGCTCCAGGTTTGTGAGGTTGCCCGCTTCAGGTTCGGGATCTGGTGTTGCAAGGTTTGGGTTCAGTGTTTAGGGTTTAGGGTTCAGGGTTTAGGGTTTGGGTTCAGGATGCAGAAAGGCCGGTCTTCGCGCTCGCTGGAGTTAAGCGTTTAATACAGAAGCCGAATCCATGCCAACATTGTCCCCACATGTACTACACACAATACACAACCCTATCCCTAAATAACCCTGAACTAACAAAGCCTATAGGCCTATAAGCTGAAACCCGAAACCCTAATAGCCCCCCAACCCTCATGACGCGGGTGGCCAAGTGACATAAACTTGGCTTTCCTTGGTCCGCGATGCGCTGCCGAGGCGGCGCGCGCAGGCGTTTACAGGTACCCAAAGAGCCCGGTGCCTCCCAAAAGAGGAACATGGCTTAACTCGCATGAAGCATGAAATTGGACTCCGTGGGTAAGTTTTGCCTTCGGCACTACAAACACCTTCATGCCAAAAGGTTTGAGAGGTTTGAGGGGTAAAGAATGTCACTAAGGCCTCAGCCCCCACGCAAACTGCCTGGACTGCCCGATCCAGCCACCAACCCTTAACCCAAAGCCTCGAATCCTAAATCCTGAGCCCTGAACTCTAAACATTCTCGACATCCGCAAATAAAATCTGAACCCTGAACCCTAAACCCTAAACCCTGAACCCTAAACCCTAAACCCTAAACCCTAAACCCTAAACCCTAAGCCCTAAACCCCAAACCCCAAACTCCAAACCTCCCTGAGGAGCTGAAGCAGATACAGGGCACGCCGAGGTCAGATCGGCTTTGCTTTTCCTTTCTTGGTTTCGGGTTTCGGGTTTAGGGTTTGGGGTTTAGGGCTGTCGATGATTCGCCCAGACATTTCGGGTTGCAGTTTGTTGTTTTTTTTTGGCAGGGGTTAGCGTTTAGGGTTTAGGGTTTGGGGTTTAGGCTTAGGAGAGAGGCTGGAGAGGGTTCAAAAGGGTTCGCCCTAGAGACAAGGGTTCCCTAAACCCTAAACCCTAAACCCTAAACCCTAAACCCTAAACCCTAAACCCTAAACCCTAAACCCTAAACCCTAAACCCTAAACCCTAAACCCTAAACCCTAAACCCCGCACACTCAACCCCAAACCGGGGCTTGCCATGAAGCCAGATACGCACATCACCTGCTCATCGTGACGTCGCCCCTTGCCTTGGGAGTGGCTGGGCCGAAGCTGCGATTCCGACAAGGGTTTAGGGTTTAGGGTTTAGGGTTTAGGGTTTAGGGTTTAGGGTACCCCTTTTTGCTCCTAGGTTAGTCTTGGGTCTAGTAGACCCAAGGACCCGCAACGGAGCCCTAAAGGTCCCCGAACTTCGGCGTGTTTGTTGATCTTAGATTGGGATGTTCCCGCTTACACTAATAGTCCTGAACAGGGATTATAGTATCCCCTATCAAAATCTCACTAAGGGCTGTTAGTATAAGGGGGAACATCCCAAATCTTAGAGCTCGTATTTCCTTGCTTGCTGATATCACATCGCTCTTGACTTTCGAATATCGACACTCTCCTCTCGCAGCTTGAACGACGACGGCTAGTAGAATGTATGAGAATGATGATTATAATTATGACTATTATCATTACTCTTCTTCTTATTATTATATCTTAACAGTCCTGTTGCTGCTGTCACTCTGCTCTTCTTTGTTCTTTAGCATTGCTGCTGCTACTGATATTGCCGCTGCCGCCGCTACTGCTATTTACTGCTGCTTCGGCCGCTGTGTCTTTATTCCTACGCCAAACGACAGTCTGTGATGTGGACGCCGTGCCTGTGCTTTTCGCCCTGGGAGAGTCTGAGGTTAGGGATCAAGCGCCGGTGGTCGCGCAGGACTCCCCTGAGACCCGGATCCGTATGCTTAGCCCAGGCAGAGCGCCTGCTGAGCGTGATCAAGTCCGGAATGCCTCTGGAAGGAGTCTGGGCCATGCATGATCACCATCGATAGGGCCCCAGGTATAGAACCGACCCTCTATTGTTCTTGGGCGTGGGTTCGGGGACTAGGTTGTAAGAACTCGGTGATTGAGTGAAGGCTTGAGACATCCGCATACCTTTCTCCGATGCATGCATGTACTCATGCATGAGTGCATGAATGCATGTATGTATGCAGGCATGGATGCAGGTGTGTGTGAATGTATGTGTGGGGAGGGGGGGAGTCTATATTTCCCAACCTTACCGCTGGATCTACGGTGGCATACTGTATTGTAATATTCTTTAGTTATCGACGCAGGCACGACCCGAAATAAGCGCACGATGATATTCCTGCAGGAGTCGAGTTGCCAGCGTCTAAAGTTTAGGGTTTAGGGTTTAATCCCTTCCCCTAATGAAGAACACCCCTGCTCCCGCCCTCCCCCCCCGCAGGCTAAAACGACTAACGAGGCCCTGATTTTAGATATTCCCGGCCGATCCGAATTTTGGATTTTTCGGGGGGGGGGGGGGGGGGGGGTGTTTTTTAGTACCAGGGGGAAGGGGTGTTTCGGGTTGAGGGTTTAGGGTTCGTGTTGTCCGAAACTCTTCTTTCTGGGGACTGCCGCGGGGGCAGGAGTGCTTTCACGCTTACTGGCCGTCCACGTCGGCGTGCACATCTTCATCTGCCTGATCTGCATCCGCTTCCTCTTCCACTTCACGGACCGCCTTGGGAGGGAAAGAGTAGGAAAGCGATGCAAACCCCAGGTGAGACTTCCCCCTGTAAGCGCTCGAATTGAGCGATGCAGCCTTTTCCGGAAAGAATCCTCAGCCCTAGACCCCTAAACCCTAAACCCTAAACCAGATAGTTCCCTGCGGAGTGGCCGAAAGGTCAGCCAGGCGAAATTTTTAAAAAGCACAACCCCAAACCCTAGCCCCTTATAAACCCTAAGCAAGCCTCGGGGGCTTCGAGCCATGCCCAAGCAGGTGCGCTACGCCAGCCCGTGTCGATCCGGCTACTTGGACTGGGCCTTCTCTGCCACGCTGACGGCTGGGTCCGCAGCGCCTTGCCTTCCAACAATGAAGCCACGCCTTGGGGAGGTTCCCCGCCTGACACTAACAGCTCCTGAAGAGGGATTCGAATAGGGGGGCCCTGAACCCTAAGCCCTAAACCCTAAACCCTAAACCCTAAACCCTAAACCCTAAACCCTAAACCCTAAACCCTACTAGAATCCCTATTGAGGACTGTTAGTATAAGGGGGAACCTCCCCAAGGCCACGCCCTTCAACGACGCAGTTCGAGGCCCGAAGCCCCTTATGCTCCCCAGAAGTCCTGCCTCCTTTAGGGCACAGAGCAGCCCCTTCTTTTTCAGGGTTTAGGCTCCCTTACCTTAGAAGCCCCTTTAATTTTATACCAAAGAGTAGCCCCCTCTTCCCTGTTTAGGGTTTAGGTTCCCTTAAAGCCCCTAGAAACCGAAACGGGCGCCTTTTCTATTCAAGTACCCGGCACTCGCTACGAGGCCTGGTTAGGGTTCAGGGTTTACTGTGGTTTGAGAGAGTCCTCGTTGACAAAAAGGGGCAAAAAGATTTCCAAGGCGTGCTTTGAACTCTTTGAGTCTTGGGCATCTCGGGCAGAGTTTGGGGCTTCGGGTTCAGTGGCCCAAGACAGGCTAGCCTACGACAGTTTGCACTTTCAGCTGCGCTGCTTCCCCCCTTATCCTAGATGCTCCTGCCATCAAGAGTCCTTGGTGGGTTTAGGCTTTAGGTTTCCAGAAGACGCCCCCAACGCGCGCAAGTCCCTTCTCGAAGGGTAGGTTCTTAGGGTTTTCCGGGCTTCAGGTTTGAGGGTTTCAGAACTAGGGTTTAGGGTTTAGGGTTTGGGGTTTGGGGTTTAGGGTTTGGGGCTCGAAATCTTGCCGCCTCCGAGGTGATCTACGCGAGCGGCTTGTCCTGGGGAAGCTTTTGCTGCTCTCGGGCTGTTTGTCAGGGGGACACGAGACAACCTCAAGCTCCAAACGCCATCAAATCTGATCTTCGGGAGTGCTCGGAGGTCCTTGAACCCTGAAGCCCTTACTTAGTAGTAGAGTAGGTAACCTTTAACCTTTTTGGGTTAATATCTTCCCCTTATAATCCCCAAGGTTAACCTTTAAAACCCCTAGGTACTGGACAACTAAGCTTAGACCAAATCTTCTGAAGAAGCCAATCTTTCAGCTATTGAGGCTAAGACATACTTTAGGGTCGGAATACATTGCTTCTACTATTCCCTTACAGTTCCCCCGCAAAAATTATGTATACATACAAAACCCCCCAAACCCTCTAATTATTAGTATCCCCTTACCCCCATACAATAGCACATGAAACGACCCCTACTCGATTCATTCAGGCCCCTATATTGGGATGTTCCTGAATAGGGATTATAATTGGGGGGTACTATAATCCCTATTAAGGATTGTTAGTATAAGGGGGAACATCCCAACCCTTATATTATGCCAGTGCAGACCCTCGGCAAGTGCTCCAAAGACATCGGAGGTTCATGTGGGTACTTATGACTCGGGTTTAGGGGTTTGGGGTTTAGGTTTGAGTTTAGGGTTTAGGTTGAGGGTCGAGGGGTGAGGGTGCCCCTTAAATAACAAGGTTATAACCATACAGGATTCTACTAGGGCCTCCCGCCAAACATCCTTCACGCCTCCATCCCCCAAAAATCCAAACCCCCCCCCCCCCCCCCCCCCCCCCCCAATTGGTGAAACTCGGGAAGATTCCTAAAGCCTTTAGCCCTTGAACCCCTAAACCCTCAACCCAAAGCTCGGGCTCAGCCAGCGGGCAGCAAAAAAACAACCAAAACCCCGAAACCCTTAAACCCTTAAACCCTTAAACCCTTAAACCCTTAAACCCTTAAACCCTTAAACCCTTAAACCCTTAAACCCTTAAACCCCGAAACCCTCAACCCTAAGTCCGAAGCCCAACACCTCGACACCCGAAACCCGGCGCTGCTCGTGTTGAGCTGAGGCAACTTGTGGCTTGCTTCCGTCATGGTGGAGTATGGACTCCTCTTTTGGGCGTTTAGGGTTTAGGGTTTAGGGTTTAGGGTTTAGGGTTTAGGGTTTAGGGTATTGTGGGAATTTCGGGGTTCAGGACGCTCCTGGCCGCTGGTTTCGGGATACTTTTGACCCTCGAGGGCCCGCATCCCGCTTGCAAACCTAGATTTCGCACATAGAATTCAAATTTTCAGGCCCCCCTCCCCGGCTCCCCTCCTCCCAAATTCGCTTCGGGCCTGACAATGCCATGACTACGGCGCACAGCCCTCTAGCACATGCACGCGCACACACACACACACATCCACACCCTAAAAGGACTCCTGGCATCGGCTATCTACAGCATCATGGCCTGCTTGAGTCTCGTTCTGACCCACGCCTGCTGGCAGATCCGCTGAGTCCAGCTGTCAAACAGCCCCGCAGAGAACCCGTGAGCCTTTAGGGTTTAGGGTTTAGGGCCTAGGGTTTAGGGTTCAGGGTACCTTTATTTGGTATCTGTCTGGCTTAGGGAGTTGGGCTCTCGTGCGCCCACTTTGGGGTTGGCGGTTTGGCCGACCGCGCGCCAGCGCGGCCAAAAGGTCGCAGCGGCCCCAATAGTTTCCTACTATTTGCTTAAGAACCCCTAAAGAGAAATAGAAAGCACAATAGTCCCGATGTTACCCTTGCAAGGAAGAACATTTTGTGATTTTTTTGGGGGGTTCTTAAGCAAGTGGTAGTTTCCGACATTCTGAGAGTTTTGCACTTGCAGGTTCATCTGGGTACGTACTAAGTAGGGAAATCACTACCTTCGTAAGGTGATGTCCATAGCTCCCCTACATATAACACCCCTACTTCTATGTACCCATGAGCCTCCAAGCAGCACGTAGATGCCATATCAGGGACTCTGAGTTGGCGAGCGTGATGGCCTCAGGCCTCAGGCCTGTCATGAAGCCGCAGGTTCAAAAAGGGTTTGGGGTTTAGGGTTTAGGGTTTAGGATGCGGGAAGGTTTGTGCTGGGTTTTTGGGTTTGTGCTGGGTTTGGGGTTGTGTGCTGGGTTTTGCCTTGGTTTAGGAGAGTTGGTGGCCGAGGCTTTGCGGAAAGTGAGAATGCGAGAGCCAGCATGACAGCGGCGGCCTTCCGCAAGAGCAGCGAGCAGACCTAGACCCTAAACCCTAAACCCTAAACCCTAAACCCTAAACCCTACACCCTAAACCCTAAACCCTAAACCCTAAACCCTAATATGTCTCTGACCCTTCCCCGTAAACGCTTGCGAGACGGGTGCGAAAAAAAACCCTCAACCCTAAACCCCTAAGTTCCCAAACCCCTAAACCCCCAAACCCCCAAACCCCTAAACCCCAAAACCCCTAAACCCCTAAACCCCCAAACCCCTAAACCCCTAAACCCCCAAACCCCCAAACCCCCAAACCCCTAAACCCCTAAACCCCTAAACCCCCAAACCCCTAAACCCCTAAACCCCTAAACCCCTAAACCCTAAACCCTAAACCCTAAAACCCTAAACCCTAAACCCTAAGACCCTAAACCCTAAACCCCACAACCCAAAACCCCAAGCCCTAAATCCCGCTGAGGTGCGCCGCCCTGGGAGCTCTGGGCCCGCGAGGGATGGGACGTGGTGCCGTTCTCAGGGTTTAGGGTTTAGGGTTTAGGGTTTAGGGTTCAGGACCCTAAACCATGAACCCTAAGCTACGCCCTAAACCCGACGCCCCCAAGGGAAGCTTTCGATCTTACACCCTACACCCTAAACCCCAAACCCTAAACCCCAAGCCCTCAACCCTAAACCCTAAACACTCAGGAAGCCCTCCCCAAAGGTGCCTTCCTGTCGCCAGCAGTGCCTCTCCGCTGCCGCGACTATGACGTTGTGCCCATTGCCCCGAGGCACCCCCCAGCTTTGGGTGTTCTGGGGTTCTAGGGTTCTAGGGTTCCAGGGTTCTTGGGGGTTCCGGGGGTGTAGGGTTTAGGGGTTCAAGAAAGGGGTTCAAGGTAGAAGGGTTGTGAGTCTGGGTTCAGAAGGGTTTCCGATGGCTTTTCCAAGAGGCCCAAAAACCTCCTGGGTTTAAGTGCTAGGGTTTAGGTTTCACGGTACGTTTCGAATGAGAGGTTTCACGGTACCTTATAGGGTGTACCTTATAGGGTGTTTAGGTTGCAGGGGGGGCCACCAAGCACTTGGGGTGTCCCCCACCCTCGAGCCTTTACGATAGGGTGTCGGGTTTTTAGGGGCTTCGGGGATTTGAGGGAACCCTAAACCCTACACCCCGGATGCAAGCAAGAATTGCGGGGGCTGGGGCTTCGGTTTCCGATTCCCTCGTTGGCCCACACCCTGAACCCACTTGGAGGTCCATGGGTGCGTACAAGTAGGGCCATAAGTATGGTAACTATGGTTATAACCTTATTTAGGGTACTTCGCGCCTATAACCCACTTGTAAGTACTCAAATGAACCTCCAAGTAGGTTCCCTAAACCCTCAACCTTCAACCCTAAACCCTAAACCCTGAACCCTAAATCCTCAACCCTAAGCACTCCGCAGCCCCTTCCCTTGCCCCAGGGCGGGCCTCATCCGCTGGGTCGCAGCGACGCCCCTTGCACTGAGGGTTTGGACTCCTAAGTGTCACTCTCCTACCCTCAGCCCTAAGCCCGAAGCCCTAAAAACCCTAAACCCTAAACCATAAACCCGAAGCCCTTAAAACCCTTAACCCTAAACCATAAACCCGAAGCCCTAAACCCTAAGCCCTAAACCCTAAACCCTAAACGCAGCTGAGGCCCTTCTTTGTCATCCACAAGCAGCGTCGGCAGGCAGGACTTATCATAACCCTACTTGTGCGCATTCATGTAAGCCTTTCATGAACCTGCTAGCTTGGTAACTGCCGCCTAGCCCTTTAGATCCCTAGATCCCAGGCCCTCTTGTGGGAGGCATCGTCAAGAATATGAAGAACCCTAGGCCCTCAACCCTAAACCCTAAACCCTAAACCCTAAACCCTAAACCCTAAACCCGAAACCCGAAACCCTAAACCCTGAATCAAGGGGCGTTGCAGCTTGAACCTCAACCCTATACGTTGTTGGGGTCCAAGGACGCCCCAAGCCTCCCCAGGGCCAAACCTCACTCCTAGACCCCCCCCAAAACCCACATGGTGAGTTCTCTAAACTAAACCCTAAACCCCAAACCCTAAACCCTAAACCCTAAACCATCCTAAACCCTAAACCCTTTTTGGGTTCGCCCTCAGAAGTGGGAGCCGGCTCAGAATTAATGGTCTCTTTTTGGGGTCCTTGCTATGAGGCGGCAGCTCTTATTTTGGGTACCCCCACAAAGGGGACCATAAATCAGAGCTCACCATCTGATTTTCTCTGATTGGGTTTACGAGGATTGTAAATAGGAATGGTTGAAAAGACAGCTCTGAGCCCGGGACCCAAGCCGCAAACCCACGAAAAGGCCCTAAGATCCTCTAAGCCCAACAAAGGCCCAGAATCCCAAACCCTGCAAAGACCGCAAAGCCCTGGCCGTAACCCTAAACTCCGAAACCCACACATTCTGAACTCCCCCCAAGCCTGTAAAACCCTCAAAGCCTCAACCCTTAAAGCCCTAAACCCTTAAAAACCCTAAACCAAGCTAAGACCCTTCAGCCTCTCAACCAGCCCTAAGCCCTAAGCCCTAAGCCCTGAGCCCTCAGCCCTAAGCCCTAAGCCCTGAGCCCTCAGCCCTAAGCCCTAAGCCCTCAGCCCTAAGCCCTGAGCCCTAAGCCCTAAGCCCTAAACCCTAAACCCTAAACCCTCAGGACCTAAGCCCTACAGCAGCCCCAAACTCCAGGCCTCACAGAAGACGACGGCTGGGGAGTCGAAGGCGAAGGCCGGAGAAACCTTAGGGTTCAGGGTTTAAGGGATTTAGGGTTTAGGGTTTAGGGATTTAGGGTTTAGAGTTTAGGGTTTAAGGGATTTCGGGGGTTGAAGGGATAGAAGGGTTTAAGGGTTTAGAGGTTTCGGGGCTTAAGGGTTTAAGCGCTTAAGGGTTTAGGGCTTTGCGGGGCTTAAGGTTTTAAGGGCTTTGGGTTTAAAGGTTTAAGGATTTAAGGTTCAAGTGTTTAGGGTTTGAAGCTGCGGACTCCGGGCTCAGGGCCTAGGCCTCAACACTAAGCCACTCAACCTCGGGACCCGGAGCCCCGAGGCTGCGCGATTCATCCCCCGGCCCTGCGCTCACATGGGAATTGTTTGGCGGTTCATGGGTACTTACAAGTAGGGTTCACGTAGGGTACACATAACCTTACATATAATCGATTTATAATCGGTTATAAGTACCCAGATGAACCTCCAGGGTACATGGCTCTTCTAGTAGAGGGCCATGTACCCAGGCACCGATGATTGAGTGGGCTTTCGTAGGGTCACGTGCTGAACGTGTCCTCTATGGAGCTGAAGCCCTGCAAACAGAAAAGGCACCCCAGCAGGCTTCAGCAGGCTCCAACATCGTTTTGGTTTGGGTGTAGGTTTGCAAGGCCGGCGTGCAGTCAAAGAACGACAAGTGTGGATATGGAGTGAGATGGTCTTCCTCATACCCCCCTTCCCCCGGAAAGGAACTTTGACCGACAGAAACCTAAACCTGAACCCCCCGAGGCCTGAAGCCTGAATCACTCAACCCTGCCGCACAGCCCCCTTCACAGCTTTGGCACGCCCTACCTGAAGGTTCAGGCGTACATCTTAGGGATACAAGTGCCCGCAGTAAGCTTACAACCACAGCTACCCTACTTATAAGCCTACTTACCCAGACCCCGGAAAAAATCCAAAAAGCAGAGCCCCCAAAATAGTACCCTATACTACTAGTGGGTCATTCTTCACCCTTAAGGGGATCTACCATCTGAATCCTGCCAACGGTCTGGGTATAAGCACCCATAAATAAGCCCTCAAGCCCTGGACTGGGGCCTGCGTTTTTTTTTTTTTTCTGGTTTTTTGGAAGAGGATGCGCCGCCTCCATCCTCCGCGGACCTGTGGCAGAAGAAGATCCAGCAGCACCTGAGGTTCGGGATTCTTAAGGCAACAATTGGGAGCTCCGCCCCCGCCGCGCAACCCCCCCTCCCCCCCTTTGTGGACCCTAAACCCTAAGCCTAAACCCTGAACCCTGAACCTTAAACCCTAAAGCCTAGACCCTGAACCCTAGGCGGGTGGCACAAGAAAAGCCCTGAGCCCTGAGCACTAACCCCCGCGAGCACTGTCGTTTTTCTGAGTTGTGTGTGCGACAGGGGAGGTTTGCAGCTTCCTTGGGATGTGGCAGAAATACTGTGTACCTTAAACCCCTAGCATAATTCTGTGGGCCCAAATCCCGGTTATTTGTGTGTATACGTATGTATGTATACATACACATATACATAAACGCTGGGGTTCAGGGGAGGCAGGGGATTGGTCATCTTATGTTCCCCTGTTTACCCTTTCAAGGATATCGTCTTCTGGAGCCCGTTAGCCAGTGGTGTTGGGGCGATAACGCCCTTTGATTGGGGATGAAGACGTCTGGTTCAGGGTTCACGGGCTTTCTACTTGGACAGAGCCGTGCCCCGTAACCCTAAACCCTGAACCCTAAACCCTGAACCCTAAACCCCTTGAAGGGTTCCGGAAACCCCGAGCACCCCCCGGAAGGAGCATGGACGTCGACGCCGGGCTGCAGCTGCAAGTGGGGGTGTGGGCGAGCTAGAGCTCTCGAATCGAAGTTTTTATGGCTTAGGGTATAGGGTTTAGGGGTTGGGGGTCTAGGGACACACCACATCAATCGAAGGCCTGGCCAAGGAAAGGACGTTGTGCAGGTGCCCTGAGATCCTTAGTTGGCTTGTGCCAAGTGTACACAAACAGGGGCATAGAGTCATGTATGGTTGGTTTCCTTCAGATGGTCACTCTAAACTTTTGCAGCAGCAAAAGTGCCACTACATTTAAAAAAACCAAAGCCGTGAACCTGAAACCCTTAGTTCAAGCTCCTGAACTGCAGCCAGCATGCTGTGTCATTTGGCGGCTTGGACAATGCGGGGCAGGTTTTGGGTTGGGTCTTGACGGAAACCGGTTTAGGGTTTATAGGGTTTCGGGTGTAGGGCCCAACCTTATTGCATCAGAGTCTGGGCTCAAAGTGGATTAGGGTTTAGGGTTTAGGGTCGCAAAACGCACCTGTTTCGGCTTGGGACGTTATCTTGAACATCGTCTAAACCCTAACCATACTTGGAGGTTCATGGACACTTGTAAGCTCAGTCCTTGGTACCCGAAATGAGGTCACAACCATCCTTATAACTATTATAACACTACGTAAAAGGTACCATGAACCTCCAAGCATCACCCTATAAAGCTCTCAAGGCCCCGAAAACCAAAAATCCTAACACCGTGTGCCGAGGACATGAGCACGACCCCAAGGAAGCACTGGCCCCTCGAAGCACTTCGAAGGAACGGGTGATTTAGGGTTAGGGTTTAGGGTTTAGGGTTTAGGGTTTAGGGTTTAGGGTTTAGGGTTTAGGGTTTAGGTTGTGTAACCCTAGCCCCCCAAAGCCCCTTGGCCCTGCGGGCTTTGAGGCGCCCCAAGCCGTGAACCCTGAGTCACACAGGCATGTACGAGTTGCGAGCACTGAGACCTTACAAGCCCCTTGAGCCCTAAACCCTAAACCCTAAACCCTAAGCCCTAAACCCTAAACCCTAAACCCTAAACCCTAAACCCTAAACCCTAAACCTTTGGAACCCCGGCCGGGCAAAGCTTGCGGAAGTTCAGCACGTTGTTGGTGCGGGTCGCCGTCGCGTTCCGCACCATCAGTCCAGTCGCAAGAAACCTTCAACCCATACCCTAGTTTCATATAGGGTATTCGAGCCATTCCTGCAAGTACAGATGGACCTCCAAGTACAGTTCCAACCTTGACCCGAGAACACTTCCCGGTAGCTCAACAGTGTAATTCAGATATTTTTTCATCAGTCTACTGCATGGTTGTTTATCAGAAAGCTACGCTCAGGGTATATACGGGGCATAAGGGTGCCCCAGCTCAGGGCCCATGTTGAGGGAGCCCTAAACCCTAAACCCGAGGCCCTAAACCCTAAACCCTAAACCCTAAACCCTAAACCCTAAGCCTTAAACCCTAAACCCTAAACCCCTAAACCCTAAATCCTAAACCCACGGGCTCGCAGGACCTTTGATGAGATGCAGGCGGACGGTCCCGCAGACCTCATCCGTCGGGAACTTCTGCTCAGCTCCCTCCACCCAGGCCGGCAAGCTCGGCCCAAAGAATCCCAATATAGGGGTCGGAATAATTGCTAAGAATATTCCCTTATGGCCCCTTTGTAATCATAGTATAAGAACCCCCCCAAAACCCGATTAAAATTATTCAGGCCCCTAGATCAGAACACCTGTAAGCCCTACAAACCCTGGCAAACCCTGTGGTGCCCAGAGACCCTACAAGCTTCTGCCTTCGGACAGAGCCCCACGAGAGCGCTGAACCTCGGCTTACTGAGCCTTGGGTTTTCCAACAGGCAGTATAGTGCCCCCAATTATACTCCCTACTAAGGACTGTCAGCATAAGGGGGCACATCCCAAGATTTACATGCCGTGTTTTGGCTGAACTTTCCCTCTGCCGATGCTCGCTCTCAGAGTGGGTGGTGGGATGTTCCCCCCTTTTCTCACAGTCCTTAATTGGGATTCTCATAGGGGGCACTATAATCCCGATTCAGGACTGCTAGGATGAAGGGGAACAATCCCAAGTTGTCTCTGTGGTCCATTTCGGTATAAGAAATCTAAATCCCAAATCCTGAACCCTGAACCGAAGTCCCTTTTCCGAATCATCCCTAGCCGAACCCGAAGCACCCTAAGCCCCTAAACCCTAAACCCCTAAACCCTCAAACCCCTAGACCCTAAACCGACATCTCTCTTCCACAGCACCTGTCCGAAATCATCCCCAAGCCCCCCCAAACCCCAAACCCAAAACCCCAAACCCCAAACCCTAAACCATTCCCTCTTCAGTTGCCCCGTGGAGCATTGCTAGACGGGTGGCAAAAAAAACCCTAAACCCTAAACGCGAACCCCTAAACCCCAAACCCTAAACCCCAAACCCTAAACCCTACACCCTAAACCTCAAACCCTAAACCCTAAACCCTAAACCCTAAACCCTAAACCCCGAAAGCAGGGCAGCACTTCGTGCGCACGGCGGCCTTCGCCAACTCCGTCGGCCTGTCCTCGGTGTTGGGGCATCTTTGGTGGCACTGTAAGATGCCCTGACGAGCCTTTAGGGTTTAGGGTTTAGGGTCTAGGGTTTAGGGTTTAGGATGCCCTCACAAGCCTCCAAGGTTTGGGAGGTAAGGGTTTCGGGTTTGGCGTTTGGGGTTTAGGGCTTGGGGTTTAGGGTTTAGGGCTTGGGGTTTAAGGGGGTTCAAGGGCTTGGGGTTCAGGGTTTAGGGCTTGGGGTTTCGGGCTACTGGGTCAACAGGCGTTTAGGGTTTTAGGGCATCCTCAGCTCTAAACCCTCCACTGCGCTTCCAGGTCTTTGGGCAGCGGAGACCTCTCGAGCCCCCAACAAGGGCCCTAGACCCTAAACCCTAAACCCTAAACCCTAAACCCTAAACCCTAAACCCCAATTTAGGAACTAGTCCCTGCAACGTGGCCTGAGTGTCAGCTAGGCGGGTGGCAAAAAAAAAACCAATTTAGAAAACTACGCACATGGTTCAGAGGGCTCAAGGTTCAGCTAAGGGGTTTGGGGGTTTCGGGTCCGGGCGTAGGCGCAAAATCCCCCAAGCCCGAAGGAGGGTTTACGCCCGTTTAGAGCAGCAAGGCCCGAGTTTGGGGTTTAGGGTTTAGGGTTCAGGGTTTAGGGTTTAGGGTCGCTCCCCAACCAAGCTCAGAGGCACCTCATTGGCCTGGGCGACCGGCATCTGGACAACCTCCTCCTGGACCTCATCACGGGGGAGGCCGGGAAAGTCTGCCACGAGCAGGAGCAGTTTAGGGTTTAGGGTTTAGGGTTTCTTTTGGGGTGTAGGCCCGAAACCCTACACCCTAAACCCTAAACCCGCTGAGGTTGCCTTTAGGGGTTGCTGCTTGGCTGGTTGCACGCGCGTGGAGCTGGAAGTCCAGAGGGTGCTTGCACAAACCCTTTGGGGTGGTGGGGGTGGGTGGGTGGGTGGGTGGGTGGGTGGGTGGGTGGTAGGGATAAGGTTTGGAGATTGGGGTTGTGCAGTGCTGCTTGCTTATGAGCTGTTTGAACCGGCCTCAGTCCATGCACACAAAAAAGGGTTCAGGGGATTAAGCAGCGTCGACCCGGGTAGTTCTCCTAAATCAGCATATTTTGAGTGTTCGGTACGTAGGACCTCAACATAGGGGCCCTAAGTTTGAGAACTACCGTGGTAGTTCTCGACTTCTGGTGTCCATGATGCAACCAAAGGCAGTGGAAGGCAAGTGCAACGGATTAAAAACCCTTCAACCCGAAGCCCTGAGCCCTACAACCCGAAGCCGGCAAGAGGTACCGGAAGCCGGAAGCCCTAAACCCTTAACCCGCAACCCTTAAACCCTTAAACCCTTAAACCCTTAACCCTTAAACCCTTAAACCCTTAAACCCTTAAACCCTTAAACCCTTAAACCCTAGTCCCTTTAACCCAAGAGGTGGTCCACGTGGACTACTCCATCTGCTTCGACCGCGGTGCCCGACTCCGTGTTCCGGAGCGCGTGCCCTTCCGTGCCCGAGACGGCAACCACGCACGGTCAGGGTGTTCTTGGCGGCTCATGGGTACTTACAAGCAGGGGTGGAAGTACCCTAAGGAAGCTTATCACCGTAGCTACCCTACTTCGAACCCTACTTATAAGCACCCATGAACCTCCAAGTTGGGCTAAGGGTTTAGGCAAAAGGGTTTGGGGTTTAGGGCTAAAGGGGTTCAAGGCTTTGGGGGCTTAGGGTTCGCCCTAAGACAAAGGGCTCTCGCATTGTAAGGCGCGGTGCTCCAAGGTGACTTCGGATTCCCAAACCGAGGCCCGGAACCGGAACCCTACGGTGCAGGACAATTTTGGGTATCACCTTTAGGCACCTTTTTTGGGGGTACTTGGAACCCTGCTTATAAGCACCCATGAACCTCCAAGTTGGGCTAAGGGTTTAGGCAAAAGGGTTTGGGGTTTAGGGCTAAAGGGGTTCAAGGCTTTGGGGGCTTAGGGTTCGCCCTAAGACAAAGGGCTCTCGCATTGTAAGGCGCGGTGCTCCAAGGTGACTTCGGATTCCCAAACCGAGGCCCGGAACCGGAACCCTACGGTGCAGGACAATTTTGGGTATCACCTTTAGGCACCTTTTTTGGGGGTACTTGGAACCCTGCTTATAAGCACCCATGAACGTTCAAGTGAGCCCTTTCTTCCTAAACCCTAAACCCTAAGCCCTAAACCCCTCAACCCTAAAAGTCTTCGGAATAGAGGGGCCGTCTCAGCCAAGGCCTCTCGCGGTGCATGGTGCATGCGCTGGGCGCCTTTGGCGTCTCCGGGCCTCTGGTTGCAACGCCGCTCGCCTAACTGGGGCGCATGTGACCCTCAGGGAAGGAAACCCTAAACCCTAAACCCTAAACCCTAAACCCTAAACCCTAAACCCTAAACCCTAAACCCTAAACCCTAAACCCTTGGAACAAACCGAAGATCTTTGAGCTCAGCGCGGCCACAGGATCGAGCTTGGCTTGGGTTTGCTGGCAGAGTGGCAGGAGCCGCTCAGAGGATCTCGAGTTGGTTTAGGGTTTAGGGTTGAGGGTTGAGGGTTGACGGTTGAGGGTTGAGGGTTGAGGGTTGAGGTTTGAGGGTTTAGTTTAGGGTACCCGGCGGCTGCTTCTTAGAGACCTGGATGCCAGGGTTTGGGGTTTAGGCTTGGGGGCTGGTTTAGGGGCCCTCAACCCTAAGTGGGAAGCCCGAGACCCTAAAGGTAAGTAGGGGCCTAACACCAAGGTAACTAGGGGCCTAGCACCCCCCCTCCCCACCCTCACATCCTGGTTCCAGGGACTCCTCAACCCCGAGCCAACTTCCTGCAAGCAAGAAAAGCCTGGCAGAGATCAAGCCCTAAACCCTAAAGTCTGACTGGGTATTGCTTTGGGATAATTTTAAATTTCCTTTCTTTCCCTTTTAAGGGAACCTAGTCATAAATAATTTTCAAAGGGCTTTAAAGCAACACCCAGCTGAGCCTTGAAGACCTAAAGCTGCAAAATTTGCCCCAAAAGCACCCGACGTTCCAAGCTCAGCCAAGCCAAGCCAACACCCTGAGCCCTTAAACCCTGTAATCCCTGTAAGTCCCGCAAGCCCTACTTGGAGGTTCATGGGTTCTTATAAGTAGGGTGATACTTGGGGCAGGTAGGGTTTTAACCCCCTTTGGGTACTTCTAACCCCACTTCTATGTACCAAATGCACCTCCAAGTAGGATCCCTAAACCCCAATCCCTAAACCCTAAACCCTAAACCCTAAATTAAACCCCAAACCCCATACCCTAGACCCTAACCCTAAACCCTAAACCCTAAACCCTAAACTCTAAACCCTAAACCCTAAACCCTAAACCCAATGATGCTCAGGCTCTTCATGGCCCTGGCTGAGCCCTGCCTTCGGCTGGCCCCGGTGAACGATTGGCTCTACCCGGCCGCGGGCTTCGAGTTTTGAGAGAGGGTTTAGGGTTTGGGGTTTAGGCCCTGAAGCCCTCGACCCCTCAATCCCTAAACGCACAAACCGGAAACCTCTAAAGCCCCAAAACCCTGCATCTGGAGGGAGATGCGGTGTGTCTGGTTTAGGGGGAGAGTTCCTGATGCCGAACCCTAAAGAGGGTGGGCTTAGTCTCGGAGTGCTTTGGGGTGTGTCGAATGTACGAACATGTGGTCCGGAGCTCTGAAACTGCTTGAGCCCTAAGCCCTAAGCCCTAAGCCCTAAGCCCTAAACCCTACACCCTAAACCCCAAACCCGAAACCCTGAAAACCCGCGAAAGCCCTTGGAGGTCACCAGCCCCTACAAGCCTCCCATCTCGGCGCCAGTGCGGCCTCAGGTGCGCCCGCTTGAAGGTTCATGGGGGCTTTTCTAAGTAGGGTTTAGGGTTTAGGGTTTAGGGTTGCACTGCATAGCTAGCCTGTGCAAAACTCTACTTATACGTCGCCTTTGGTTCGAAGGTCCAGGCCCTCGGCCTAAACCCCAGCCATGTCACCTTAATCCCTAAGCCCCAAACCTAAGCCACCTTGGATCCAAGGTGGCTTGAGTCGGCCTGAACGGGCAAGGGAGGCCCCTAAGTCGTCGTCCCCTCCAAAGAAAAGGAACCGTCTCCCCAGCCGGCGCCCACGCCGCCACCGGAGACGCCCCCGGAGGAGTGCTTCGGGGGTTTCCAGAGCTTGGGAGCCTGCACAGGATTCTTTCCGGAGCCTGGGCCCTTCAAAGACAAATGCAGCCCCACCCCCCAAAACCCAAAACCCAAAGCCCGAAACCCAAAACCCGAAACCCAAAACCCAAAACCCAAACCCCCAACCCCCAAACCCAAAACCCAAAACCCAAAATCCAAAACCCAAAACCCAAAACCCAAGCCCCCAACCCCCAACCCCCAACCCCCAACCCCCAAACCCCAAACCCCAAACCCTAAACCCCAAACCCTAAACCCCAAACCCTAAACCCTAAACCCTAAACCCCAAACCCTAAACCCTAAATCCTGAACCCCAAACCCCAAACCCCAAACCCCAAACCCTAAACCCTACACCGGCCTCGGCAGGATCCCGCGCCGAGCCCGGCCAGTGAGACGAATGGATTGGAGTCCAAGCACCCTGGCTTGGCACAATGTTCCCCAAGTTTTTAGTATTACTGACTATCTTTATGGGTTTAGTTAGGGTTTAGGGTTTAGGGTTTAGGGTTTAGGGTTAGGGTTATGTTCTCTGAGTTAGTACTAGTACTATCTATACATTATCACGTTCGTTTGTTGTTGTTGTTTTTATTTCGTGATATTGTCATATTGTATATTGTTGCATTGCCTTCCGTCATTACAATATGGCATGATTCCAGTATTACAGTATGGCATCGTTATTGTAGTATGCTACTCTGTTTAAATTTGTTCTTATTTTTGTATTGGATATCTTCATTACGGTTATTACTAGAACTATAACAATTTTTATTCTGCTCTTACAGTTTTATATCGGTAAACTCTCATGTTTTCATATTATTTCCCTGATCAGATCACCACATTAGCATATTGTTCTTTGTCTATAATATCACTATGTTTCATTATTTGTACTTTATTTCATTCTATCCTTACAATTAAGATGTTTTCATGTTTGTTCTTAGATCATCGAATTATTATCATATTCTCATAAGAATTAGTCCGGTATTATCATTGTATCGCCGTAGTACTATGTCCCCATATTTTTAGTTTGCTACATTGTTATAGTATTGTATGCTTATATTGCCATACTATTTGTATTGCCCCCACTTGATCAGACATTTAGGAACCCCAACGTAAGGTGTCTTCTCTCAAAACCAAAAGCTCCAAATCCGGAGGACTGCAGAGCTTCAGGACCTCGCAGGATAAGGTTCAGGGTTTAGGGTTTAAGGTTTAAGGCTTATCCCCCAAATCCAAAGCCTTTAGCCGTGGACGTTCGAGCTCGGATCCTCACCCAAGACGGTGGCCCAGGCTGGCGTGGCCCGCATTGGGGACAGTTGCCAAGGCCCCACCCGCGGTGCCCACAACAGAGGCCGGTGTTTTTGGGGGGAGTGCCTGAGCCCTCCATAGTTGAAGCTGCGGGGCTTCCTGGGTAGTTGCCTGTGCTTGAGTGCCCAGGCAGGCAGCGACGACCTGCGCCCCTCTCGCAGTGATGGGCTCTTTTCGGGTAAGTAGGCGTTTGGAAGAAGAAGTTTCTCTCCGTGTGTGGATGTTGTTGGGTTCGAGGTGCCCATGTCACACATGTCATGCTTTTTAGCAGACTGGATTGGATTTCGGGGCCCTGGCATTCCATGAGCTCTAGGGGGCTGATGTCGGGATTCAAGGCCCCCGCTTGGAGGTACATGTGGAGGTATGGGTAGGGTTGCATATAAGTACCCGAAGTAAGGATCGAACTTAATTTGATATAGCTACTCTTGCCCTACTTTAACCTCAGTTATACCCTCAGGTTACACACACACACATACACCTGCAACCTTGGCAAAGTCCATGGAGGGTTCATTGAGGCTCTACTTTTCAAGCACTTCTCAGATCTGTGCGTTTGTACCTCAGCTAGAACTACCCATGAACCTCCAAGTAGGACTTCGTAGATTCCATTTTGAAATCAACCCCCGTGTTGAGCTTAGGAGGGTCCGATTTGGGATATTCTGCACTGGGAGGTGCATTAGCCCACTTAGTGGTGCCCACTTGCTGGTGCTGCTGGGTATAAGGGGCGGGGGGAGGGAGGGGGGGGCTTGGGGGTTACAAGCCCTAAAAACCTAATCATCCAGTAGTGTTATATAGGATGAGAGCATGGTCAATGAACTGTCGTATGGGGTTCCCCTCAGAGCAACTTGCAGGACTACACTCTTCCTTATTTCCATTACATCATCGGTTTGATGGCCTGCTGGAGTGGGAATCTAGCAGCATCTAGCAGATTGCCATAATGAGAGAACCTTCCGACCGAATCCTTGCCTGCCCTGCGCGAGTGTGAGAGACGAAGACCCAAAACCCTAAATCCCCTGGGCCCTAAATTTTGGGAATACCGAGGATGGACGAGGAGAGCAGCGCTGACGAGAAGCAAGAAGGCCGCGACGACGAGGAGGAGGGGGATGGTGGCAGGACCGCCTGCCCTTTCTTGCCTCATGTTTTGTATTGTCTTGCTGCGATTAAATTATTTTTCGTATTCTTCGTAGTATTAGTGGGTTTTAGGGCTGTAGGCTTGCTTCTGTAGAGTTTACTTTTCGGGATTTCGTGAACGAAGTGTTAGGTTTCGTTCCCGGCTTAAGGGGGCATGAAGGGGTAAAAGGACGGACCCCCTATATATACCTTATAGAGTCCCTATATACCTAAGTAGCCCCCAAATAACCCCTTAATGACACCTAAGGTCCCTCATAAGGATCTCTCCTTTAGTCCCTTCAGGGAATGGGCAGGGCCTGCTCGCAGGGCTGTTGTTGCTCTATGCTGTGCCAGGACCGACACGAGCCCGAATCGAGCGGAGGAGGCCGGCGGAGGTGTGTAAATTTCTGAGAAGGGTAGTGAGGGTTTAGGGTTTAGGGTTTAGGGTTTAGGGTTTACTATTCAAGACTGGATGGCTAGGGGAAGCAATATCTGACCACTCAATCATCATCCCTATTAAGGACTGCTAGTATAAGGGGGAGCATCCCAAATCATCTACTGTGAGCCCGGTTTAGGGGAGCTTCATTCACCCATCCTGTCGGTTTGTTGGTGAGAAACTTAGACTCCATCGTCAAGAAACCAGAAGTACTATTAAACAACGCTCTCCGGGTTTAGGGTTTAGGGTTTAGGCGGTTTAGGGTTTAGGGTTTAGGGTTTACTCTTCAAGACTGGATAACTGCGGGGTTCACACAAGAGGGGAAGCAATATCTGATGTTGAATATCATCTATTGGGACCTTCCCCCTTATGCTAACAATCCTTATAGGGGATTATAGTACCACTCTATGCTCATCCCTGTTAAGGACTGTTAGCATAAGGGGGAGCATCCCAAATCATCTACTGTGAGCCCGGTTTAGGGGAGCTTCATTCACCCATCCTGTCGGTTTGTTCGTGAGGAACTTAGACTCCATCATCAAGAAACCAGAAGTAGTATTAAACAACGCTCTTGAGCTTGAGCTAAGTTCCTTCATGGGGTTGAGGGCTTTGGATTTCTGCCCAAACAGCTCCCCTCCCCTCTCATAGGACGCAAACAAAGAATGGAACCCCCACTTCAAGGCCGTCAAGACCCTAAGCCCCGGCACCTAAACGACAAAAAAACTACCAACAATGATGCGCAACACAGAAAACTCCTAAACCCCTGCGAGCGTGCGCGTCGAAGACCTAAACCATGAAAAATAAAACAAAAACGCCAGAGGCCCAACTCAGGATCCGAAGGGGCAGCTTGGCCAACGCCCTACTCTACAAGCTCTATGAACCCCTATAAACCCCCCTGACAAAAATTAGTCCTTGGAGCTGCATGGGAGGCATTGGGGCCTTTCTGAACCCTACGCACGGGCCGTTTGTACCATAAGGCCTCCAGTCCCGAAACGACCTGAAGCTTGTTGCAGGAATGCCTCCTGGCACAAGATCGGGAAGAAGTGGACGATCCTCTGGGAGGTAGCGCTACATGTTGAAACCATGAAGGGTGGGATGTTTAGTGTCTCGGGTCTTGAAGCCGCGCGCCGTAAAGACGGGTCCATCCTTCAACTTGCGAAGCTCTCCCCTATTCGCAGTTACTGTAGTTTCTGCGATTGTCAGTGCAACGGTTTAGAGTGTCATTACGATCGAAGTGATTCGATAAGTATGAGCCAATGGATTGCAAATCCCTAAACCCTAAACCCTAAACCCTAAACCCTAAACCCTAAACCCTAAACCCTAAACCCTAAACCGCTTGTTGGGTCTCGACCTTGGCTCGATGGATAGACCGGAGTGGCGCCGCCACCGATTGCCACCGATGACCCGCTGCAAGCGCCCACAGCATGGCCTTCACTTCTCCCGTATCCCCCTTGGGAATTATGTTAGATTTTTGTTGATCTAAAACCCAAGAGGATACTGACCATATTATTTTTTGTCTATATAAAACCCAAGAGGATGTTGAACATCTTATTTCTAGTAAGGTTCTAAGGGGAGTAGAGTCTCCGGTGGACTCAGGAGATGGTCCGTTCCGATCCCTTCTGCTCTTACGCCCGCATGCTACGCTCTTCGCCTAGTTCGCGCTGCTTTCCGGCAGCCGCGCGTTGCGTTCGCCCGCGCGCACAGCTGTCGAGAGAGAGGGAGAGTGCGGGTTTTTCAGTGTGAGGTTTAGGCTTATGGTCCTGCTGGGTCCTATGCAGTTAATTAAGGTACGCTCCCGATCTACAGGGTGTGGTGGGCTCGGAGGGCAACAACGTGAAAGCCCCCAAGCCCTCTGGCCCTTGGCCCCTAAACCCTCAACCAAAGTCAAGTAGACCTCAGACGACCCGAGCCTTCGTAAGTGACTCGTCTACCCGTCACAGAATGATGTGTCGTGCTCTGAAAACCAGAGCGCAAAAGCCCTAACAACCCTTCAAAGAGGCCCTATCTACAACCCCAAATTCCACACCCCTATGCCCCAAGTAAGCCCGAAGCCCGAAACCCTAAACCCTCATCTCCACAACCCCAAACCCGAAGCCCTAACGGAGGCGAGTTTGCACGCGCCCTCGCCCCTCGCGCTGGCTCTGGCGCTTTAGCCGAGGCGTGGGGAGGTTTGGGGTCTGCGGGGTTTAGGATGAAAGGTTCGGGAAACATGGCTTTTATCCGGAGTTTTGGGATGTGTAGGGGTTAGGGTGTGTGTCATGCTTAGGGTCGTCTCTCCAAAAGTCTTTAGACGACCGGTTTTGGGGTTTTGGGTGCGCGGGCGGGCGGGGGGGGGGGTTAGGGTTGCTAGGGCTAGGGTTTATTTGGGTTGCCCTAAACCCTAAACCCTAAACCCTAAGCCCTAAACCCTAAACCCTGAACCCTGAAGCCCTAAACCCTAAACTCGTGGACTTCTGACTGGTGTGGTGCCATGCCCGGCTTGTCCGAGTGTCAGAGATTCAGCCCTAGAGACCCTAACCACCGGGCTGGGGGGTTTGCGGCAAGGATTGTGTGTGTGTGTGTGTGCGCGTGTGTGAGAGGGCTTTAGTTTTGGGCTGTTGGTGCCGGGGATTATTGCAGGCGTTTTGGGTTTTTTTTTGCTTTTTCGTCTTAGGGTTTGGTTTAGAATTTCGGATGTGTTTTGTTGAGGGGAGGGGGTTCATTACAACACTTTGGCTCAAAATGACCAGGTCAACCCCTGCCCCGCCCCCTGGCGAAGGCTTTATGGCTTTTGGACCCTGGAAAAGCCCATAAACCTACAAGAAACTGATTTCAGAGTAGCCAAGAAAGATCGGGTGGGCTTGAGGGCACCAGTGATTGGAGCACGAGTTTAGGGTTTAGGGTTTAGGGTTTAGGGTTTAGGGGAGAAAAAAAGGGTTTAGGATTGAGGGTTTAGGGTTTAGGGTTTGGGGTAGTGGCCCGCCATGCCAGGCCGAGCATGCCGGCCCCGCAGATACGGAGGGCGAAGGAAGGGAGGGTGAGGAATTTTCACAGGTGCGCGGGGGAGGGGGGGGGGGGGGGGGGGGGGGGGGGGGGGGGGGGGGGGTTGCGGTGTTGCGGTGTTTGACTACAATTTGCTTAAGAACCCCCAAAAAGAAAGAAAGTTCCTTTCTGTAACTGCAATATGGGCATCATTATCTTCTATGTTTTAGGGGGGTTCTTAAGCAGATAGTAGGTGAGGGTGGTGTTTATGGATCCGACACTACCTCCACCTTGATCAAGCCACAAAAGACGACATTGTTGGTAGAGTGCTCCAAGTGCTCATGCGGTATGTCTGTTGGAATCTTGCTTTGTGGTGTGCCGGAGAATATCTGCACTCTGTTAGAGTGGGCATTATATTAGGGTTTAGGGTTTTAGGGTTTTAGGGTTGAGGGTTTAGGGATAGGCACGGAACTGGTTGCAGATCTGTCTTGTGGATCTCGTGCATGTGTTAAGTTAAGTTGGCGGCTTTACGTATTCTAAGGACCTGAGAGGTGCCCCAGCTTCTTCGGAGGAAACAAAGAAGTTGGGTCATCCGCCCCTATAGAAGGTCGGGCATCAGCCCCTGAGAAAATGGACCTCCCAAATGCACCCTATAATCCTAAACCCGAAAACCTAAACCCTAAACCCTAAACCCTAAACCCTACACCCTACACCCTACACCCTAAACCCTAAACCCTAAACCCTAAACCCTAAACCCTAAACCCTAAACCCTAAGCCCTAAACCCTAAACCCCAAAGCGCCTTCTGCGGAAGGCCTCGGAGGCCGAATCGGCGGAGCTCTCCGGTGGGGAGCTGCCTGAGCCGCCAGGCGCCACCTGCCCCCCCCCCTCCTCCCGCGGAAGCCCTTTAAGGGTTTAGGGTTTAGGGTTTAGGGTTTAGGGGTTAGGGCAGTTCCGGGTTCGAAAGGGTTTCGGGTTTAGGGTCTGGGGTTTTGGGGTTTAGGGTTAGGGTTTGGGGTTTGGGGTAGTCCGGATGCAAAAGGGTTTAGGATTTTTCAGGGTCTCAACAAATCGAAACGCTGACGGCGCAAGGGGACAACATTCTGAGCTCGCAACTTGCCAGCTACGAGCGAACGACACACTTCCTTAACTGATGGAGTCTTAACCCTAAACCCTAAAACCTAAACCCTAAACCCGAAACCCTAAACGAGGTGTTCTGCAGCCATGAGCCCAAGGGCTTGCAAGTCTTCGCCAAGTCCGACTTAATGGGTGGCTTCCTGTGCCATAACATCCGGGTTTAGGGTTTCGGGTTCAGGTGACACTTTGAACCCTGAACCCTCAGCCCCCAAACCCTTTAAACCCTAAAACCTAAACCTCGTGCCTACACTTCCCTAAGGGCGAAATGCCCCAAATTCCCCTCGCCCCCCCAAAATCCCCTAAACCCCCCAAAGCCCCAATTCGCCCTGAACCACACTAAACCCCCCCCCCATAAACCTTTAACCCCCAAACCGCCCAAATCCACAAACCCTCAAACCCTTAAGACTTCAAATCCAAAACCCCCGCCTAAACCACCTTAAGCCCAACCCCCCCAAGCCGTCAAACCCCCCAAAATCCTCAGAAACCTCTTAGCCCCAAAAACCCCAAGGACTCTAAAACCCTCAACCCCGAAACCCGAAAGCCTAAGCCCCTTATTCAACCCTCCAAAGGCCTCTAAACCCTCTAGGCGCTGGGCCTTCCCTCCCTAGCCTCCCTGCAGGCGCGCCTCGGAGCTCTGCGCCCAGCTGCCGCTCGGAGAGCCTGAAGGTTTTTGAGGGTTTTTGAGGGTTTGGGGTTTAGGGTTTCGGGTTTGGGGTTAGGGTTTGGGGGTTTGGGGTTTGGGGCTTATAGGGGTTGGGCATTGCGGAAGATATGCTTCTGTGATGACACGAGGCCGGCTTGGAGCTCAGTTCCAAGTTCGAAAGGGGGTTCCGTCTGGTGCTCTTTTTTTTTTGGGTGTGTTTGGGGTTTGGGGTTTCTGCCTTGCCTGTACCGCTGGCTATAGGCCTGATAGGGGCTGGCAGGTACTCCCCATCAGCCTTCATTCTCCGACCCTAATCCAAACTAGAGAATTACAACCCTAAGCCCTGAACCCGAGGCCCAGAAACCCTAAGGCAAAAATACCCAAACCTTGTAGAACCCTAAGCCCTAAAGCCGAGGCCCTAAACCCTAAACCCTCAGGCCCTAAACCTAAAACCCGAAGCCCTGTAAACCCTAAGCCCTCAACCCTAAACCCTAAACCCTGAGCCCTGAACCCGAAACCCTAAACCCTAAACCCTAAACCCTAAACCCTAAACCCTAAACCCTAAACCCTAAACCCTACAAAGCCTCCGTTTCGAGGCGCTCTGGCGGCCTTTGCCCTCCGCAGCCTCCGAAGGAAGCTGCCCCGGCCAGGGGCCTCGCTGGCCGTGGAGGCTCTTTGGGGGTTTAGGGTTTAGGGTTTAGGGTTGAGGGTTTAGCCATACTTAGGGACCATGTAACTACCCTAAGATTTGAGGGCTTTAGGAAAGAGGGCTCGGAGTTCAAAGGGTTTTGGCCCTACTTAGTGCGACCGTCAACCCCCATATTCAAAGCTTGGGGACCACATGAACCCCCAAAAAATGAGCTTTAGTAGTATAGGGTATATGGCCCCCCCCCCATCCGGGTTCATGTGGTCCCCAAGCTAGTAGTTGTTTTACGAGAATATCTTCGGCCCCGAACTGCAACTCTTCGTGGGCCTTAATGAGGCTAGTATCGTCGGTGGGCAACTCTACGACAGTAGGGTCTCATTCTGTCTCCATTTCAGGACTCTACTGAGGCTTAGGGGCTTCTGGAAGGTTTCCGGGCCTTGATGTTGGGGGTTTCGGTGGCGAGGGGTGCTGGGTCCGGATGTGGGCGTCGCGGGTCTCTGGCTGTTGTCTCCGGGTCGATTCTCTTGGTGTTGACAAGATCCCCCCCCTGGTGATTAGTAGGCAGTGGGGGCAGCACTATATATACCCTACCAGGGATTTAATGTAGGGTCCTCATTCCCTCATTCCCTACTAAGAACCAGCCAGTCTTCTGCTCCTGCCTTGTTTTCGGGGGGGGGGAGGGGATGTCCAGCAACCGGGGTGAACTGCGCGAGCCCTGGCTTTCAGCCATCCCTTGGTGCAGCTAAGTCCTATTCCAGTAAAAACTGTACTACCAGCGGGACCAAATGAACCCTAAAATGGGGGGTCATATACCCTGTACTACTATTATCGCCTATGAAGGTATATGAACCCTAAACCCTTTTGGGGTTCATTCGCCACGGTTTTTCCCCGCAACTGATGCGTCGCAGGGAGCTTGTCATGTATCTTGACGGACATGTGGCTGGGGAGGTTAAGGCGGTTTAAGGCTTAGGGTTTGGCTTGTTTGGGTTGAGGGTTCAGTGCGAAGATTTCGAGGGGTACAGGGTTCAATCATCACATCCCTTCGGGCCAGGCCGAATCCCTGATTGCTGCGGCAACTGACCCCGACGAGCTGGCACAGATGTATGAAGGCCCCCTCCAAACCCCAAGCCGGCCTGTGCGAGAGTGGGCGACTAAACCCCTAATCCACAAAACCCTAAACCGCAAACCCCTCAACCCCTAACTATCAAACCCTCAGCCCCTAAAGCCCCAAGCTACCCTAGAACCCTAGGCGCCCCAAGCTTGCCCCAGCCCAGCCACTGGGGTTCCGGTTGCCCGATCTCTCCAGCTTTGCGGTGTGGGGCAGTTCTCTCAATTTCTGAAGGGTCCCTCATTCTACTAATTGCTGACTTTCCACCCCCCAAAAGTAAAAGTTCTTTGTCGAAGGAGCCCAAAGCAACCCCAATGTACATCAGCCGGGTGTGCTTGGGCCTGAAAGTACTTCCATAGTGCCTCGCCGGGCCTTGAACCTGCGACCCAAGACCTGTCAAACCTTACTTGAAGGTTCATTTATGGGTACTTGCAGGTAGGGTTAGCAGGATAAGGCTATAACCGTAGTTACCCTACTTACAACCCTATGTTGGGATGTTCCCCCTAAGACTCACAGTCCGCAGACTGTTAGTGTACGGGAGAACATCCCAGTAGGTACCCATGAACCTCCAAGCGAGCCTTGTGTAGGTTGGACATCGTGGATCTGAGATGACGGTCGACTTCTCGCCATCGCGGCCGCGCGCACCCCATGGTCAAGGACCCTTCCGACCTGAAAAACTGAGCCCAAGGGGCCCTCCCTCGCTGGCGCCACCGGAAAGGGGGGTCCAGGGCAGGACCCTGGGCGCGTCGCAGGCATGTCACGGAGGACGTCGGCGGAGCCGGACGCCTCCCAAGCAGTACCAGAGGGCTGTGCGCGGCCGGACCTCAAAGTAGCGATGAGGAGAAGAGAAAAGTTTAAGATGCTCATAGTTAACAAGTCCTATCCTCCGTCGCCCGAAACCCTAAACCCGAAACCCCAAATCCCCAACCCCCTTAAGACCCTGAAGCCTACCCTAAGGGCGGCCCCAGCGCACAGACGCAAGGACAGGGCCAGCGGCCCAAGTTCGTAGCAAGCCCGGCGAAGAGAAGTTCTGTCGCGGGGGATGCCCCGGGATCTGTATTTCGGGGATAGGGTTTAGGGTTTAGGGTTTAGGGTTTAGGGTTTGGGGTTTGGGGTTTGGGGTTTAGGGTTTAGCAGAACTTACTTTCTCGAAGCCGACCTTAACGATTTTTATCCGGAAGAACCTTCCGGACTTCTTTGCCTCTCCCTGAGAGTCCGAATTGCCTGAATGCAGGGGAGATTCCTCAAAGCCATACTCGGTCTCTTCATCTTACTTCATAGCTCAAACCAGGGGTTTTTGTTTAGGGTTTAGGGTTTAGGGTTTAGGGTTTAGGGTTTAGGGTTTAGGGGTTTTTGTTTAGGGTTTAGGGTTTAGGGTTTAGGGTTTAGGGTTGCTAAAGGCAAGAAGGCCCTGCTTTCAGGTGTTGCCGGCAGCCTCAGTCCGTGCTTAAAAAGGGTTTAGGGTTTATAGGGTTTAGGGTTTATAGGGTTTAGGGTTTAGGGTTTTGGGTTTAGGGTTTAGGGTTTAGGGCAGAGCTCGCGGGGTCAAAAAAGGGTTTAGGGTTTAGGGTTTAGGGTTTAGGGTTTAGGAGGCTGAGTTGTGGGCCTTTCTGGCTGATGTTTGCATCGCAGCCCAGATCCCAAAAGGATTAGAGCCCATCTCTCCACCCTAAACTCTTAAGGGTGTAGGGTTCAGGGTTCAGGGTTTAGGGTTTAGGATTTAGGGTTTAGGGTTGAGGGTTTAGGGTTTCTTAAGGGTGTAGGGTTCAGGGTTTAGGTCAGAGCATCTTGATCCCGCCTCCCTTCGCTGCGCCCGCGTGGCCCGCGCCGGGATCACTCCTTTACCCGACCGCGGCCAAGACAGAAGTGGGCCAAAAAGCAAGCCCTAAACCCTAAACCCTAAACCCGAAACCCGAAACCCGAAACCCTAAACCCTAAACCCTAAACCCTAAACCCTAAACCCTAAACCCTAAACCCTAAACCCTAAACCCTAAACCCTAAACCCTAAACCCTAAACTCCAACCCTCAACCCCCAACCCTAAATTAGCCCCCTAAGCCTCCTAAAGCGTCCTAAACCCTCAGCACCCTACCTGTAGGCCCTCTCCAGAGTCCGGCAACCATTCTTTGTGAAGTATGACATGGGCGGGAGTGAATTTATGCTGAGGGTCGACATCTAGCTTAAAGTGGACGAGTCGAAGCTTGCGCTTCAAGCTACTACACCCTACACCCTAAACCCTAAGCTCCAAACCCCAAACCCCAAACCCCAAACCCCAAACCCCAAACCCCAAACCCTAAACCCTAAACCCTAAACCCTAAACCCTAAACCCTAAACCCCAAACCCCAAACCTTAAACCCTACGTGAGTCGCATGCTGGGCCGCAGCGAGGCCCTCAATCGTTGAGGGCTCTGAGGGTTTCGTGTAAAGGGAATACCTCAGTCCCAAACCCTAAACCCCAAACCCCAAACCCTAAACCCTAAACCCTAAACCCTGAACCCTGAACCCTAAACCCTAAACCCTAAACCCTAAACCCTAAACCCTAAACCCTAAACCCTAAACCCTAAACCGTAGCATCAGGTGTTCTTCCAGGGCTCGCGCCAAGATGACCAGAACCTGGATCCAGTCCCGCAACCCCGTCATTAATGAATTTAGGGCTTAGAGGTTTAGGGGCACCGTACACCCTGTTATGCGCAGTGCCAGTGGAACCCTAAGCCCTAAACCCTAAACCCTAAAGTCTATGCCCTAAACCCTCAAGGGATTCTAAGGGAAGAGGATGCGAAAAGTGGAACAGGACCGAAAAGTTGCCGGGACGAGGTCGACGCTGTCTTGTCTGAGTTTGTGGCTTTAGGGCTCAGGGCAGGGTTTAAGCTTTAGGGTTTGGGGTTTAGGGATATCCCTAAAACCTAAAGCCTAGGCCGCCTAGGCCCCGACCATCTTTCCCCTCAAGTGCTTGTGCTTGCCGCTTCCGTCATCCAAGCCCGTGCTGCTGCAACTCCTGTGCGCCATGGGCAAGGACCAGGGGATCCCCCATCCCGAGTACCCAGGGTGGGGCCTGGATGGCAAGACTTTGCACGAGAAGCTCTCTCCCAGCATGTGGTGCGTCACGCCAAGGGACCTCCGATTCCTGCGCCAGGAAGTCCGTCAGGCGGTCGCGCAGCAGTGGGTCATGCCCATCATTGAGCCTGTGTTCAACGACGACAGGCCCGATCCCTTCGACCCCGAGGACGACGCAATTGGCCCCAATATGTACAATGTGACGGACAACTACATCAAGCCACTGGCCCTAGATGCCGGCAGGATCTGGGTTGGCACCAGAAAATGTCATGAGACACAGCGAAGCCCTTTAGGGTTTATATAAAGTCTCCCCCCCAGTCATCCAATTAATGCGAGCCCATTCTGTCAAGACAATGGCCATCCTTTTTCAAATGTTGCCCCAGAAGTGTCAACCGGGAAGGATGAGCTGGGCCCTACTTCGGAATCCCGAGGGGCTTCCTTGTGACCTCTTCATCACTCACGCCTGGCAGGACGGGTTTGGGGTTTAGGATTGAGAGAGAGAGAGAGAGAGGGTTTGACTTATCTGGCTGATCCGCTCCCGCAGTCCAGATGCAGAAATAGAGTTTAGAGTCTAGCATTTCGGGTTTATGGTTTAGGATTGATTGAGGTTGCGGTGTTGGGTGTGCCTGAATGTGACTTCATGTCGTGCTGACCGCCTCCCCAAATCCTATTATAGGGGTCGGAATAAGTACTCATCGTATTCCCTTAGTGTACCTTTACAATAAAGTATAATATCCCCCAAAACCTTATTCTAATTGTTCAGGCCCCCAAGATTACACCCTAACTAAACCCTAAACCCTCAACCCTCCACCCTGAGCCCTTAAACCTAAACCCGTAAACCAGCGGCACATGGCATATCCCGGGGCTGGTCTCACAGTCCCTTATAGGCTTGCACTTGGTATGATAGGGATGTATGGCTTCTTTTGGGGCCAGGTACTTAGACCAACTCCCTAGGATCCATGTACCTACATAGTATACGTATACTTGGGCCTCTAAGGGGTGCCTATATATATCGTGGCTTCAGGGCCCAAGCATATACAAACGATGTGCATGGACCCTTAGGGACTACCATGCAAGTATGTAAGCTTCGCCAGCTGTGAACCTCAATCGCTTGAACCATGGCTTGCCATGAAAGTGGCAACACCCCAGGGTTTAGGGTTTAGGGTTTAGGGTTTAGGGTTAAGGTACGCGGGGTCTTCACCCTGCACTATGGTCATTTCTCAAAATTCTGGTGCCTTTGCAGGTATATCCCAATAAACATAGGAGCTCTAAAAGGGACCCTAATTTAGAGAATCCCCCCCCCCCCCCCCCCCCCATTTTTCTAAAGAGGGGATAAGGCTAAGGCCCCTGACTAACGTTTTACTCGCATCCTCTTTTGCATGGGTCAGGCTTCGTAAGAACGGCTCCACAAACAGGCCCCCTTTTTTTCTTAGCTTGCTGGAGGGTGAAACCCTAAACCCTAAACCCTAAACCCTAAAACCCTAAAACCCTAAACCCTTAACCCTAAACCCTAAACCCTAAACCCTAAGCCCTAAACCCTAAACCCTAAACCCTAAACCCTAAACCGGTTTGGGGTTTTAGGGCGCGGAAACCCTGCCAGCTTTGCTGGGAGGAGGGTGCCTTTGAGTTCATCGACAAGGTGCTGGCGAGCTGGCCTCGGGGGAAGAAGGCCGCCTGGTGCTGCGTCCTCGCCATGCCACAGGCCCTCCCCCGCAACTCTGAGAGTTTAGGGTTTAGGGTTGGGGTTTAGGGTTTAGGGTTTAGGGCTAGGGTTTAGGGTTTAGGGTTTAGGGTTTAGGGGGTGTCAGAAAAGTGGTCGAGTTGCTGGATCTTTCTATGTATCTGACTGGTATTCAGAGATCTCAATAGCCCTGAATTAAGGAAAAGGCCTGAACTGACATTAAGGAACCCCCATAGAGCTTTTGAATTTCCATTTCGCGGAATCTTCGTCTCTGACGTAGGTGCTGCCCCAACGAGTTCCCTACAAGAGTACACTGAATCTTCCATGAAACCCTGCAGCGCCAGCGTGCAAAAACCGCTGAGGCTACATCAGTCACCTCATCGCGGTGCCCCGCACCTCCCCGTTTGCTCTTGCTTTGCAGAATGCCACGCACATGCTGGCAGTGCCTACGCATGTGCCGCAATGGGTTTTCAGAAACTCAGAGCCAGGAAGATCATCTGGGATGTGCACCCTCATACTAACAGTCCATATGATGGATTAACATGGGGGATTACTTTCATCCCTAGGAAGGACTGTTAGTTTAAGAGCGAACATCCTAAAGAGCATGGTTATAGCGCTGCAGGCTTCATAGACTGCGAGTCTTCAGGGCCTCTGCGCGTGAAACTCTTGGGAAACAGGGCGGGGCCCTGCGAAGGTGTGCAGCATCTACTCCCGACTCTGGTGTGGGTACGAGGCATACCTGGCAACCTACTACGACAAGGTGGTCATCACAGCAAGGCTCAGGGTTCAGGGTTCAGGGTTGGTTTAGGGTTAGGGTTTAGGGTTTAGGGCTTAGGGCTTAGGGTTTAGGGTTTGGGGTTCAGGGTCCCGACCCGGATCTTAAAAATCCAAAAATAAGCCCCTAGGCCCCCTAGGATAGTGTGTAAGCAAGCCGAAACCCTAAGCCCTAAATGCCAGCGCACATTGCAGATATGGAGGGGCATAGGAGGGAAATCTCTGTGCTCTGAAGCCTCCACTCTATTTCCTTCGACTCCCTGAATGGGATATGAGAGATTAGGGCAGTCAAGTCAGGAATAACATGTTTTTGGAGACGGGTCCTTTGGGGAACTAGTCTTCAGGTGTAGGTGCATGTCTCCGAAACAATGCCCCAGCACTTTTCCGCATGACCTTTAAGGCACGATGTCTCCCCCTTTTTTTCACTGACAGTCATTTCTGGAATGAGTCCCTGCAATGTGGCCTGAGTGTCAGCTAGGCGGGTGGCAAAAAAAAGCCCCAAACCCTAAGACCTATACGACCCACTCTGAAGGTGGGGAGAAGGGCACACGCGCAGGCCCCCGCTTCAGTGGCTCCCTTCTGCAGCGGTGGCGATGATGACTTTGGTCGCAGGTTGGGGCTTCATTAAGAGACATTATCCCTAAGGATCCATGTACCTCCGTAGTATATACTTTGGGCTTACATCTACTACATTATAGGAACACCTTTAAGGCCCAAGTACTCTGGGGGCCTAAAACTTAGAATACAGTAGGGCTTTGGGGGGTAGTATCGTCTAATGCCATAAGAGGGAATACCATGAGTACTTCCCTATATAATATACTATATAGGGACATGGATCCTTAGGGTAAGCCAGAGAGTTTAGTGAGCCCAAGTAATCCAGGGAAATATTCGAAATAGCATCAAGGACCTTTTGATTTGGAAGAGGGTCTCCAGATAGCTAAGCCTTTTTGAAATATGTAATGTTCCTTGCTGGAATTGAGAGGAGTGTTTCTACTAGTAGGAGGGTTGAAGGCAACCTTGCTAGATGTCCCTTGAAGAGTGTCTTCCCGCAGTTTAGGGCTCCTAACCCGTAAAGCGTAAAGCTCGTATCCAAAAATGGTTTCATGCAGGAGTGGAAAGAAAGGTTTCACCCTAAACCCTAAACCCCAAACCCTAAACCCTAAACCCTAAACCCTAAACCCTAAACCCAGCTTCTAGGTGGCCTTGTCGGATTCTACTGGAGTGCGGCTGGCGACGTCGCAGCAAGCCCAGATGGCACCTTCGACAGCTGGGAGGCTGTGACACACTTCCTACAAGCCTCCTACACCTTTGGCCTGCAACCACCACACATCTTTGAAGACATAGTAGCATGTTGCGTGGTGCTGGTGGTTCTCGGCGGACGATCGTCGCGTCTTGTTGCTGGCCTCAACTGCTTGGGCTCGCTGTCTCTGGGATTTATCCTGGGCTTCTGGACCAAGATGTTCGCGGCACTTGGGCGCTTGCCGCTGCACGTAGTCATCGAAGACCCCACGGGAAAGTTTTTGTTGATCCCACTGTTTCTCATCTTCGTTGTGGCCAGCGAAATGGATCGACTCTGCAGCTTACAGCGGAAGCAGGAAGCAACATTCCTTGAGCTGCCTCAAGGTGCACGCGTGCAAGATGCTGAGTGCGGGAATCCAGAGGACACGAGGACCATCAAAGGCGAGATTGGCGATCGCTGGACCCACGTGGAAGCCTCAGTGCAGGTGCTTCTGGACTCGGGAATGTCAACGCCGGCGCTGAGGGAAGTGGCGCAGCACGAGTTCTCGGTTTTGGGCCTTGCGGATGTGAAATTCTCTCAGTGCTGGCTGGGGCTTGCAGCGTGGCTGTTTCATTTCCTTCTCTACGCATGCAGTGATGCTTTGCTTGGTGGCCTCAATGGTACCCTCATGGGAGTTACGGTGGTTTTGTGGTGCAACGCGGAGCGGGATGACAAGGCATTCTTGGGTTCGGTGTCCGTGAAGATGGTGACGTTTGTGTTCGTCGCCTTGTACGTGATCTCGTATGGCTTCAAGCTTGGGAACCTGGAGAAATGCGACAAGGCAGCGGGGCTGTAAGTTGAGGATCCCGGGCTCAAGGTTCTAGAGTCTAGAGGCTACTTGAAGGTTCCTGATTCCTGGCTACTTATAAGTAGGGGGATAAGCTCCTTAAGTACGGTTCTAACCATATATAGCTTCCCTACTTATAACCATACTTATCAGCACCCATGAAGAAAAAGTGGCTTCATGTGGGAGTCCAGATAACGATGCAGAGGGGTTTGCGGCCCCCTTGTGGTGCTCGTTCTTAAGGCTTTGACCGTCGACCTCATTCTGTTGGGTGTGGCGGCCCTGTGCCTCCTCTGCCATCTCGCTGGGCTGCGGGGCTTCATGCGTGTGCCTGTAGCCCGCTGCATTTTCGGAGCATTGCGACCTCGGTGCTAGTGTAAGGGTTTAGGGTTTGGGGTTTGGGGTTGAGGGTTTAGGCAGAAAGCTCCATCGTTTTATGGGGCACGTGGCGTGCTCGCTGCTGTCTCCTTGCACGCAGTCTCCCCTTACAGCTCGGGGAGTTGCGCCGGCTGGGGTTTCCCCATAAGTGGCTTGACCCTGCAGCCTCGACTTAGTACGCCTGGCCTGCGCTTGAAATCACCATGAGGTCTCGCTGCACTAGCCCAGCTGTTGAAAACTAAAGCAGCAAGCAAGATATTCGAACCAGCACCCTCAAAAAGGTCCCCCCTCCGCCCCCTCTGAAAAAGGAAGAAGTCCGATTAAACCCCTAAACCCCTAAACCCCTAAACCCCAAACCCTAACCCCTAAACCCTAAACCCTAAACCCTAAACCCTAAACCGCGGCTCTGCAACCCGAGGCCGAAACTGCGGGACCTTCGTTCTGAGAGGCAGGCGTCGTAGGACTCGGATTGAGGCACCCCAACGACAACCCCAGCGCAGAATTCCGAGCCACGGTTTAGGGTTTAGGGTTCAGGGTTTAGGGTTTAGGGTTTAGGGTTTAGGGTTTAGAAAATACGAGAGCTGCAAACCACCCTGACCCTGTAAGCCCTAAATCATCCTAAATCCCTAAACGTTGGAGTTGCAGAGGGCTCGGGCAAGCTAGGGCTTGGTTTTCGGGTTTGCTTACCTTGATGGGTTCCTTTCGGCAGAAAAGGGCTAAATCGAGTTTAGCTGAACGTCGCGCAGTTCTCCCCCCTTAAACCCTAGCCTAAACCCCAAACCCGAAACCCTAAACCCTAAACCCTAAACCCCAAACCCTAAACCCTAAACCCCAAACCCCAAGTCCCGCTTAAGGAGGTTGCAGGTTGCAGCTTGGAAGGGTCGAAACGAAAACGCCCTAAACCCTAAACCCTCAACCCTAAACCCTTATTTACCCTAAACCCTAAACTGTGAAACTAACGAACCAACGAATCAGGATGCGCAGTTCTTGTCTCGCTCTAGCGGTCCAGCTCAAGGCCTTGAAAGAATATTTTTCAACATCGGGCCCAAAAGCGTCCAGATGTTTCTCATCAAGACACTGCTTAGAGGATTCGTCCAAAACCCACTAATGCAGCCAAGTGGTGAAAGGCAAAGTGGTAGAAGACATACAAGATGGATGAGGATCGGACCTGCAAGGGCGTTTATCGTCACATAAACCCTAAACCCTAAACCCTAACCCCCCCAAAAAAACCTAAACCCTAAACCCTAAACCCTAAACCCGCGACTTTGACATGGGCTCTTGAACTCCCTGAACCCCTGAAGCCTTTAACCCCCTCCCCCTTCTTTTTGGGGTTCCAGGCCACCGGAGAAAAGTAGCCAAAGGGTACCCTAAACCCTAAACCCGAAACCCTAAACCCTAAACCCGAAACCCTAAACCCTAAACCCTAAACCCCTAAACCCTAAACCCTGCGTACCCTGATTATGCTGGTTGCTGGGCCAACCGGCCACTGCAACCTGCCAGATCTGGGAGGGTGCCTTGGGCTTAGGGCTGAGGGTTTTAGCAACAAAAGGTGTGTTCAGGGTTTAGGGCCAGGGTTTAGGGTTTAGGGTTTAGGGTTTAGGGTTTAGGGCTTAGGGGATTCTACTGGCTGCAAGAGCCCTGGTTGCAAAGGGATCTAGGGTTCTAGGGTTTAGGGCTCAGGGGTTCAGGGGTTAGGGGTTTGGGGTTTGGGGGTGGCGCAGCCCACCGAACGGCCCGAAGATCGCCAAAGCTGCGGCAAAGAAAAATTTGGGTTTAGGGAGTTTAGAGTTTAGAGTTTAGGGTTTAGGGTTTAGGGTTTAGGGATCTTGTCTGCAGATAATTTTAGCATGAAGGGCTTACTTGCAGGTTGATGGGTACTTATATAGGTAGCGTGCGAAGTAGGGTATGGTTCTGAGCTCATGACCCTGCTTCTGAGTACCAAGATGAACCTTCGAGGAGTTTTTTTCAGTTTGTCCGCTGCCTTCCGTCTCCATGAAACCCTGAGACCTCAACAGCCAGTGACCTTGACAAGGGCACTTTGGGTGTTTTACAGGTGTGACTACTTAGGAGGCACTTCTGGTTCCCCATATTAGTGTCCCCGAACGGCCTTCTGGAGGAGCATCACTACCCACGACACCTAATTTAGTATTATTCGGAGGGTTTTTAAGTGTCCTATCTTCGTGACATTTAATTTTTTGGGAACCCCCCCCCATATATCAAGCGGCACGAAGTTGAAGGTAGAGGTTCTTGCTTATGGGGTCTTGGGCTTCGTGGGTGGAGGAAAGCCCTATCAACCCTGAAACCTTAAAGCCCTGAAATACTGCACAAGCCCTAAAGCCCAGCTGGGCAGGTGGCAACAAAGCCCTGAAACTCTAAACCAAACCTGTAAACCCCCAAAACTCTTAACGGCTTAGGCTGAAGCCTAAACCCTAAAGCCTATACCCTATACCCTATACCCTATACCCTAAACCCTAAACCCTAAACCCTAAACCCTAAACCCTAAAACCCTAAACCCTAAACCCTAAACCCTAAACCCTAAACCCTAAACCCTAAACCCTAAACCCTAAACCCTAGCCTTCCTTTGCTGGCTCGAGCCTTACGGCGGCGGCAGGAACCCGAAATATCCGGACATTCCCGGCACCTTGTGCCAATGTTGGGTTCCAGGTTGGGTTCGGAGTTTAGGGTTTAGGGTTTAGGGTTTAGGGTTTAGGGCTTAGGAGTTCCGGGTTCAAACGGGTTATTGAGGTCTTCTCTGCCGAATTACAATCCTTGCCATGACAAAGAAGCGAGCGCTGTACATACCTAGTCAACGCAAACAGAACTTCCAGACATTTGGACACGCAGCGGAGCAAGGTTGCCACTACTACAACCCCACAAGCGAGTCCCCACCCCAGCTTTTCCCACCGCGCAAGAGGAGCTGACAAGTAAAGACGCTTACAAAGATCCCCTACCCAATTGCAGAAGAGTGCTGATTATTCCAGACCTATGGGACGTGATGTCGTCGTTTTACGCCGGACCCCGCGGTGCCTCGGCAGGACTGCAAGGATGTGCAGCAATAGGGCTAGGGCCATAAGTAGGTATCTAGGGTTATCACCTTATGTAGGCTACTTATAACCCAGTTTCAATTTCGATGTAGACCGTCAAAAAGGTTCAATGTGCTACAGCATAGGGGATTGACACCCTAAAACCAGGATCCCCACCCCCTACACCCTACACCCTAAACCCTAAACCCTAGACCCTAGACCCCAGACCCCAGGCCCTGGCCACCCAGGCTCCAAGTTCGCCTCCACTCCGCGCTAGCCAGGGGGCGGCGGCGAGCCATGCCGACGAGTTCTTGGGGCATCGCCATATCGGGTTTAGGGTTGCGTGTGGGGATGCACGCAGATTAGGTCCAAGGGCTCGGTGACGCTGAAGACCCACAAAAAGGGGGTTACACGCTGACCACCCTCTTGCAAAAGAAAGGTTTAGGCTTTAGGGAAAGAATCCGCAGCTCTACAGCTCCTGCTTGTTGGGGTTCTCTCTGTGGCCATGCAGGCCGGAACCCCCTGAAAGTACCTTCAGCCCTAAACCCTACGCCCCAACCGGTTGAGGGTTTAGGGTTTAGGGTTTAGGGGTTAGGGGTTATAGGGGTTAGGGTTTAGGGTTCCCCAACCCGTCACGGGAGCACTTGCCGCCCGCCTCCCCCCCTCATCCCGGCCCCCCAAATGCCAGGCAAAGCTTCTACAGCAGGTCATGAGCCGCTCTGTCAGGCGCGTTCACGGTTATAAGGGACCCCTAGTAGGAGCCACTTGTAATACGGACTCCAATAAGGTACCCCTAATATCGTAAACCCCCCATGTAGGGCCAGGAGTGCCAGGTCTGAGGGTTCTCCACCTTGTTCCGTCTCGAACCCAAACCTGGTCCGATTACGGTTATGACCAAAGTCCAACTACGGGAACCCTGCACCCCTACACCCTACCGTCGACTCTCAACACCAAACACAAGTTTAGTTGCCCCGAACATCAATGGAGCTCCTACCTGTAGGTTCATCTGAATACCCAGAAGTAGGGTTGTAATTAGGGTAGCGATGGCCATCTCCTTAGAGATTGGGTACTCATATATGCATAAGTACCCATGAACCTTCAAGTGAGGCCTAAAGAAACCCTAAACCACGGGCTCCCCTCCAGTCTTGGAATTCTTCTGTCCCTCGGATTTGATACGCGGAACTTGCGAGCCTGTCCCGAAATAAACCCTACACGCCCCCATAAAGGGCTGGTTCGCAGAAGAGTCGCGCTCAGTTGCTCAGATACAGATACAGCGCCGAGTAAACCCTAAACCCTAAACCCGAAACCCTAAACCCTAAATCCTAATTTCCTCACCCTGAACTTTGACCGCCAACCCCATCCTCCGAGGTTTCAGACATACTACAGGGTTTAGGGGTTGGGGTTTAGGGTTTAGGGTTTAGGGTTTAGGGAACTACAATGCTTGGCAGTCCTAAACCCTTTGGAGAGAGCGTTCGGGTTTAGAGTTCAGAGGTTTCGGGTTTTTAGAGTTCAGAGGTTTCGGGTTTTCCGTGCTTGGGGGTGCAGAAAAATAGCTCCCCCCACTTTTGGACATACTATGGTGAGAGCCACTATACTCTAAGCCCATAAGGGCCTAGACCCTCTGTCTGAAACGCCCAAAAGCCTTGGGCTTTCTCCTGGCTGGTTATTAGTAGGGAATGAGGGAATGCGGTACCCTATATAATCCCTTAAAGGGATTTAAATGGTATGTATATATATATAGGGTTTGAAACTTATTAGCTGAATGAGTACATGTTACGCTTTTTGGGATACTGCAATCCCCTTCTAGAGCTGAAAGCGTACACTTTTTTGGGGGGCTTATGAACTCAGCAACTAACAGTACTTCCCTCATTCCCTACTAAGAACCAGGGGGTCTCTGCTAGGTGAGACTCCGCCAGTCCCTACCACCGGGGCCCAGCGCCGCCAACCTAGTCGAGGCAAGCGCGTGGGAAGGTA